GATCCAAAAGGCCCCCCCCCAAAAAAAAAATTTGTTTCCGCTTTTTCCTTTGACACCCTTTGTGGATGAGGTGGAGGATTTGGACCACACCCAGCAGTGCTCAGGGCTTACTCCTTGCTCAGTGCTTAAGGGTTGCTCCTGGCAGTTAGTGCCCCAGGCATCTTAGGGTGCTGGAGATTGAACCCAGGTCTCCTTCTGCACACAAAGTCACGTAGTAATCAGGTGAGTCAGCTTCTGGCCCCTGAGCTCTGTACTTTAAGTTATTTTTAAGATGAAATTTTATGTTTTATTAAACACCATCGTTTATAAAGTTGTTCATAATGTAGTTGTTCTGGTTTGTTTGTTGTTTGTTGCTTTTTGGGTCACACCCAGTGATGCTCAGGGGTCACTCCTGGCTCTGCACTGAAGAATTACTCCTGGCAGTGCTCGGCGGACCATATGGAATTCTGGGAATTGAACCTGAGTCTGCCGCGTTCAAGGCAAACACCCTTCCCGCTGTGCTGTCGCTCCAGCTTCCTCAATGTCGTTGTTTTAAGTGTTCAGTGTTCCAGCAGTGGTCTCAGCACCAGTATCCCCAGGTCCCCACCCACCCCCCTTAGCAGCCTGAAAATTACTTACTTTATATTGCTTTTTACAGCAAATACCTCAGATGGTGTTGCTGAAGTCATTGTCCAGGGCTTTGCTGAGCTGCCCTTTAGTGTTTTCACCAGCTGAGCTTCGTGGGCCCCATGCAACCTTCCCTTCTGTTTTGCAGTGCTCCTGCTGGGCTGTCAGCACTGCAGAGTCTGGTGGGGTGGCGCCCGAAAGGCCTGACTGTCTCAGCCTGGGGCTGCACTCTGGGGCACTCAGCAGCCGCTGACTCGGGACGTGTAAGTTATTTCATCTGAAAAAAAGAAAAGAAGTTTGCGGCCTCACCTGACGGCGCGCAGGGTCAGTTTCTGAATCTGTGCTCAGAAGTGACCCCTGGCAGTGTTCAGGGGACCATAGGGTGCCAGGAATTGAAGCAGGGTTGACTGCGTGCAAGGCAAGTGCCTTAACTTGGCCCTATCTATGTTCCCCAGGATTGACAATACTGTTTTTGCCAGTGGGCTGGAGCGATAGCACAGCGGTAGGGCCTTGCACTTTGCCGACTTGGCCAACCCGGGTTTGATTCCTCTGCTCCTCTCGGAGAGCCCAGCAAGCTACCGAGAATATCTCGCCCGCACAGTAGAGCCTGGCAAGCTCCCTGTGACAGATTTGTTATGTCAAACACAGTAACAACAAGTCTCACAATTGAGACGTTACTGGGCCCGCTCGAGCAAATCGATGAACAACGGGAGGACAGTGCTACCGTGCAGTTTTTGCCAGTGTTCAGGAAGGGCAGCTCCACTGGCGCCTGTGTGCCGCCAGAGCCCAGTGTCCCGCCCCACTTTAAGCTCACTTGTCCCAGACTCTTGTCTTGGGGTCATCCGTGAGCGGGGATCACCTGGCTTTTGTCCTTTTCTCTCTGACACATTTTGCTCAGCTTGATTCCCTCCAGTTCCTCCTGTGTAGCAATGAACTGCATGATTTCTTTTTTTTTTTTTCCCCTTCCTCTTTTGCTGTTTGGGTCACACCTGGCTCTGCACTCAGGGATCCCTCCTAGCAAGCTTGGGAGGGCACCATACTGGGTGCTGGGGATCAAAGCCAGGCTTGATGCAATGCAAGTGCCCTGCCTGCTACACTATTGCTCTGGCCCCTTATCTCTTTGAAGAATTGTTAGTCGTGTACTGGGGGTTGGGCTAGGGGCTCTTACGCCTGGCGCTGGCTCTAAGCATCATCACAGCTGCAGGCCAGGCCTTTGTCCATGTACCAAGTCTCCTGAGCAGCCTGTCTTCTCACGCGTCTGAGCAGTGCCCCGTGGTGAAGAGAGAGGGTGCAGTTTCTGTATCCGCTACTGTGGGCACTTGTTTCCAGATCTTGGCTCTTTCGAGTAAGGCCTGGAAATGTTCTTCTTGTTACCTCCCAAGCAGTCAAGGTAGATGAACAGGAAAGCTGAGGGGTGGAGCTAAGTGGTAAAGGAGGCAACTGCGCACTGTTGGTGCTGTTGCGCTTGCCCCAGGCCCCATTCCTCCTGCACTCCTGAGAACAGCCCCCAAGCAGCAGTAGAAACGCGACCCTCTCCTAAGCAGCGCTGGGTGTGGCCCCAATACAACTACAGCCCTATGAGTAACAAAAATACAAGCTTCTGTACTGGGTGAAGTAGCTGGAACTCTCGGATTTGAAAAGGTCTCATGGGGCCAGGAAGATAACTCAGCAGGCCACGGAGACTTCCTTCTGTGAGGCCCTGGGGTGAGTCCCCCTCCTGAAACAGTTAAAAATAAAAGTAAATCTTTACAGAAGAAGGACTTAGAAAACGTAACTTAATTTCTTCTGCTATCTCCAAAATGCCATCTTCGAGCAGGCGCAGGGTGTGTGGGGTCTCGGGGACCAGACAGCTCCAGTGAGGCTTCTGGGGGGTGGGGGGGCATGGACCCTTTGGACATGTGCTTCACCACGTAGCTGCTCCCCTGGCCTTGTGTCGGTAAGGGTTTAGACAGGCCGGGACTGGCCTTGGACTCACCCCCTCTGTGGCACTGACTTTGGGGGAGAGTTTGGCCACCGCCTAGAATGTCTTGCTTTTGGAAATATTCCCTAATATTTCTAAAGAACGCCGGTGAGATGTTGTGGATTTTTTTTGTAATTCAAGTTGTTCAGGGCAGGATTTGGTCCCACCAGGTGTTGCCCAGGGCTTGTTCCTGGCCGAGCTCCGGAGTGACCCCTGTGGGCGGCCCCCTGGAAGGCGTCTGACCTGTACTTACCTCTGGCCCCCTTTCGGTTTCTTAAAAATGTGTTGTTGTCGTGTGCTGTGTTGAATTTCGCTTGTGTTTAGGGTCAAACCCAGGGTGGAGGGTGCCCAGTAATTAGACCTGGCGAGGATTGGAGCCCTCTGGGGTGCTGAGGAGGAGCCAGCCTGCCTGCCCGGTCCCCTCTGTTGCTGTGTGTGGCTTTGCCAGGGGCGGCGCCCTGGAGCTCCTGGTCCTTGGAAATGGTTCCCAGAACTTCCTTTCATTTAGCAGAAGTCCAGCTGTGGGCGGGCACGGGGGCCTGCAGGGTGGATGCTTATGGGTGGGGGTGTGTGAGCAGGTGTCTTTTGGGTTTGGGGTCACTAGGAGTAAGTGCAGGACTTACTCCTGGCTTTGTGCTAATGGACCACTTTGGGGGGGGCTTAGGGAACCATGTGGTGCCAGGGAGTGAGCCCAGGTCCCAGATAGTAGAAAATCACTGTGTCGTATTTTAAAGGGCAGGCTCACCGCCCCCCACAGCATATTGTTCCAGAGACCCTCTTTTCTCCCCTCCAGTGCCCAGGGCTCCTGGTGGGTCTCGGGATGGAACCAGGTCTGGTCCAAGCAAGGCCAGCACCTTTGCCGCTCTCTCCAGTTCCAACTTTGTGACTTGTTACTGTTCCTGGCATTACTCGGGTCTTCCAGAGATCACTCCTGGAGGGGCTCTGGGACCCTCTCAGTTCCAGGGGTCTAAGCCAGCTTGGCCGTGGGTGAGGCAAGTACCCTACTGGCCTAGCACCTCTCCAGCTCCGCAAAATTTTAACTTTTTGAGGAATCACCAAACTGTTTTCTTCCACACTCACTTATTGCCAGAAAAATATGCGCTTCCTTATAACATAAGCAGTGTAAATCAAAAATTAAAATATTTTGTTAAATAAATACCTTAGAATTCACAGTTCAGCTGAGGACATTGCCCTTGGCCGATTCCTCTCCTGCTGCCAGACTGAGTCCATGGACAAGGTGGTGTATTCATCAATGATCAGTGATGGTGCGGGCGGGGTCTGCCCAGGTGGGCTCCAGGGTCACTCCTGGTAGGGCTCTGAGGAGCATGAGGCTCCTGGGGACTAAACCCGCTTGGCAGTGTGGAGGGAAAGTGCCGTATCCACTGTGTTCTCTCTTCTCTCCCCAAAGGGATTATCTTTGGGTTTGGGACCACACCTCGCTGTATTTGGGGCTTGGGGACCATTTTGGGTGCAGGTGCCCTCCGGAACTGTCTCCCTGCCCTTCATAGTGGTTTTCCATGCAATGTTCAGTTTGGGGGAGATTACCAGAATGTCTTTTAAGTGTTTGAAACTTTGTTTCTGTGGAAGAACAGCAGATATTTCTGAAGAAATCTGGTATTGAACATACTTGGTGCTCACTGCAGGGGGGGCGGGAGTGGGGAACCTGCTCTGTTTGGGTCTTGTGGTGGTAGAGACGTGCTTGTAGAGCTGTACCAGGAATCAGGGTGCAGCCCATCCCTGAGGCCATACCCTGGGCAGCATAATCTGGGTCCCAGCCAGTGCAATATCTGCTCTGAACTCGCTTCCCAAACCCTCTAAGGATATTTTTGGGAGGAGTGGCGGTGGGGGGACACACCCAGGGATGCTCAGGGGTTATTCCTGGCTCCGCACTCAAGGATCACTCCTTGGGGCTAAAGCGATAGCACTGTGGGTAGGGCGTTGGCCTTGCACGCTGCTGACCCAGGTTCGATTCCCAGCATCCCATATGGTCCCTCGAGCACCGCCAGGAGTAATTCTTGAGTGCAGAGCCAGGAATAACCCCTGTGCATCGCCAGGTGTGACCAAAAAGAAAAGAGGGGAAAAAAAAATATCACCCCTGGCGAGCTCAGGGGACCGTGTGGCGTGTCGGGGATTGAGCCTGGGTTGGCCGCCACATGGAAGTCCAACACCCTCCCTCCTGTTTGTCACTCAGTGCCTATGAGGAATTTTAAAAGAAATTGAGAACAGATACTTTCCCCTTCCCCCCTCTGAGAACCTCATTCTAAGCTAAGATAACAAGTCCTAAGTGATTCTGGGCAGGAAATGCTTCTGGGGAAGACTTGGGCTGAGTGTGTGGAACTGCCTGTTCACGTGCAGTGCGAATGGGCCTGTTCTGAGTGTGGAACTGCCTCTGCCCGCATGCAGTGCGGATGAGCCTGTTCTTTTTCTTTTGCAGACTATTTTACATGTTGTGGAGACCAGACCAGAAACACTTCTGATTAAAGGTAATTTTGTTGTGTAATTCTGATTCAGTCTTTCAAATATATTTAAATTTCTGTTTGGTTTGTGTTATGCTTTGTCTTTTAGATCACACCTAGTGGTGCTCAGGGCTTCCTCTTGTCCTATGTTGGGGAAACCGTGTGGGGCGGCAGGGAATGAACCTGACTAGCCCTCGTGCAGGGCCAGCATTTTATTTCCCATACTACCTCCGTGACTCCGTGTAATTTTTCATACTTTGTTTTTTATGGTGCCACAGATCAGGTGCCTGGACTCACACGGGCCGGACCACGTGCTTTCCCACTGAGTTACATCCCTGGCCTGGCCAAGTTGCTTTTATTTTTCTTTTGGGGTCACATCTGGCAATGCTCAGGGGTTAACTCCTGGCTCTCCACTCAGGAATTACTCCTAGCAGTGCTCAGGGACCAGATGGGATGCTGGGAATTGAACCCGGGTTGGCCGTGTGCAAGGCAAATGCCCTACATGCTGTGCTATCTCTTCAGTCCCTTTTTAATTTTTTTTTTATAAGGATGAAGCCATCTTCAGCAAGGATGAAGGTCCAGGGGATTACGGGTTTGAGTAGAAAACAGTTGGAAAAGAATTTCTCCAACTGTTCTACACATTTCTAATCAGTAGAGCTTCCCCCCTTCCCCAAACTAAATCTTAGGTGGAATATCTATAGAAAATGTAAAAAGATAAGGTCAGAGATTTAGAAAAACATTCCAGCATGTTATTTGGCAGGGACATGTATGTGTGAGCCCCAGCACTGCCTTAGACTGATACCTTCATCCCTGTGGCTGGCCACAGCCTCAGGGAGGGATGAGGCAGAGGGATCCAGCCGCAGCGCTCTTACTGTTCTCTGTGCTTGTGAAATCATTTTAGATGCAGTGAGCTTCGTCTGAGAGGTTGGACAGGGGATAGGACCTTCCAGCACCAGAGTGACCCCCACGAGCCCCACACTTGGGGTCAGTCTGGGTGTGACCCCAAAATCTAAACAACAAAAAGAGTCAGCTCAACGGAATGAGTCAGGTGCTACGACAGGGCGTCCGTCTAGGGGAGGCGGGATCGACAGCGCTCACAGATGAGAAAGCCTCAGGAGAACAGACCCTGGAGACTTGAGTTAGGCGAGAATTCCTCAGTTACTATGCCAGGCCTAAAATGGCAAATATTTTACATTGAACTTAGAAAAAATATTTAGCCACCGTGAACTACAAAGTTGGTGATCCAGCAGCAATCCTTTCCCCACCGTCCACTCCCTGTGCCCACCCACTTGCTGCCTCTGTGCTTTCTGTTTAAATAAGTATGTTCGGTGCTATGGCTTACAGAGCTGTCTCGGAGAGGTTTATGCATGATGTTTTAGTGCCTTTTAGCTTTAGCACCTTTTACCGCCCTGTTGCCCTGTCGCCTCCTGCTCTGTCCCTTCCCCGGCTCTCTGCCCAAGGTCACTTCTGGTTTTCATTGTTTCCCTTGCCGTTGGGCTTTTGTTCTCTCACTTTGTTCCTTCGCATCCTGAATATGAGAGGGATCCTTTCTGTGTTGATCTCTTTTCCTCAGACCGACTTCGCTCAGTGTGATACTCTCCAGATCCATCCATGGAGAGGCAGAATTGCGTGATTCTATCTTTCTTTTCTAGCTGAGAAATATTCCACTGTGTGTTTGTACCACTGTTCCTTTATCTATCTTGTCTCTTCTTGGGCACTCGGGTTGTGTCCAGGTTCTGGCTGCAGTGAACACAGGGTGCAGAGGGCTTTTATGCACATGCCTTTGGGCCCTTAGGGGTGTACTCCAAGAAGTGGAATTACTGGGTCAGATGGGAGAACACAGTTCCTAGTTTTTTGAAGGTTGTTCCTATTGCTTTCCAGAAAGGCTGGACTGGTCCACATTCCCTTCAGCAGGGAACGAAAGTCCCCGTCTCCCACTGGTTGTTCTTGCTCTTTGTGATGTGTGTCTGTCTCTGGTGCAAGGTGCTTGCTCTCATTGCTGTTTTGATTTGCATGTTCCTACACTTTAGCGTAACGTGTCAGGAGTGGGATTCGAACCCACACCTCCAGGGTAGACTGCGACCTGAACTGTCTAATGGCAGCACCTTAGACCGCTCAGCCATCCTGTCGCCTCCTAGTCCTCCTAGTTAGTGTAAGACTGGAATGATAGCACAGCGGTTGGGCATTTCCCTTGCATGCAGCCGACTTGGCCAGCTCGGGTTCGATTCCTCCGCCCCTCTCAAGCCTGGCAAGCTACCGTGACGTATTAGATATGCCAAACTCAGTAACAACAAGTCTCACAATGGAGACATTACTGGGCCTGCTTGAGCAAATTGATGAACAACGGGAGGACAGTGCTGCAGTGCAACTCTTTAGTGTTGCAGAGTATTTTTTGGTTTTTGTTTTTGGGCCATACCAAGCAGTGCTCAGGCCTTACTCCTGACTCTGCTCTCTGGGATCATTGGGATCACTCCTGGTGATTGAGCCCCACTCAGCCACGTGGCAAGATAAACGCCCTCCCTGCCGTGCTAGCGCTGTGACCTCATTTTTTTCATATGGCCGTTGGACCATTTATATATCTTCTTTTGAATTTACACTGAACTTCTTTGGAATTCAAAGCATCTTTTAAGATTTAGTGATGAGAGCGAGAAGACAGGGTGGGGTGGGGGATTCACGTCTTTCAGGTGACCTTATTCCAGGACGTAGGATTCTGATTCCGTTTTTGTACAGCGCGTCCTGGATAGGCACTTCCTCCAAGGGTTTGCAGCACTGGCTTAGCCACACCGACACCGTGGCAGAATGACTTGGGCCTTGGGGACTGTGTCTGCTCACCCTCATGTGGTGAGCTGGCACCTTAGGGCCACGGCCACATGCGCATTAGTAGGAAAGGACTCAGAATGTTCTAGAAAATGCCGAGAGTGAAGGAAAGCAGGTCTCGGCAGAGGGTGGACCATGGGGGCCCTGAGGAGCCTTGCGGTGGGGATGTTTCATGGATGATGGATATTTTCATGTTTATTTTCTTTGGGGGCCATACCCAGTGGCTTTGCCTCCTTATGGGGTTGTTCCCAGGAGTGCGTGGGGCCATGCCATGCCAGGAGTCAAACCTGGCCCTCTTACATGCAAAGTACATCTTCACACCATTGGTCTCTCTCCAGTTTCATTTATTGACCTTAATTGTGGTGAGGTTTCAGAGGTGTGTGTACCTGTCAAAATATGTTGAGTTCAGGGCAGAGGCGTGGGCAAGGGATGAGCAGCATGTGTTAGACCCTGGGCTCTATCCCCAGGTATTAGATCATGTGCCACATACGTAGAAATAAGGAAATTAAGGCGGTAGAGCACTTCCTTGTCTGCAGTTGTAAAGGAAAAGGAGGAAAAATCAAACAGGATCCATACTGTACAATGTGGATTTTTACCCTCTCCTTATCCAGCTGAAGACTGCTTAACTAAGGGACTTCACTTCTCATTTAAAATTGTATTGTACGCAAAAGTGATAGTACAGCAGGTAGGGTACTTGCCTTCCATGCTGCTGACCTGGGTTCGATCCCCAGCATCCCATATGGTCCCGCCAACCTCGCCAGAAGTAATTCCTGAGGACAGAGCCAGGAGTGATCCCAAAACAATAAAATACACGTATTGTGGGCTGGATTCAATCTCAGGCACTAATAAGATTCCTGGGCTTCTCATTAGTGAGTTCTGTGCACCGCTGGGGATGGCCCGAACACCAAAATAAAACAAAAAAATTGTATCAGAAAACTGAACAGAAGGAAAATCTTTAGAGAGATGTAAATCGTAAGGGTAGAATGTTGAAGTATGTGCAACCTAATCAATTAACTATACATAGGTGTTTTCAAGTAATAGATGTAAACATATTTTCTATACTTTAAACGGTTAAATTCGTATTTTATATCTACTAGGTTTCCTGTCTTTTATGTTTTTTTTGTTTGTTTTTGGGCTACCCCAGGGCTTACTCCTGGTGCTCAGAGATCACTCAGGTGGGGTCCAGGGGACCATATGGAGCGCTGGGGATGGTTCAAGTCCAGCGCCCTCCCCACTGTTTGCTGCTGCCCCTGCCCCTGCCCCTGCGGCAGTGTAGCCAGTTCAGGCTCTCGTTGTCCCTGTGATCACTGGTGCCTGAGGTGGCAGGGTGACTGGCTAGGGGGGCTTGGAGCCTCGCGGGGACAGAGTGTGGGAGAATGAGGGGAGCCCTGGGCGTGGCTCTGGCTAATTTTAGGTGGGATGTGTGTGTGTGTGTGTGTGGTGAGCAGGGCACCTTCACCTCACTGAGACGCCATGCGGTACTGGGGTGTCCCCTCTGGCAGCCTGAATTGGGACTGAGATGGGCCTGGGAATGATAGTTTAAAGAACTAGTAGAATCAGAGCGATGCTGCCATGGGGCGGCGCTGGCCTTCACATGGCTGGGACCCTTGAAGCTGCAAGGAGAGTTCACGTGCTGTGAGGAGCTCCCCAAGCATCGCGTCTGCGGCCCCCAGACAAACTAGAATATAAAAGATGGAAGCGCAGATGGAGTCGCTGTTACCCCGAGTGACGGCGTAGGTGAGAACCGCTTCCAGAGAGGCCTGGGGCACCCTAATGTGTTGTGTGAGCTGTGGAGTGCGGAAGGGTGTCCTGAGCCCTGGCGGGTGTGGGCCGGTGGGCAGATGTGGGGCTCTCAGCAGGGCCAGTCTTAGTGGGTTAAGCAGGCGAAGGCGCCGCGTCAGCACAGCCAGGGCTTAGCGGGACTTGGCGCTGCCGAGGGGCCCAGCCACCTGGAGGGAGGGTTCCAGAGGCACCCAGATCGAGCGAGAAGTGTTTCTTTCCATGTAAGTATGGGTTTAGATGGGCGGTCTCGAGCAAAATAAGGAAAACTCATTCTGGGAAAGTGAAGAGAATGATATTGCCAGTCATTTTTTAAATCAAAGAATGTGGGATTAGGGGCCGGAGATCTAAGGGTGCTTGCCTTGCACACTGCTGACCCAGGTTCAGTCCCTGGGGGCCCAGATGCTCCCCCGAACACTGCCAGAATGATTCCTGAACACAGAGCCAGGAATGACTCTCAGCATTGTCGGGTGGGACCCAGAAAACAACAACAACAAAAAAATGGGATATAGCCATCTCCATATATGCCTCATTGAAAATGAGGATATAATTTAACAAAAATGCTTTTTAGTGTTGTCAACTGTCTTTTTGTACTTAACTGTTTACACAAATGTTTTCATTTAACTATGATCTAGGTTTTTTCCAGATTTTCATGTGTTCCTTATTATTCTTAGAAATCTGTAATACTTCGTCCAGTGACAATTTCATGTGAAAACGATGATCTCACAGTAAGAGGTGGCTCCTTCCAGGCAGTGCCACAGGCCCTGGGCATCCTTCTGGTGATTCAGGAACAGATGGGGAGATGGTGCCCGAGGGCTTTGAGACAGGGACCACATGGTGCTGGGAACTGAACCAAAGCATCCCTCTTAACCCCTCTACTTTCTCTCTGGTCTCCAACTAGGTTCTTTTAAAAAAAAAGGGGGGGTGCTGGAGCAATAGCACAGCAGGTAGGGCGTCTGCCTTGCATGCGGCCGACCCGGGTTCGATTCCCAGCATCCCATATGGTCCCCTGAGCACTGCCAGGAGTGATTCCTGAATGCAGAGCCAGGAGTAACCCCTGTGCATCGCTGGGTGTGACCCAAAAAGCAAAAAAAAAAAAAAAAAAAAAAAGGAGTTTGGTTGTGCTTTTTGGGCACATGTGGCAGTGGTCCAGGCAGACTCCTGGCTCTGTGCTCAGGGATCACTCTTGGCAGGACTTGGGGGGACCACCTGGGATGCCGGGTATTGAACCCCGGTCAGCTTGGCGAAAGGCAAGTGCCCTGGCTTTCTCTTCAAGCATGTTCTCCATGTAACACAGAGCTCACTGGCTCATCTCTATCTTTGCCTTTTTTATTCCCACTTTCTCCCCAGTCTTGTCTTCCTAGGTGAGTTTTATTCAAGAAAAATGATGTTTCCTTACCACCCCCAAAAATAGTGCCTTATCTACGTACTATCTCTCTGACCCCCCTACTAGCTTTGTAAAATACAGAGTATGGAGAAAGTAAAATAGCTCTTTCTTGGTTCCAGGCTTCAGACACCCTGTTAATTTTGTATATGTGTGTGTGTGTGTGTGTGTGTGTGTGTGTATTTATATATTTTATAAGAACTGAAATCAATAATGTGTGAAACCAAAGCTGCTCCACCATTCCTGTCTTTCTCCAAAAATAACACTGTTAACATTTTCTCATATATACAGAAAAGATTGCTTACATGAGCGTAGATGTTTCTCATTGTGTACAGGAGAAGTGTCGCTTTTCTCTGGCACTCTGGGTCTTGTTTGTTTCAGCTGCATCTCCTCAGGACTGGAGCCTTCCCAGGCAGCGGGAACCGGGAGTTTCATGCTTCCTGTTAGCTCCAATGGCGTCTCTACTCTTTGCACAAGATGATTGTGGCTCCCTCTCCCTCTCCACCCTCAGGGCAGTGTTCTCCAGTTTGGGGTGGGGGGTGCTGATGCTGTCCCTGTGCCAGACCCACCCTGGTGCTGTGAGGCTGGCAGGTCGTTCACCTGCTCTTCCCAAGTTTCTCCTCATGATTTGCTTGCTTAAGGCCCCCAACAAGTGCTGTGTTCCTGTCGGTCGGGAAGTGCCTGGGACCGGCCCTATGCCCTACAGTAGGCACACGTGTGCCCATCAACCTCTCCCTGATCTGGTTTCTTTTTTGGGTTTTTGTTCCATACTCAGTTGTGCTCAGGGCTTACTGTACTCAGGGGTCACTCCCGACCGGGTCAGTGGACCATATGGGGTGCTGAACCCAGCTGGGCCACTTGCAAGGCAAGCGCCCTACGTGCTGTGCTTTCTGGCCGGCTCCTCTTCTCTCCCCTGGACCTTCATACAGCTCGGGTTAGGTCTTGCAAGATCGTTCTCTTCATTGCTGGTCGAAACAGGAGCACTCGACATGAGTCCAGCCTCACTATGTGCTCACCTCAGCCAGCGCCACTGGGCATTCAGTTGCAGGCCTCTGGGTGTGGTGCTGCTGAGGGCCTGCAGGACTTTCCAGAGCTCTTGTTTGGGGCAAACTCTGGGCTCCTGGAGCCCTCAATGCCAAAGGCCATGCTCAAATTCATCGTGACTGATGACAAGAAATGCAGCTGGTTGGCTTTCTTTGTGAGTAAAGATTGAAGTCGCTGAGTGCGGGAAGCATTTTTGCCTGAATTTTACAAATAACTGAATTAAGTGAGCTTCTAATTTTAAAATTACTTAGGTTTTGAGGTAAGTATACATTTCTGGAGCAATAGCACAGCGGGTAGGGCATTTGCCTTGCATGCGGCGACCCCTCTGGGAAAACCCAGCAAGCAACTGAGAGTATCCCACCCACACAGCAGAGCCTGGCAAGCTCCCCGTGGTGTATTTGTATGCCTGAAACAGTAACAAGTCTCACAATAGAGACGTTACTGGTGCCTGCTGGAGCAAATCAGTGAACAATGGGAGGACAGTGGTACAGTGCTATAGTGCTAGGTTTTGAGAAAATTAACTTCTCCAGATAAAAACAGAATAACTGGCTGGCTGGTCACTGTGTGTTGATGTAATCTCATGTACAATGTCGTGTATGGTTCGCAGCAGAGGCATCTCCAGAGACTGGACTACACTGAAAGTCTCATTCTCTCCTGTTGGGGTTTGTGGTCTTTCCACCAGCCTCCCCACACCAATTTCTGTTTATCTTGATCCGAAGAGAGTGGGTTTTTTTTTCCATCCTTTAAAATGAGTCTGTCTTTTTCTGTCTTTTATATTAAAATAAAAAATTATGGGGCTGGAGTAATAGCACAGCGGGTAGGGCTTTTGCCTGGCATGCGACTGACCCCGGTTCGATTCCCAGAATCCCATGTGGTTCCCTAGGCACCGCCAGGAGTAGTTCCTGAGTGCAGAGCCTTGTGTGACCCCTGTGCATTGCCGGGTATGACCCAAAAAGCAAAAAAAAAAAAAAAAAAAAAGAAAGAAAATTGTGGGGCTGGAGTGATAGCACATTGGGGTGGGCTTCAGCTTCACACGTGGCCGACCCAGGTTCAATCCCCAGCATCCCATATAGTCCCCCAAGCATGCCAGGAGTAATTCCCGAGTGCAAAGCCAGGAGTAACCCCCTGAGCATTGCTGGGTGTGATCCAAAAAGAAATGTTTATTGGGGCTGGAGCGATAGCGCAGTGTGCAGGGCGTCTGCCTTGCATGCTGCCGACCGGCTTCAATTCCCAGCATCCCATATGGTCCCCTGAGCACTGCCAGAAGTAATTCCTGAGTGCATGAGCCAGGAGTAACCCCTGTGCATTGCTGGGTGTGACCCAAAAAGCAAAAAAAAAAAAAATTTTTTTTTTCGTTGACTAAAACGAACCATTTAATTCAGTGTTCCTATGAAAGTTGTGATTGTGATTTCCTCACTGATTTTGTGGAGATTTAGGGGGTTGATCTGAGATAAAAGTGCCCCAAGTATGTGGAAGTGAGTCCTGAGTTAGGAACAGGGCTCGGGAGCACACCCTTATCTCCCGTCTCACAGGCACTTCTGCTCTGGGCTCTCTCCCTGAGCCACACATGGGTGGTCACACTGGCTCTGTCCAGCCTCTGTGCTGCGTGATGCTCTGCGCACACTGGGGTTGGCTCGGCTCCTCAGCTGATGGGCTTCGTGGACAGGGCGCGTGGACAGAGGTGTGATAGGAACAATCCTGTGCCAGGTCTTGGAGAGGCAGGTATCCTTAGCTCACAGCTTTTGTTTTCCTTTGGGGGCTACACGTACTGGTGCTCACGGCTTACTCCTGGCACTCGAACCCAGGTTGACCTCACTTGCGAGGCAAGGCCCTGCCCACTGTGCTGTCATTCCTGCCCCTCCACCCGCTCGGAACTTGTGATTTGGGTTTCGTTTTGTGCAGAGCAGGCTTTCTACGCACCACTGTGCAGTGGCACTCGGGGCCTCTCAGCTACCAGGTTTCTTGGGTCCCTGAAATCTCGAATGATTACATTAATTGTTGGCATGTGTGCTTGTGACTGACACAAAAACTAACTTGTGCAGAATTTTCCCAGTGTATTTGCATTAAAAATGTAAATTGGGTTTGCATGTGGGGGCTAATTAAATAATTATATTTAAATAATCAAATATTTAAATTTATATTGGTCATAAAATCTATTTTGAGGGGTTGCACCTGGCAGAGCCCATGTGAGGACTGGATCTGAGCTATACCCTCTCCCATCCGAGCTGCCTCCCAATCACAGTCACTTTTGGGATACTCGGGCTGTTCCTGACTGCTCAGGAGTAATTCCTGGCGGTGCTCAGCAGGACCCTGTGGGTTGCTGGGTATCGAGCCAGGATCCATCATGTGCAAGACAAGCCCCTAAGCCCTGGTGATCTTACTTTTGACGGGCGGCGTGCAGGCTGCTTGCCTTGACTTGCATGGCAGGCTGCCTTGGGGGCCTGGGCCGTGTCCCCCGCACCTGCGCAGACCAAGTGGTGGTCTAGTCACCCACCTTGTGTAGCATGCGCTGTCCTGTGGGACTCGGTCATGTGTCAGGGTCACTGGGTGCCCCTGAGCTAGCAGCCCTGGGCCTTCTGGGAGCTGCCCTGCAGGTCCATATTGGGCTCTGGGCTCCGCCGACAACTTCAGCCTCGTTAATGCTTCGTGCTTGTGTCCGTTTCAGATCTCCTATTCTCTGGGACAGCAGTGACGAGCGCCGACGTCAAAGATGAGCGAGCTTGACCAGTTGCGGCAGGAGGCGGAGCAGCTCAAGAATCAGATCCGAGTATGTGGCAATGTGCTGGCCCTGCCCCGTGGTCCCTTCACTTCCGGGAGTGACCCTGATGGCAAGCCAGCTTTAGGCCCAGTGTGGCCCAGAAAAGAAAAAGGGGGGAAGAAAAGTTCTTGTCACTGGCCTAGGATGTACTGATCAGACCCAGAAATTTGTCCTAGCAGATGATTTTTCAGGGTGACGTTTTCTGAATATATGTAAATGTGCCCAGAGATTGATGCGTATCTTGGGTATTTTGGCAGGCTGTTAGCGAGAGGAGAGCACCCACTGCAGGTCGCTAGCCGGTGAACTGCACCGTGCAGACCCCATTGCAGTTGGCCTCCCCGGGCTAGGTGGGGAGAGGGGCTGAGGGCACCAGCTCTCTCCGTCCAGAGGTGCCTGTTTGACACTGAGGACCTGCAGGACCACAGGGTGCTGTTTCCTTTCTCCGACTGTTGCCCTGAAAGTGACGGGAGTGGACAGGCCCGGCCAAACATGGCCCAGCTGGAGCTTGTCCTTGATGAGGAGCTTCTCTCTGACCTGTCGGATTTCTGCCCAGGCGTCAGCTGCTCGCCAAGCAGTATTTTCTACACACTTCTCAACAGCCATTTAAGTTTTCTGAGTTCACCATAAGGACGGAGCTTAATTATGTTCTTCTAAAGCACTGGGTCTGTGTTCTGAAAGTCTAATCTCAGGGGAGGAGAAAGCGTCAGCATCATTTTCCTTGAACTTAAGTGATGGACTTATCTGAGAAATCTGCAGCCAAAGGGGAACCCAAAATAGCCTTTTACTGTAAGAATTCAGTTATGGGCAGCGGGGAGGGCATCTGCCTCGCATGCAGCCAGCCTGGGGTTGGGTCTGGCACCAGCCAGTCCCTAGCCTCATCAGGAGGGAGCCTGAGCCAAGCATTTCCCACCCCAAATTTATTTTTTATTGCTATTTTTGGTGGTGGCAGGGGCACATTCAGCAATGCTCAGGGGTTGAACGAGATCTGTCACCAGCCATCTCTCTGGGCCCCACTGGATGGGTGATCCAGGGGCCATTCCCAGCTCTGTCCAGGGGTCTCTCCTGTGGTGCCCAGCTGACCAGACCTTTGTGTGTTCGTGCTCCAGCCCATCGGGCCACACTCGGGCCCTTAGACTGGATCTTTGTGTGTTTGTTGGTAAATATCTCCATGGCTGAGGATTGTTTGGAACCCCATCAGGAGTGAGCCCTGAGCGCACAGCCCAGAGTAAGCCTCTGGCAGCGCCAAGTGTGCACCAGAAACCTGGCACAGGGGCGGCCTCTGGAGGGACTGGGTGGACGTGTTTCCTTTGCAATGGCGCCCGCCTCCTGCCGCTGACCCTGTGGACAGCCGTAGTCACATTGGCCGTCAAAAGGTGCCATGGACTGAAAACGGAACTTTCCCCTTGAACTTGGTTCTTCACTCCAGACCTTTTGCAGCTTTCCATCGAGTTCAGCATTAATGCTTAGTTCGGGGGAGATATAGTCACCAAGGTTGCTTGGGGGAGCCAAGAGGGAGCTCAGGGCTACATCCGTGTGAGGCAAGTGCTCTCAGGCCCCACGCTGTTCCCTCTGGGTCTCGAGGCTTCTGACTGCGGAGAGCCCGGAGGAGGCAGGGAGCAGCTGGGGTCGGTTCACGTTCCACTTCTCTTTCTCGTGCACTAGGATGCCAGGAAAGCCTGTGCGGACGCTACTCTTTCTCAGGTAAGTGCCATGGCTGCAGGCCGGGCCTGGGGGGTGGCGGCATCTGGGTTGGGACGTGCCCGCTCAGGCGCCCTCAGCGGTGGGCTCCTGAACACTTTTAAGCGTCCTCTGTGCGTGGGGTCATGGCCGTGCTGGCCGCTCAGGCCTTGGAGGCCTTTTCACTGGCTGCACCACAGCTGGGAGAACCTCCAGAAGAGGCTGGAGCGAATGGGCAGATCGCCCCTCAGGCCCGCTTACAGGAGCCACACAGATGGGTTGGCACCAGTGGGGTGTAGGGGCCCAGGACGGAGGGGAAAGGAAGCGTGTCCCCTTAGCATGCTCCTGCAAGTAAGCACAGACTCACTAGGGTCAAATGAGACCTAAAACAGTCGCTGCACAGAATTCTTGCACAGGATTCTCACACTCGAGACCGGACATTTGGAAAAGCTGCTACCATGCTGCATTCATTCAGTCCTTTGTGAATGTCAGCTGTTGATGTTGGACTGTTCACCAGTGTTGTCAGGAGCTCTGTGCCCTCGGCCTAGCCCGGGTTGGCAGGGCTGTGGGTGGGCGGGCGCCATGTCAGCTCTGCATCAAGGTTACTCACCTGCCACTCCTGTCTCCTAGATCACAAACAACATCGACCCAGTGGGCAGAATCCAGATGCGCACCAGGAGGACACTGAGGGGCCACTTGGCCAAGATCTACGCCATGCACTGGGGGACAGACTCCAGGTGTGTGGCCGCGGCTCCGCCCAGGTTTGGGCCTCTTGGGGAAGTAGCCTGAGCTCCTTGGCAGTGCTTTGCCCGGAAGGAAGATGTACGCACTGGGGCCAGCTGTCACGCATTGCCTCCTGTGCCCGGTGCTCACTCCCTGCCGCGATTGGGGCTCTTGTGCTATCTCTGGGGTACCTCCTCTCTGTAGCCTGGCCAGAGGAGGCTTTGTGCCCGGGGGGACTCAAGAAGGAGCAGACTTGACTCTTGGCATGGGTGGGTGCCCATGCTATGCTTGGCCCAGCAGGCCGGGGCATCTCGCTGCCACCCTCCCCTCTCCAGGTGTGTTTGCTCACCTCCAGGCATGGCCAGCAGCCTCTCTGGGTTCCTTCTCTTCTGAGGCCCGTCCCTCCCTCCCCAGAGCTGGCACTTGTCCTCTGTGGCCCCACCCTGTGCTCTGCTCTTTGAGTGTCTTTGAGTAGTATACTTTTGTCTTTGTCGGGGTTCTCTTTGTTCATAAAATTGTCTGCTTTAGAGTGTAAACAGCTACGAACAAAGGATGCTATCTTTAGTTTGTTCTATACAGTATTCCATACAATTCCAAATGCAAATGAGAGCCAGCTCAGATCATTTTAATGAGCGCTGTCATCAAAAGGAGCTGGAAGGCAGATGAAAAGCTGGCGGGTTGGCCAGGGAAGGGGGGCTGGAGGGGCCTTCCTCCTGTCCGAGTGGTGACCGGGGGCTGCTGGCCTTGCTGCAGGTGTGAGTGAGGCGAGGGCTGAGGTGTGGAAGGGTGCGGTAGGGCACTGGGCAGTGCGGGATCTTGGCCTCCTTCCAGGCTGGAGGGGGCAGGATGGAGCGTCAGGAGCACCGTCCTGCTGACCCGGAGGCTTTGTTCCCAGTCCTGGACTAAAGAAGATGCAGAGTGGTCTTCATAGACCTCTCTTCTGGCCAGCGTCTCAGACCACTGCGTTTGCCATCCAGGTGCATTCTTGGCTTTCACACCCACAAAGCTTTCTGCAGTTACCCAGTGATGTAGAAGAAAAACTGTGTAGTTGTAGGGATCAAATGCGGGTGCTTGGGCTTATTCCGGGCACCCTCACCCCGGACTCTCTGCAGTTCCTAGGTTCCTTGTTCCAAATGCACACTCTGCTGAGGCCATTTCACTCACATTTCTGTCTTCAGAACGATTCTTGCCTAGTTCACTGCATCCATTGTGACTGATCCCTAACCCTGCCAGAGCTCCTAACATGTCGCCTGCAGATTCTGGGAATCAGCCGGAGGTTGATGTGCTTGAGTGTTTTGGTGTGTTTTCGGCGCATTCGTGCTTGTCCACATGGTGGTGCAGTCCTGCAAACAGATGCTCTTTCTTTCAGTCAGACTTTGAGGCCGGAACTGGCCTGGCATGTGTGATGCTGGCTTCTGCTCCAGGCCCCACAGAAACCAGGGAAAGAGAGGGTCCAGCCTCCCCGGGCCAGTCTGTAGAGTCTGCCCCTCGGCCTGGGATTAGGCATGTCCCCTCTCACCTTCCCGAGGATCAGTGTGCAGCTTAGCACTTCCCGACTCTTCAGCGAGTCAGCAGGTCTTAAGTCTCGCAGGAGCCTTTGTAAGGTGACCCTCGGGGCCGCGTGTGCTGACACTTTTGCTCTGCTTCTTCACCACGCTGACACCTGGAGCTCGACCTTCGTGCTCCTCGGATGCTTTTTCTTCCCAGTCAGTGCCTTTGCCTGTTGCTGCCACTTCCTTGCTTAGTCTCTGGGCTTTGCTGCACGCGGGCAGGACGAGGGTGCTCACTCAGCCTCCACCAACAGCCCCGGCTGCTCAGCGCAGGGCAGGGGAGCGAGGGGCTGTCTTTACCCCAACTCCACCGGCAGCTCGGTCTGGGAAATGTGCACGGGCTTTTAGTGAGAAATGTCTAGAAACTGTTAATTCTTTGTATCTGGACTTTCTGAGTATCAGAATTTATGCCTCCCTACTTAGGCTTTTGTCTCTTCACTTGTTTGGGGGCCACACCGGGCAGTGCCCAGGCTGACATGTAGTGCTGGGGACCAAACCCGGATCTACCGTGTGCCACTCAAACACCACCCCCGCTCCCGCCCACCTCCACCCCCCCACACCCCTTACTAAAGGTGCGTTCGTGTCAGGATTGGTTGATGGTGAGAAACCCAGCAGGCGCGGTCAGAAGTTCCTTCAAGTCAGGAAGAGGCTGTGAGTGCAGGTGCGGCCTTCATTCGGACGTGCTTGCTGGGAAATGACACTGTCTGCAGAGTTTGCTTCCTTTTGTGTGGGGATTTGAGGGATTTGAATCAGACTGGTGTTGCCCAGGGGTGACCTGCCATTCTGGAGAACCAGACAAGGCAAGCACCTGAAAACCGTGCTCTTTCCAGCCCTCTGAGGTTGTTTCGGTGTTAGGTTTTTTTCTTCCCTGCTTTCCAGTCTACTCTGAGAATGAGATTCTTTTTTTGATGGTCTAAGCGAGCGTCCCTTTTTTTAGGCAAATGAAAGGTTGGCTCGTGTGTCAGCGGCTGCTGGGGACTGAGCTATGTCTGTCTCTTCCTTCCAGGCTCCTAGTAAGTGCCTCGCAGGATGGGAAGCTGATCATCTGGGATAGCTACACCACGAACAAGGTAGGCACAGACTGCCTTCCCTCACGCCACCCGGGGAAAGATGGGGCTGCTTTCGTTTCTCTCCTACGGACAGTTGTGTCTGGTTCTTGACACACAGCAAGTGAACAGGACAGAACTCCGTGAGCATTACCCATTATGGTTTGCCACCTCATTTACCTAGTTGTCACCTGACCCAGTTCCGTCCCCTGAACACAGCCAGCTGTGGCCCCAAAGACAAAGTAAAACTATTTAAATCCCACAAGCATAATTTTTGGGAATTTAATGCAAAGCTGTACTGAATGAAAACAGAGTATCATTGGTCCAGGTATATTTTGAAAGATGAACTTCATTGTATTTAATTTACGGAGATTATTCCGTAATGATCATGATAGGGGCCAGAATAAGGACACAGAGGGGAGGGCACTGGCCAGGGCATGTCGCCTGCCTGGCTTTGGGCCGTAGTATCCCATATGGTCCCCCGAGTCCCTCAAGGATTGACACCTGAGCAGAGTCAGGACAGCCCTGAGCACAGCCAGGTATGCCAAAAAGAAAAGACTGTTTAAACCAAATCTACCTAAAATCCAGGGAGCTATGCAGCAGAATTATTTTTAAAGTTATTAAAATAATTTTATATGTAGTTTAGTGGCCTGTGAGATAGTACAAGGGTTAAGGTGCTGGTCCTGTGTTCTGCTGAGCACAGTTTGGATCTTGGAACTGCTTCTGGCCCTGGTTACAGAGCCCAGAACCAACTGACTCCAGATGTGACACCCCTCCGCCCCCCCAAAAAATAAGTCTGATTTGGTCATGTGAGTAGAAACCCTTTGTTTGGGGTCAACGGGCTGTGCATGTGTTTCTGCCTGTCCAGTCCCTGACGCTGACCCAGCCCTCAGGACACTGAGTCTCTCAGCTTCAAACCAGGCAATGACTTGGGTGCAGGGGGCCGCCCGGCTGGATGCCTCAGGTCAGCTGCCACCGAGCTGATCATTGGCGCAACCCCCACAGACACGGTGCTGGACAGAGCCTCCTGGCAGGAGCAGAGAGCTTCAAACATTCCTCCAGCAAAGTCCCCACGAACGTTAGGGTGTCTATAAATGAACCTGTGGCTGTTTCCACAGGGGCTGGCACCCCTTTCTCGGTGAGGGAGTTGGAGCCGGAAGCTGTGTCAAAGCCTGTGTCAGACTGGGGTCACCCTTTGTGCTTCAGCAGTCGCCCTGTGTGGCTGGACACAGTCTCTGAGGGTCAGCGATGGAGTCAGCAGTGCACCACTCTTGTCTGGCATGGTCAGGCCCTGGGTTTCATTTCTGGCACTGGAGGTGGGCGGGGGGAGAGAGGAGAGAGAAGAGAGAGAACACGGGGTGAGCCATGGCTTCCAAACACCCCCAGAGAGAGAGATTATAATCCTTGCCATTATTTTCGTCTTGTTCTGTCATATATGCAGCGAGTTGGAGAGTAGAAATAAGAGTTGGCGCCACTGTTGGTTCCCACCTGTGTGAGTTGGCGTCTTCTGTGCTTTGCCCTCAGGTCCATGCCATCCCCTTGCGTTCCTCGTGGGTCATGACCTGTGCATACGCCCCTTCTGGGAACTACGTGGCCTGTGGTGGTCTGGATAACATTTGCTCCATTTACAATCTGAAAACACGTGAAGGGAATGTACGTGTGAGTCGTGAATTGGCCGGACACACAGGTAATTTTCTTATCAGCACTGTGTTTATTTCATGAGATCAGGTGCGGTGATGGCCAGAGAGCCAACATCAAGAAAAGGGACCCACGCCCATCCTTGGTCGGCCTGGCCTGTGTAGGTCTGAGTCCCCCTGGGTGCCTGGGCGGAGCTGCTCCATGCCCAACTGTTGGCCTCCTTCACCCCACAGTGCAGGACACCACGGGGCCGTGCGTGCTCGTGCAGGGCTCGTGTCTCACCCTGAGAGTCCCCACTTGTCAGGAATGCCTGCTCGCCCATCTACTCTGTGTGTAGCCGGGTCCCAGCCCACCAGTTGCCTGTCCTTCGGAGAGACTCCATGTCAGCCCCTGTTTTGTCCTTGCCTTCCTCTTACCTTGAGGCTCCTTTCTCCTGAATTTCTTAGTTTTTCAGCTTCTGACTTGGTTTGGGTTGGGTTGGTTTTGGATCCGCACTGGTGGTGCTCAGGGGTACTCCTCCCTCTGTGCTCCGGAGTGAGCCCTTGATGGTGCTTGGGACTGTATGAGGTGCCGGGATTCACACCAGGGTCACTGCATCCACAGCCACAAGCTGAGCGAGTGCCTTGTGGCTCTGACCCTAGTTGTGTAGCCTCTAAGTTGGCGTTAGCCTTTCTTCTCGTTCAGGCATAAGCAGTGACACTCTAATCTCACCCTTACGCTTGGCTTTAACTACTTTCTCAGTTAGTGTAAAATCTTGGTTTGCTTTGTCTTGTTTGTTTGGGATTCACACTCTGTAGTGCTCAGGGCTGACTCTTGGCTCTGTGCTCAGAAATCACTCCTGGAGATGCGTGGGGGGGACCATCTGGGGTACCAGGGATCGGACCTGGGTTGGCCACAAGCAAGGCAAAAGCCCTACCCACTGCATTATTGCCCCAGCCCTGAATTTGTCTTTTAATGAATTTGAGACTTTTCAATAATGTCTTCGAAAATCGTTTCTGTTCTTGGGTCTGTTTGTGCAGCCAGCGTCTTCGCCCACTCTGCCGGGTCCCTGTGAGTCCTGGCTACTGGCGTCTGTCCTCAGGCCTGTTCCCCCGCCCCCCAAGTCGGGTCTTCAACTCTGAGCTGCCCTCGGGTGCCACCACCCGCTCCCGTGCTGCTCTTGATGCTGCTGGCTGGCAGCTCCTTCCCATGTCACACTCTGGGCCAGGAGCCTGGCCGGCCGGATTGTCTCCATCCGTGTTGTCACATTTCACTTGGGCTGGCCTCACCATCTGCTGCCCTCTGGACCTCAGGAGTGGCCCCAGGAAAGGCGCAGGAGACACTGCTCCCTGGCCCGACCCAGAAGCCCGACCTCTGCTGCAGGACCCTTCACAGAGATGCCTTTGAGGAGTGCGTCTTTGTTTTGGGGCCATGCCCACTAGTGCTCAGGGGTCACTCCTGGTGCAGCACCAGGAGCGAGTTGGCTTTGCCATGCGCCGTGCAAGGCAGAGTCCTACCCCTGTGCTGTCTCTCCGGGCCCTGAGGAGATGCTTTTTTAGTGGTGGTGCTTGTTTGGGGTTGAGGGGGTCACTCACACCCAGCGTTTTTAGAGCTTAGTCCTGACTCAGTGCTCAGGGATCACTCCTGGCAGGCTTGGGGACCATATGGGTGCCAAGGGTCAAAGCAGGTGCCCTTCCTGCTATGCTGCTATCTCTCCAGCCCTGAAGAATGTGCTCTCAAAGTACTTGGTTTACTTACCAACAGTCTTATCTTTCTGATCACATTCTCTAGACTGATTTTCTTGTCTTTCTTCCTGCTGGTTCTGGGGGGAGGGGACAGAGATCTGAGACCCAGGAGGACCCACCACCAGCAGCATCCTGGGTCCCTGACTGTGGACCCAGTGGCAGGATTTTACCTTGGGGCTCTGCCACTCGGAACCATCATTCCTGGACCCGTGGGCTCCAGTTTTTGGAAGGGGAGTGGTTTAGTTCACATCTGGTGGAGGGCTGCTCCTGGCTTAGTATTTAGGGGTCACACCTTGTGGTGCTTGGGAAACCATTGGAGTGCTGGGATCAAGCTTCGGTCAGTCATCTCTGTGCTATCTTTCCAGCCCAAGCTTTTGGACGGACGGACACACACACACACACACACTTGCCTTGCACGCAGCCGACCCACATCTCTCTTGGAGAGCCCGGCAAGATGCCGAGAGTATCCCGCCCACACGGCAGAGCCTGGCAAGCTCCCCATGGCATATACGATATGCCGAAAACAGTAACAACAAGTCTCACAATGCTCATTACTGGTGCCCGCTCAAGCAAATCGATGAACAACGGGAGGACAGTGCTGGTGCTACCTTTTAGCTAAGGCACCATGATTGACAGAGTTGTTCTGCCAGAGTGACCTTCCTGTTCTCAGTGTCCTGGCCTCCTCCCCTCCCGCTTTTGAGTCTGGTTGCTGTCATTTGGGTCTTGTGTTGTTGGTTTGGCAGTCTGGGCATGTGCCTACCTCTCTACGCCACCCAGGCCCCGTCCTGCAACCACTCTGCACCTCTTATTGCCCCTTGGCTTCTGGTCGTACCTGCCCACTCCTGGGGGCCTGGGTAAATGGGGTGTCCCGTCTCCCCTTGGCCCCGTACATTTCCTTCTCCCAGTGTACGCATCTGGTGTTGGTCACCCTCATTCTGCTGTTGGACATCTTGTTGGAAAGGTGGCCCAAGTGGCAGACCACAGACTGTCCCTGGCACTGCGTGTCGCTTTAGCACTGCCGGTCGTTGCACCTATTAAAAAGGGACAGAAAGGAAACTGTCGCCCCAGCAAAAAGCAAGACAGTGTCGGGAGGAGGATTTTAGAAATTGTTGCCTCCCATATCATTAAGATTTTGGTTTCTTTTGGTTTTGGTTTTGGGGTCACCTCTGGCAGTGCTCAGGACTTAATTCTAGCTCTGTGCTCAGGGTGGTGTGTGGGGTCCCTGTGCCATGCCAGGGATTGTACCTGGGATGGCCATGTGTAGGGCACCACCTTCCCCCCGGGCTTGCTGTCTGTCCCCAAGATTGATTTGTGATTGTAGTTTCCACATGTTGTATCTCTTGAGAGTATTTCAGGACTTTCTTCGGATCTTTTGTGTACTTTTCAATTTCACTTGAGTTAGGTGAACACTTGGTAAGCTTTGCCTGTAGGAGGCCTGGGTTCTACCCTGGCACCACCAGGGCTGCCCTGAGCAGCCTGGATTCGATTTGGACTCCACACACGTGCGCACACATACACACGCGCGCTCGCACAAACACACACACACACACACACACATTTTCTTTTTGAAAGCTTAGAATACTCACTGTGTCAGAACTGTGGCGGAGGTGTGGTTAGCGAGTGAGTTTGGCGGGTTGGACACGCACCACCTCCTCGGCCAGTCCCTGGGGCCTTCTCCCTATTCCTCGCACTGTACCTCAAGTTCATGCGGGCATTGGCCAGCAGGGTCTCCTGGGCACCAGGCTGAGTGCCGCTGTTGCCAGTGTGCAGGTGTTTGGGCCCAGAGTCCCGCATGCTCAGTGCCCACTGTTGGGTGTGCCCCTGACTGGGGTCCCAGGAGCAGGGGCCAGAGTCCGCAGCTCTGCACGGCATTCACTGGTCTCTGTCCTTGCTAGGCTACCTGTCCTGCTGCCGCTTCCTGGATGACAATCAGATCGTCACCAGCTCTGGAGACACCACCTGGTGAGTGCCCGGGCCGTGCGTGGCCTTCATCATCAGCTCTCTGGGGCCATGTGCTGGCCCCTTCAGTCTACCTAGGCTGACAGCAGTGGTCTTGCCCTGATCGCCTTGGGGACTCGCCTCCCTCCAGCCCTTAAGCAGTCCCCGCACGCCACCAGCACCTCTCCTGTTTGCCAGTGTCTCTGCATCCATGCCTGGAGAGAGGCACTGGCCAGGTACGGTGACCTGCCCAGAGCCCGCGTCCCCTATGCTGCTGTCAGTGGTCTGGAGTGTGGTGTCTCCTAAGCACCGCCCCAGGACGTGTGTCTGTGACGGCACGCCCAGGGCCACTGTGACTCTCGGCGATGTCTCCTCACCGGGCATCTAACCGGGTTCCATGGCTTGTTCTGTGCTCCCAATGCAGTGCTTTGTGGGACATTGAGACGGGCCAGCAGACGACCACGTTCACTGGCCACACTGGGGACGTCATGAGCCTGTCCCTCGCTCCTGACACCAGACTCTTTGTCTCGGGGGCTTGCGACGCGTCAGCCAAACTCTGGGACGTCCGGGAAGGCATGTGCCGGCAAACCTTCACTGGCCACGAGTCGGACATCAACGCCATCTGCGTGAGTGGGGCTCGGGGGTGGGGGGGCGCTCCTTAGACCCCACAACCAGCGGGGGTGCTCTTTCTCGGCCCAGGTCCCTCTCTCCACACTGCGCTTGCGCCCACCTTCACTCTGCCTCCCTTCGCAGTTCTTTCCCAACGGAAATGCGTTTGCCACTGGCTCGGATGACGCCACCTGCAGGCTGTTCGACCTCCGTGCGGACCAGGAGCTGATGACCTACTCCCACGACAACATCATCTGCGGGATCACCTCCGTCTCCTTCTCCAAGAGCGGCCGCCTCCTCCTCGCAGGGTACGACGACTTCAACTGCAACGTCTGGGATGCGCTCAAGGCTGACCGGGCAGGTGAGTGGCTGGTGACCCTCGGCTGGGCGGGGAGCCAGGTGCTTCGGCGCTTTCTCGGCGGCGTGGGCCTCCCTGCTGTATCTCTTGCGGTGTGTGTGCGCTCAGGCCGCATCTGGGGGACTCGAGGGACCTTAGGCAGTGCCAGGCATCTGGGGCCGGTTCACGGCAAGCGCCTTGGCCCACAGCCCTCTCCTTCCTCCTATCGCGGCAGCTCCAGAGGTTGCCGTGCACTGCCGTGGTGACTAGAGAGGCCCATTGAGGCAGTAGAGCTGAGGCTGGTCCCCAGGAGACCCACCAAGGACCTGGGAGGGTGGAGGCTAGACCAGGCTCCCCAAATGGGCCCTCACAGAAGCCTTGAAAGAGAGGGACTGTTCTAACTGGTTGCCTGGGCACTGTTCACCGAGGCTGCTGGAGTCCCCAGCTCAGCGCAAGTCTGTCAGTGACAGAGAGGGAGAGTGGGAGGGAGAGAGAGAAAGGAGAAAGAGGAGGGGAGAGGGGAGAGAGAGAGGGAGAGAGGGAGGGAGAGGGGAGTGAAAGGTAGAGAGAGGAGAGGAGGGGAGAGGGGAGAAGAGGGAGAGAGAGGGGAGAGACCCTTTGCCCTGCTCCCGTCCTCCTGGCCCTGCCTCTGCAGCAGCTATGCCGTTGTCACTCCAGGTGTCTTGGCTGGACACGACAACCGTGTCAGCTGCCTGGGTGTGACCGATGACGGGATGGCCGTGGCCACCGGGTCCTGGGACAGCTTCCTCAAGATCTGGAACTGAGGCCCACCAGGTAAGGGAGCGGCCCTGCCCCACTGTCCCCCAGGTGGGCAGCCTGCCCTGCAGTCTCACCCTCATGCCTTGGCCTCTCCCACAGCAGACCGGACATGCAGCGACTGGCGGACCATTCCAACGCACAGCGTTGCAGTGATAGCATTTCCACCCCTACTAACGTGGACGTCCTGCTCCTCCCTCCGAGCCTCTGAAGGGCCCCCTCTCCTTCACTTACTGCTGAAACTAAGAGCACAATTCCCACTGCGAGAAGAATTTCTGTGCTGGCAACTAAAACAAATTGTGCATTCCTTCCGGGACCATTGTCTTTGTTTTCATTTTTGTCTTGAATGAATTTAAAAGGAAATACTATAATAAACATGTTAACCAGCAGGTAAACTGGTGTGCTTGTGAGAGACACACGTTTCGCTAGTGACCCTGTTGGTTTCCTGCTAAGCGAGCAGAGGGCATTAGCTTGTAATCGGTTCTGAGTTGCAGGTTGTGTTTGTAGCAGGATTTTGAAGACACTCAGATTTCCTTTTTCAAATACTCCTTTGTGTTCTGTAGTCAAGCAGAGAAAGGCCAGTGCAGCCTCCCAGAAGTCGTCGCTGCCGTCACCTAATCTCTGGGGTCTCTTTCCCGTGAGTGTCCTGGCAGAGACGCACCTCGCACCGCAGCCCCACGTGTGCGGCGCCCACTCGGCCAAGTCCGGCGTCTCCCCCGCCCACGCCCTCTCCCCACGCACTTCCGTTCAGTCTCAGCTGGGTTTTCCTTGTGCAGTCGGAGGAAGCTGACGGGGCGAGCCAGACATGGCCGTGCCCACCCCGGCAGGACCCTTTCCTGCGCTTGGTCAGCGGTCAGTTCTCTGTGTATGAACAATGTACAAATCAATGTTTTGGAAATAACGATCTCACACTTTCTAAGTTAAATTTTAAAAATTTGATCATTTACCATATTGGGTGGGTTTATTCTTAGAATCGCATGCTGTAGAAATGCTCCAAAGTGCATATAGGACTCGGCCCTTAAATGTTCTTTCCTTTCTGATGGACCCTCTGTCTGCTGCCGACCCCCGGCTCACCCACTCTGCTGCTCCACGCAGCGCCCCGCCTTTCTCTGTTCCTTTCAAACGCCCCGTCTGGGTGACACTTGGGCAGGGGCAGTGGAGGCCCCATGGTGGCCCCCGCCCCCACCCAGCCTCCTCCTTAGCAGCAGTAGTGGCTTCTGTCCGTCCGTGAACTGTGCTGTCACCGGCAGGCCTGGACCTGGCAGAGAGGAAGCGCGAAGCCCTCCCCCTGCCCCCACCCCACCCGCCCTCTGTAGCTCTGCGCCCGTCCCCCCTCTTCACCTCTGGTATTTAATTTTAAAGTCCGTGTACTGCAAGGAAGCTGGATGCAAGATAGATACTATACTCAACTGTACTGTTATTTAAGACGTAATAAAGCAGTTTGACATGAGGGATGCTGGTGTGGCTGTTTCTTTGCAGGCTGTCTCACTGGAGGGTGGGGGGGGGCCTTGGTTGCATCCAGTTCTTGTACCAGAAACGAAAGGTCCAGGGCTCCTGGGGAGATCTCCTGGACTCCCCTCCCCTCCCCCATGACACTGCTTTGGCCGTCCCTGAGCATCCAAGCAGATCCCTTGTTTGGCACCTTATTCTGGGCCTCCAAGGCCCAGCCATCACTAACAGCTGCCCCCAAACCAGGGTGGGGGTGTGCTCGTAGATGGGGAGCTGTTCACTTCGGCCTCTCAGACCTCCAGACTTAAGGACCAGGTGGCCTGAGGTGCCACGCCAACATCCTCGAACCCAGCCCTGCGCCATGCCCCTGGGACTGCCTGGGGGAGTGCCATTTCCACTGGAACCCCCCCTTTCTCCCTTGGAGCCCCCCTCCCCAGAGCACTGTTGTGTTTGGCGGATCTTCCTAAAGTCCACACAGCCCAGGCCAGTGCTGTTTTCTGGTCCCTGGCCACGGATGCTCATGAACCACGGCCTCAGGGTACCTGGATCCCAGAGGCCAGGGCAGAGCTGGTGTGCCCCACCATTCCACAGGGCTGTACGAGGAGCCTGTAGCACCCGCAGGCTCCCCCAGGTGCACGCGGCTTTCACCTCCCTACCCATCTTGTCCATCTCTACCCTTGGGAGGACCCAGGTGGAAGATGGGCCTTGGGAAAACACAAGCACTGAACCCTGGCACTGCCTGCCACTCTGGCCATGGGGAAAAAACTACCCCTGGAGAGTGATCCCCTTTGCAGACCCCTCACGCCCAAGCCCAGTAGTTCCACCCAGTCCCTTCCCTCTCCCCACCGCGGCCCACCCAGCCTGTAAGAGGCCCAGAGCCTGCTGGGAGAAATTGCACAATGCTTATAGGAGGGGAAGCAGTTTCCTCAGCTCCGAAAGGGGAAGTTCTTCAGGAAACGGGAAGGGAGGTGCGTTGCTCAAGTTCCCTGAGAGGGGCTGGAGCCGCCAGGGCTGCCTGTTGCCATTCCTGGTTAGGAGTGTTGCAGTCAGATCTGCGGGCGTGTAAGACGTGTGAAAGGGGCTGGAGACTAGTGTGTTTGCACTGCATGCAGCCGGCCGTATATATAGAATAGATGTGAGTCACTAGCCCTGAGCCCAGAAGCAGGAAGTCGAACCGTGACATGCAAATACGGGGCACCCAGGGAGGTTCCGAGAATGGTGCCCGGAACTGTCTGGAATTAGAGCAGGCTGACACCCCCGGGTTTAACTGTCTGGAATTAGAGCAGGCTGACACCCCCGGGTTCGGGTCTGGGAGCTGCCCCGTCAAACGGGTTCAGTAAGGTCGGCATCCTCAGTGTCCCCTCCCCCCACTCCCTACTGGCTGTGTGGCCCTGCTGGGACCCGCCGGGGGGCTCGGGCATAGGTCGCTCTTAGGGGAATGCCCTGCGCTGAACCCCTTTTCCAAGCACCGATGAGGGAGGGGACCGAGCGCCCGCCCTGAGTCACGGGGCCTCGGAGCAGACAAGGCAGGGTGGGGTGGTGCATGCCCAGGGTGCTCCAGCACGCGGGTCCCGCGCCCACCGCGCCAGTGGCGGGACAGTCCCGGGACACGCACATCCCAAAGCTAGTGGGGACGAGGCGCCGGCCTTCCCCGCCATCCACGGGGAAAAGAGCCGAGCGCGGGCCTCCACCCATTCCCCAGCGCAGCACCGCACCCGACGACCCCAGGACCTGCCCTGTGGCGGGCAGGGCGCCTGCGCGGGGAGCAGGGGCGGGGCGTGGGGCGCGCCTGCGCATTGGGTGAAACTGCGGCTCGTGGTGCCTCCTCGGGGCGGGGCGGGACGCGCCTGCGCACTGGGTGGCCCTGCTGCATAGGGGGCGGAGCGCACCTGCGCGCTGGCTGACACTGTGGCTCGGCGGCGCCTGCGCGGGGCGGGGCACGCCTGCGCACTGGCTGACCCCGCGGCTCACGGCGCCTGCGCGGGGCGGGGCGGGGCGGGGCGCGCCTGCGCACTGGCTGGCTCTGCTGCTTGGCGGCGGCGGCGCCGCGATCCGGGCGCCGAGGGGCTGCCATGGGGCGGGGAGCGGCCGCGGCGTCGGGACCCGGCTGAGGACGGCAAGCGGCGGCGGGGCGGCCGGCCCTGTGGGCCCGAGCCGGCCCGGGGGCGGCCACGCGGGCGCCCACGTCAGCGGACGGTGAGTGAGCGTGGCCCCGGCGCGGGGGCGGGGCCTGCAGCGGGTCCGGTCGGGCACCGGGTGGGCCCGGCCGGGCCGCGCCTCGCGCCGGCGACGCTGCTGGGCCCGGGCCGGACGCTCCTGCCGGGAGCGCGCGGGGGGCGGGGTCGGGCCGGGGTCGGGGCAGTGGCGGGGCGGGGCGGGCCCGGGCGGGCTGTGGGCGTGGGGGTGCGTGACCCGCCCAGAACTGGTGACCCTCGACCCTGGTGCGGGAAAGGCGACGCCGCCGGAGCCCGATCCCCGCGTATTCCGGAGGGCCCCGGTCCGGGCAGGGTCGGGACAGAGGAGGCGGGACGGAACGGTGCCCCCGGAGAGCGCGAGGTGAGCGCGTAGGGCCGACCCGGTATGCGCCCGTGGGCGGGGCTCGGTGGACCCGACCCAGGGTGGACTCGGGCCTGCCCTCGCCCGGGTGCTCGGAGTCCCCTGTCCAGGCCGGGTGGACTGGGCCAGGGCCGGGCCGGGGTTCGTTCTGCCTGGGGAAGCCGCCTGCCCCAGTCTGCCCGCACCTGTGGACTTTCGGGAATGGGGGGAGCGCGCGGGGCCCCTGCGTGCAGAGCTGGTGCTCTTCCCCGAGGTCTTCATTGCTTCACAGACACAGGCTCGTGCCAGTGTCACCACACCCTCGTCAGGGTTGGGTGGCACTTAGGGATGATTGACCGGCACCAGCGTCTCTGCTTCCGTGGACCTTTCCCCGAGAGGTCACCAGGGATGTGACGGTCACTGGCTGTGTGCCCGCGCCTGGAGCACGTTTGGCCAGACTCCGGGTGGGACTCTGGGAACACCCTTCTTGAAGGCCTGGCTTTGTGCTGTCCCCGCTGCCTTTGCAGTCAGGCCACCTGGGGAAGGAGTGGTTGGTTCAGAGTCGTGTTCGTGTGCTTGGCGCCTGTTCAAACCGAATGCAGAAGGTTTCACCCTTTCAGACAGTTACACTGTCTGAAGAGTACAGGAGAGAGTATAGGGCTGGAGAGTATAGGCGGTGGGCTCACCTCGCTCCTGGCCAGCCCAGATTCAGCCCCCAGCATCCCTTGTGATCCCTTGAGCCCCCCGCCCCGCCAAAAAAATGTAAACACTTCAACATACTGAATAAACTTGAATTAAATGTGAATCTTAGGATCGGAGACATAGTACAGCAGGTAGAGTGTTTGCCTTACATATGACCTACCTGGGTTTGATCACCAGCACCACATATGGTCCCCCAGCCCGCCAGGTCTGGCTCAAAAACCAAAATGTAAAAATAAATATGAGTCCTGTTAAATTGTTAAATTGTGAGCAAGAGAGAGGGCCAGAGAGTACAGTAGGTAAGGTGCTTTCCTTAGACACAGTAGTTGATCCTGGTTTAATCCCAGGCATTTGATGTGGTTCTCCAATGTGTGCTCAGGAGTGAGCCCTGAGCACAGAGCTGGGAGTGATCCCCGAGCACAGAGCCAGGAGTGATACCTGAGCACAGAGCCAGGAGTGAGCCCTGACCACAGAACCGGGAGTGATCACAGAGCAAGGAGTGAACCCAGAGCACAGAGCCGGGAGTTAGCCCTTATTGACCTGGGAGCCAGCCTAGAGGAAGGGCAGTTGAGCAGCTGGAGAGGGGAGCTTGCTTGACGTGAAGCTGACCCAGGTTCCATTCCCGCCCCGGCAGGAGTAGAGCCTGTGACTTGAGCTCCTCTGCCTAGTCTCAGCCCAGCGGCCTTTTCCGCCTCGTGCTTCTCACCTGGCCTGTGACTGCCATCACTCTGCTCTCCGCAGCTCTGGCTTTTACCCGCGTCCTACAGTCTGGGAACCAGCAGGTTGGGTTCTGCAGGAGTTTGTGGCAGTGCTCGAGGGTGACTCTCAACTCTGCTCAGGAGTCTACTGTCGTGGGACTGCAGATTTTGAGAGTCAGAGAACCAGAAATTTTGAGTTTTATCAGCTGGTGAGACTGCATGGGACCCCGGCCCCAAACCACACAGCCACCACGGCTGTTTCCCGATGTTTCAGAGGGGCCGGCTGTGCAGAGACTGACACGCTTCTTGCCAGGTGCAAGCATTGCAGCAGGGGGAGGGGCCTGTCCCCGGGGGGTAGGTCAGGGTTATCTTGGGGGTCTGAGGATGAGGTGTTTGCCCAGTTCTTAGGAACTCTTCTGGCTTTGGCATCCGAGCAGGCTTGAGCCATGCCGTCACTTGCTTGTGACTGTGGCCTAGGCCCTGAGCAGTCCCTCCCTACCCCTGCAGTGCTCAGTCTGGGTGCCAGCGCTTTTGCTGTCTCACTCTCCAGAACCACACCTGTTCCTGCCACCTTTCCTTGGCTTCCTGAGGACAACAGGCAGGTGTGGCCAGTTTCTGCAGCCCAATCACCTGCCCCCGGGGTCATCTGTCCTGGATTCACCTGCCCTCGGTCATCTGTTCTTTGGGTCTCTCACCCAGGCAGGCAGGCAGGGTCCTTTGAGGGCTGGAGGGATGGCCTGGGGAAAGTGCTTGCCTTCACGTGACTGACCTGGGTTGTATGAATTTAGTTCCTCTGAGCACCACCAGGTTTGTCCTCAAAACCCAGAAAGAAAGGCAGTATAGCGGGTCAGGTGCTGGCCTTCCATCCCTGGCACCCTCTTGTGGTCCCTTGAGTACCTCCAGAATGATCCCTGAGCACAGAGTCAGGAGTACCCTGTGAGCATCCTTGGTGTGACCTCCAAACCAAACAAAAAAATGAGAAAGAAAAGAAAATGGTGGGTTTTCTAGCTTGTTCTGTGGGTCTTCCGGCTGCTGGGTCTGGAGGGTTCTCTCCAGCCCCATAGGAGGAGCTCGGGCCCGCAGGGGCTTCCTCACGCCCAGCCCAGCCAGGGCCTGCGGCCAGATGTGTTTCCAAGTCTGAAAGTCAAAGTTCTCGCTTGCCCGCTTCTCCAAACTCCATTTATCTTTCTGGTTTCTGGTCTATTTTTATAGCTTCTTCTGCTTTTCTTCCTTTCATAGCTGCATTGGCTTCATCGGGGCCCAGGCAGCGGGGAGGCTTGGTGGTGGCCCTGGCCCTCACCCTGCATCCCTGCGTCCCTCTGGAGCCCTTAGCCGCGGGGAGCAGTGTGGAATTCCCGCACATCCTTCTCTTCCGGCTTGTAGTTTCCAGTCTGGGTTTGGGCTCACTCCTGGCCCCTCTCAGTTTTGTGCTGCGGTCAGGAGATTGGGTGTTCCCAGCCTCACTGGCTCAGGGTGTTTCCGTGGCCCTATGCTTGGGCCAGCCACGTGCCATGGTTCCCCTGCCCAGTACCCCATCCCCTTGGGACTGGCGAGGGGGAGACGTCTGCAGGGCTGACGGCTGTGAGTGCAGAAGAGCCGCTGGGGTCACACCTGGCAGTGCTCCACGACCCTGTAGGTGCAGAGACTTGAATCGGGGCGGGTGGGACGTGGGGCCCGTGCCTGAACTCTGGAGGGCAGGCCCAGGACTGAAGCCAGTGTGCCTGGCTCTTGCCTCCCGAGCGCTGTCTGCTGACCCTCCGTGTCCTCCCTCAGGCCTTGGTGTGCGTCTCTCCCGAGCCACCGAGCATCAGCTGCAGACATGGAACGTGAGCACGTCGGCGGGAGCAAGGAGCTGGGCGTGGCCGCCCCCTTGTACCGTTGCTCGGCCTGCAATGGGGACGAGGACTGGGGCCTCAGCCACCCCATCCGGGGCCGCGCCAAGTCCCGCAGCCTGTCTGCCTCCCCGGCACTGGCTGGCAACAAGGAGTTCAGGTAGGACTCGGCTCCTTCCTCTCAGGCTCCAGACCTGCTCTCCCAGACTGTTCCAGAGGCTTCCATGGGCTCCTGGCTGAAGCTGCCTAAAGATTTGCTCTGATCTCTGTTGAGGGCGGGGCTGGGCAGGGCTGCCGGGGACCAGAGCCCGAGGCTGGTTTGGCCCTTTTACGTGCGGGGGGTGGGGCCGGTAGGCAAGGTCCGCGTGGCCCGGCCCCTCCCCAGCCACTCATAGCAGCGGTCCTTGCACAATCCGCTTTAGTAAGCGCCTGGGAGCCGGCCCGGCCGGGCGGGGATGGCTCCTGCAGGGGCCACTGCAGTTTCCGGGACAGTTGTGTGGTGAGTGAGCGGGGCAGCCAGGAGGAGCCCAGTGTGGAACAGCCTGTGCAGAGTTCTGGAGTGCTCGTGGATGTGGGGTGACACCTCCATGTGGGTGGGCAGGGCTGAAGAGGCTGACATGGCAGGTGTGGGCGCGGGAGGCCGCGTGGAGGCCACTGTGGTCGGGACGTGTGTCCCAGCAGCCAGATGCCCCTCGGCTCAGCCTGGCTCTCTGGAGACTGCAGCCTGACCGGCCACTTCCCCACACTCGCCAAGAGCTTCCCAGAGGCAGTGACCCTATCCCGAGGCTTCTTAGTGCCCCTAGTGGCTGCGTGGACAGCGTGGGGCTCTCGTGGCGCCGCCAGTGCCTGGCTCTGACGGCACGTTTCTTCCCCCAGGAGGACTCGCTCACTGCACGGGCCCTGCCCGGTGACCACATTTGGACCAAAGGCCTGCGTGCTGCAGAACCCCCAGGCCATCATGTGAGTTCGCGGGCCAGGGGGGCCTGCTCTCCTCCCTGGTCCCCTGGGGCATCCCCAGCACACAGGGGCACTTTCTCCAGTGGAAGGGCATCCCGCTGTGCCCCCTCGTTCTTCCTGAGACATTGGGGTTCCTGCTAGGTCTGACTGCTTGGGGACTCGGGCCTGGCTGGGCTGGCCTGGGCTCGGGGCACAGGGATTGCCAGGGGCACCACCACCAGGCCAGGCCTGCTATGCAGATGGGCCCCAGGTGGCATGTCCACATGACTGCTACCATCGCCCGCAGGGCTGAACCCAGAGCCCGGTGCCCCTGCTTCCTGTTTACACTGGCACGGCCCTGCCCTTGTGACCTCTCCCCACCCTCTGGCCTCTAGAGCCCAGGTGGAGCGCTCCCTGGTCAGGGTGGTTTGGGGTGGGTGTGCCTAGGCCACACCACGGGCACGAGGAGCGTACGTGCCGTGGGCCTCGGAACCCTGGCAGCACCCCAGCCGGCTCCTTTCGTCTCCCTCCTGCTTTGTCAGTGGATGGGGCGCAGCTGGGTCCTGGCCAGGCCCCTCAGTCCAGCTGCTCCGCCCCCTCCCCCTGACTTGAGGGACTGAGTGTGGGCCCCTGCAGTCCCACTTGGCTGCTTGTGGGGTTCCTTATCCATGCAGCCACCTGCTTGGCGGGGGTGAGGGGTGGCTGGGGGCCAGAGGCCCGGCAAGGAAGCCCGCTGAGCGCCCCGCTCTTTCCAAGGCACATCCAGGACCCTGCGAGCCAGCGGCTGGCCTGGAACAAGCCGCCAAAGAGTGTGCTGGTGGTGAAGAAGCTGCGGGACGCCAGCCTACTGCAGCCCTTCAAGGAGCTGTGCTCGTACCTGACGGAGGTGCGTATCCGCCCCCGGGTGCGGGGCAGGCACGAGCCCACCGCTCAGGGCCCAGTGGGACTGACGGGGGCCTCATTCCAGGAGAACGGTATGATCGTGTATGTGGAGAAGAAAGTTCTGGAAGACCCGGCCATTGTGAGTGACGCTCACTTTGGACCAGTGAAGAAGAAGTTCTGCACCTTCCGCGAAGGCAAGTTCCCCAGGACCCGGGTGGCTGTGGACCCGGGCGGCTGTGGGCACCCTGGGGCCTTCTGGGCGTCGTGTGACACCCACGTGCCTGTGTCTCCAGATTACGACGACATTTCCAACCAGATTGACCTCATCATCTGCCTGGGCGGGGATGGCACGCTGCTGTACGCATCCTCTCTCTTCCAGGTGCGGGACCCGCCCACCCCCCCTTGCCCCCTCGGGCAATGTCCCCCCCTCATGGCCTCTCATGCCGGCCCCCCGCGACCCCCCCCCGCAGGGCAGTGTCCCCCCGGTCATGGCCTTCCACCTGGGTTCCCTGGGCTTTCTGACGCCCTTCAGCTTCGAGAACTTCCAGCCCCAGGTCATGCAGGTCATCCAGGGTGAGTGGCCCTTCTGCACGCGGGGTCTTCCTCGCGCGCGGTTTTGGCTGGGGGGTGTCAGCACACCTGGTGCTGCTCGGGGGTCACTGGCGGGGCTCTGGGCGCATTGGCGCCTCCTCACCTCCAACCCAGGCGTCTGGGCCTTAAGTGCGTGAGAAACGCACGCACTGGTTCTCGCTCAAGGTGTTGTAACCGTCCCCTTCTTCCTCAGCCTGGAGGAGGCTCAGCACGTCACTTATGTGTGACCAGTCACTGGATGTGTGGCCTGCTGAGTCAGAGGAACCAGGCCGGAACTGGTTTTGCAGGAAGCCTTTAAGTGCTGGGGAGAGAGTTGTGGGGTCCTGCTCAAGAGGGATGGGCCAGGCGGGCGTGCTTCCTGCTCACTGCCCTGTGTGCGGCCCCCAGGGAACGCGGCTGTTGTTCTGCGGAGCCGCTTGAAGGTCCGGGTGGTGAAGGAACTTCGCGCCCAGCCGCCTGCCGTCTCCAACGGACTCAGTGAGCACCTCAGTGAGCACGGGGTGCCGGCCACTGCCCTGGACATGGAACTGGGGAAGCAAGTGATGCAGTACCAGGTGTGTGTGCCCAACCGCAGGACACACCCTGGGAGCCCCCACGGTGCTCAGGGCTGCGTGGGGGTCAGTCCTCCTGCATGTGCCTCCTGCGCCCCCAGGTGCTGAATGAGGTGGTGATTGACAGGGGCCCCTCATCCTACCTGTCCAACGTGGACGTCTACCTGGACGGGCACCTCATCACCACGGTGCAGGGGGATGGTAGGTGCAGGCAGGGCGGGGTGCCCAGGGGCCGTGGTGGAAGGCCGCTGGGGCGCACCTGTGACCCTCCCCCACCTTCTCCAGGTGTGATTGTCTCCACCCCCACGGGGAGCACAGCCTACGCGGCAGCCGCCGGAGCCTCCATGATCCACCCCAATGTGCCGGCCATCATGATCACACCCATCTGCCCCCACTCGCTGTCCTTCCGGCCCATCGTGGTCCCTGCAGGGGTAGAGCTGAAGGTCAGAGACCCCAGGTGCTCCCCCTCACCCCTGCAGGCTTCCCTGCCCCTGGCTGTGTGTCCCCGAGGAATGGTTGCCTGGGCTGCGGTCTGAGTCCCTTGGCTGGTGGCAGAGTGCTTGGACCCCAGGGGGCCTGTGGCGACCCTGAGCCTGGGAAGCTAAGCTGCCCCACACCTGTTTTGCTTGACCTTTCAGATCATGCTGTCCCCAGAAGCCAGGAACACTGCTTGGGTATCCTTCGATGGACGAAAGCGACAGGAGATACGCCACGGAGACAGGTGTGGGGCAGGGGTGAAGGGCGAGGGGGTGCCGGCCGTGCGGTGGGACCTATGTAAGGAACAGTATGTGGAGGCTGCGTCTCAGGTCCACCTGCGTTCTTTCAGCTGACATTCTGTCTAGCTTGGATTGCCTGGTGCCCTGAGTTCCCTCCCCTGACCCTGGGGGTTGAGGGACCTCCGGGTTGCCTGCAGTTAGCACCCTGAGGCCCGGCTGGGGGCTGCGGGGTTGGGGGTCACCCACGTTCCCACTGCCCGCAGCATCAGCATCACCACATCCTGCTACCCGCTGCCGTCCATCTGCGTGCGAGATCCCGTGAGCGACTGGTTCGAGAGCCTGGGCCAGTGTCTGCACTGGAATGTGCGCAAGAAGCAGGCACAGTTCTCCGAGGAAGAAGAGGGTGGTGCCGATGGCTAGAGTCCCGGCCAGGGACGTGGAGGCAGCCTTTGTCCACCACATGACCTGTTAATGTTTCAGATCTGATTCTTTTTTGTATTTCTAAGTGAGGTGCCCAGCGCGCGGCAGGCACTGGGCAGTGGGTCACCTCCAGGCGCCTACTCTGAGTCAGTGAGGTCTTGGGGGCGCTTGTGGTTAATCAGTCTGTTCTTTGGTGTGAAAGCAATTGTCACGGCCTAAATTCTCTCAATGCACCAATTCTCCCTGATTCTGCACCTGTCCTTAGAATGCTGGAGGGACACTGAGGGACTCAGTGCCAGCCTGGTTTGATGGACAGCGAGGGGACTGTGGGCGCTGTGGCTCCACCGCCATGAGTGGAGTAGTGGGGGCTGTCTGGTTGATTATTCTCAGGACGTCAGGCTTTTGGGGTCCCCATCACCCCTTGACGATGTGCCCCAGGGCCTGGCAAGGGATTGCCCCAGGCCACGTGTTCTTGAGCTCCCGTGGGCCCCGCGGGGCGGGTGCACGTACCAGTGACCCTGGCGCCAGCTGGGCAGGAGGCCCCTGAGTTCCTGGGCAGCCCTGTGCCTTCGCCAGGCCGGGATGGGCTGGCCTCAGTGGCCCCATGGTGCCCTTGGCCAGGCATGGGTCTGCAGAGCTGGCCCTGCTCCGGGTGTGCTGACCACTGCCTGACTCCTGCCCGCGTCTGCTCACAGGAAGGAAGGGCCTGGTACCCTAATGTCCATACTGTTAATATCTCGAAAGTTTGTTCAATGTTGAAAAGCTTTATCACTATTTTCCGATTCTTTCAATAAACAGACTTGTTTAAGAAGCTGGGGTGAGGAGCTGTTTTGTTCGGCTTTCTGGGGCCAGCAGGCTGGGCTCCAGGGTCTGGAGAGGTGGGGTGTCGCACATGCGTCCCCAGCAGCTCTGGGGGCATGCATGGCCCTCCAGTAGCAACAGCCTAGGACACTGCAGCATGGACCATGTGGCCCTCTCTGAGCACTGTGACCCACCCTGCTAGCGGGCATGAGGACCTGCTGGCTTCAGGTGGGGCTGTCCCATCTGGGCACACTTCCTGCCGCCCCCACTGTCCAGCACCCCCCAAGCCTTCTGCTCCCCTCCACCAGGCTGTGTTGGCTGGGTTTGCACAGCTGCTCTGACCACGGGGCTAGAATGGACCAGTGTGGACCCGAGACTACGTGGATTGCCCTGGGGCTGCACCCAGTACAGGAGCCTTACCCGGTCTGTCTGCACAGCCGCCCTTCTTGTCAAAGGTGGCTGCAGCCCCTTGTCTGCTTCCAGCTTGGCACAGACATTCCGGGGCAAGTCTGGGGATCGGCTGAGGCCGCTTGGGTCTGGCTTGAACACAGCCTGGACTAGCCTGCCTGTCCAGTTCCCACACCAGCAGCCATGGAAAGGACGGATGGGGCATGGGGCGCGACCGTGCCAGCAGGAGGAGCTGAGAAGACCCAGGGAGGCTCCATGGAGGGAACTTCTTGCTTCCTCAGATTTGGGCAGATTGTGCTGTCCTCTGGACCAGCAAGTCGTACGGAGTGAAGGGGAGCCTGGGGCCACGGGGTTCTGGTGGGTGCTGTACATGCGTGGCCCCTTGCTCACTGCTGGGTCGAGCCTGAAGGACTCTGAACAAAAACGATCCCACCTACTCAGGGTCACATCCACAGAGACCCCAATCTTCCTCCCTCCCCCCTGCTAGCCCTCCCCATAACCCCTGCCTTCCTCCTGGAACGATCATAGCCCTAAGGGGTTCAAGCATTGGGCAGCTGGGCCCTGACACTGAGTCCAGACACAGTTTTGAACACGAGCTCCTGGGGCTGCAGCTGATGCCTGGGAGAGAGGCGCTGGCCAGTGCTCCTGAGGACATTGCACAGGGGCAAGTGGCTCTAGCCAAGCCCTAGCAACCTTTTTCCTACCCACAGTGAGCTCCTGACCCTGCTGCCATCACTGTCCCCTAGAACTAAGGCCCCCTTGGGTCCCTGGACACTAGACTCAGTGGGAATGTGAGGGTGGTGCCAACCAGGTCTCTAGGTGTGTCAGAGAAGGTGCTTCACTTCACAGCTCTGACAGGTGAACCCCTACATCTGGAACCCAACCACCATTTCACCCCCTCGCAAGCTTCCAGTTACACCTGTGTCACCTGTGTGACACCCATCTGTCTGCGCCATCCTCTCTTGTGTGCTCTCCGCGGGTGACATGTGTCTGTCCAAACGTTTCTTTCCCCTTTGTTGTTTCTAGTTAGCTGTCCTATGTAAGTTAGGTTTTTTACTTCAATTGGAGAAGTAACTAATTGGATACGGAATGCCCTATAGAAATGTGGTTGTGTAAAATGACAAAGTGGTTGTGTAAAATGACAGCTGTTCCTTCCCACTTTCCTTGTGCTGGAGGGTGAACAGAAGGCCAGGGGACACCATGACTGTGGATTGTGGACACTTCTTTTCCCACCTTCCAGAAGTCTGTTTCTGAATGCTGGAAACGCTAGGAAGGAGACGGAGACAGGTAGGGCAGATTCTGGACGGAGGCTGGAGCTCAGAGGGCCGGCAGCCCAGAGGGAAGAATTCTGCAAGAACTACAGTATTCTTAGGGCCTGGGAACCCACATGTTGCCTCAGTTTCCCTTCCTGAGGGTTCTTAGTGGGTTTCTCGGGAAACTTGTCAGTCTGCCCCAACCTGGAGGCTGCTGTGCTCCTTCTCCCTGAAAGTCTACTTGGAATCCACTCAGAGTTGAAACTGCAGGCTGGACATGGGTAAGGCGCTTCTTTGCACGCGGCCAACCCTGTCCCATCCCTGGCATCCCTTATGGTCCCCTGAGTACCACCAGGAGTGATTCCTGAGTGCAGAGCCAGGAAGAACCTCTGGGCATTACCATGTGTGGCCCCAAAACAAGCTGAAACTTAAGCAAATGCAGTTGGAAACAAAAATGAAACTTGGAATGGCCTGGCCTGAAATTTCTGCCTGTCTCCCTCCAAGGCAGAACAGACAACTGTTCTCAGACAAGAGGCGGGTTCCCAGAATGGAGGCCTGTGGGGAGCCCAGGAACTGGAGGAGGAAGGCATGGAACAGCTACATTGGGAGGTCAATGGTCAACTGTTATTTTAATTTGGGACCACATCCAGTAGTGCTCAGGGTTGACTTCTGCCTCTGTGCTGAAAGATCACTCCCAGCAGGCTCAGAGGACCACATGGGGTGCTGAGGAGGGGATGGAGCCTGGGTTGAGCATGTGCAGGTGCCTTTCTCGTTATACTATTACTCTTGCCCCAGTAAGACAGGTTTGTTTTTTTTTTGGGGGGGGGGGGTTGCCAGCAGGATGGATGGTATGGTGGCTAGGGAGCTTGCCTTGCAGGTGGCAGACCCAGGTTTGATCCCCAGATCCCCAAGCAACGCCAGGAGTGATCCCTAAGTACAGAACCAGGGGTAAGTTAAGTCCTGAACACAGTCAGGTGTGGTCCTAAAAACAGAATTGGGAATGTAGCTCAGCTTTGAGGCACTTTCCTTGCTTGTGTGAGGTCCTGGGTTCCAGCCTTGAAAACGTGGAAATTCTCAACAAAAGCCAGTGAAGAAGCAGGCAGCACACCTTACAAAGTGGGGGGAGTCAGTGAACCCAGCTGAACTCGTGCTCCAGAGCTGGGCCCAGAACAAAGGTGGGAGTTCTCATCCATAGAGTTATGATAGGGGTTGGGGCATTTGTGGGCAGCTGGCAGGAGAGTACAGAAGCAGAAATTCCCAAGCATCTTAGTTTTGCAAAACAGGGTCTGGACCACCTCAAGAGCGTGAGCACATTGGGAGGATGTTCCCAGATTACCAAGGTTACAAAGCAAGATTAGGACTGAGACCATCTCAAGGACTCTCCGAATGCACCCCATGGTTATGTCCTGTAGCTGACTCATCTGCCCTCCTGCTCTCTGGCATTAGCCTGGCAGAAATGTGAACAAGGTCTGGCTTCCTATCGGCACAAGAACATACAAAATAAATTTTTATAAATTTTTTTCGAAGTAATTCAGCTCCCAACAACTCCAGGACCCCCTGCGAGCAAGACTGTCGCAAACAACTCGGGGCTTTGTGAGAGCAGGTGCATTCCCGTTGCCCACTTTGCCCGGGTTGGTGGGGTCGTCCGGCTTAGTTCAGGGATGCAGAAGGGAGCTCCTGATACTAGAGGCACATGCTGTGGAATCGGTCGTCTCGGCTCTGCTTCCTCGCATGCTCTGTGTCACCCGGCCCAGGGCGAGTCACCGGGTCCCTGCGGGATGCGGAGGGCGGGCCCACTGACTTTAGAACAACACCAACTGCTCTCTGCCGGCCCACCGACTTTAGAACAACAGAAAGTACTGCTAAAACCCATGCAGGCCTGTGGGCCGAAACCGGACTCAAAGCACCGAGCGACGCAGAGAGCGGGAAAGCAGCTGGCCCCAGGTCGGACCCGTGACGGGGATCGGCAGCTGCAGAGCGGAAAAGACGCACGCCGAGCGCCGCCCTCAGGAGGGGCCTCGGCAGCTCGCCCAGATTTTTCGCGACGACCAATCAGCTTGCCCAGAGGCTCCGCGACGACCAATCAGCTCGCCCAGAGTTTCCGAGACGCCCAATCAGTCTCGCCCGGGGCGTGGCCTCAGTCCCGCCGCCCGGCGCGGGGCCCGGCCGTCCGAGGAGGCCGCCGCCCGGTCGTCCGGGGCCGGAAGTGGAAGTCGTTTGCGGGCGGCGTCCCCCACCTGCTCCGGGGATGGGCCCGGCGGGCGCCCCGACCGGCCGGGGTAGGGAGGGCGTCGACCGCCGCCGCCGCCGCGCGACTTCCGGCGCGTCACTTCCGGCCCCGCGCGCTTCCGCTGTCGGCGCGCCCCGCCCCGGGTTCGGCGCGCGACTCGGGGCGGAGAGACGCGGCCGCGCCGGCTGAGGCGCCGCCCGCCCGGGCTCCCGGCAGCGCGGCCGGCTCCGGCGTGGGGCGCCGCGGTCCCGCCCCGCCCTGACGCACGCGGCCCTTCCGGGGCGCCGCCTCCGCGCCGCCCGCCCCGCAGCCCCGACGGCGCGGCCTCCCGCGGGCTCAGCGGCTCCTGGTCCGGGACCGCGCGGGGTGGGACGGGTAGGCGTGAGGGGCGGGGGGCGGGACGGGTAGGGGCGGGGCGGGTAGGCGTGCGGCGCGGGGAGCGGGACGAGGCGGGGGGCGGGACGGGTAAGGGTGCGGGTAGGGGCGGGGCGGGTGGGCGTGCTGCGCGGTGAGGGGTGCGGGACGCGGGACGGTGCAGGGCCCAGGCTGCGGGCTGGCCTCTCCCTGGGCCCCCCAACCCCCAGGCACTGGAGAGGCGCGCCCATACGCCCTGGGACGCGGCGTGATCTGTTTCCCAGCAAAACCCGGAGAGCGTTCTCGCTCATGTACAGCACGAAGGGGAAGCCCCGCCACGGGCACACTCTGCAGCTGGAAGTGGTTTAGGTGCGCCAGTGTTCCCTCCCTCCACCGACTTTTTTTTGGGGGGGTCACAGTGGGGTCCCCCACAACTGAAGCCCCCGCTGCTTCCTTGAGGCCCAGGCCTTGAAGGGGCTGGGGTTTCTCTCCCCCCTAGGCCCATGTGATTTGAGAAGAGGCTCTTGCTTGGTGCTCTGAGGTCTCTCAGCAAAGTTGGGGAACCACCTAGTGGTGCGGTGGTCAGACCTGGGCTCCTGGGGCAGTTTCTGTGGGCGAGAACAGATCTGGTCTCTGAAGCATGGCGGATGGGACAGTCAGAGCCTTTCCACCGCATTCGGTCCGAAGCCCTGCTGATAACCGGAGTCAGCCGACCGGGCCTTGGGAGCACCTTGTTCCTTTGTTCCCGGAAGGGTTGCTGTTTGTGGAGATAATGTTTTCGATAGAGATCACGGTTGTGCTTTGGACTGCATGTCCCCAGTGCTCCTGCTGTCCCTGGTCTTCCTGCCTGCCCCTCCCTCCCTTTTTCTGGTTCGCATTCACTGCTCTCATGCAGTACTTTGTTCCTGCTCCTGTGTCAGTGAGTTCATCTTGTGTCTTCCTCCCAGTTTAGCATCGTCCCTCTGAAGAACAGGCATGAACCTGCCAGGCTGTAGAGTTGGAGTGGCATGATGGTACCGTTGCAGGGCACAGTCCCTTTCCCAGTGGCATGAGCCCATTGTGGACTCTCGGGCGGTCACCCCATTCAGGCTGCTCTAGTGCAAAGCCTATACCTGCCAAGTCGGGCAGCTCAGCCCTGAAGCTGACCACGAGCACCTTACTGATGCTTCCTTACTACTCTGGGCAAAGGTCTTGAACGGGAGGGCAGGAGGGGTGGCAGGTAGCCATGGATGTTTCGTGCAGTGGTGGGGTGGCCACTCCCAGTGACCAGGCAGAGCTGAGCCCTACCCTGTTCTTTGCATGCTCTGCCTGTGTCTAGATGCAGGTACGGGCAGCCGGTGATTTGTACAAACAGTTTTCGTTGTCTGACCTTGATTCTCTTTACAGGACAAGAATGACCTCTTGCTGAAAGTGGCCCTGCATGCATGGACGGCAAGCCATGGGGACCTGTGGTGAGGCGGAGTGTCTGCGGACAGCAGGCCGCTCTTCCTGACCCCCAGCTTGCCCGAGCGGCACCGTCTCTCTGAATCTCCTTCGCCCCTGGAGTGGGCATTTCTATGCAGGATCTCGGCTCCAGGCTGTTCACAGATGGTCAGTATTGATTATGAGTTCACTGTCCCTTATTGCCTGGAAACAACCTGCTGCTCCACAGGACTGTGGCACTGGAGGTCAAGTACCTGCTGGGGGGGACCAAATTTGGCCATGCTCAGGATGACCCCTGGTGCACTGGGAAACCACAAGTGGTGCTAGGGATTCAGAACCAGATCCCATGGTGCCGGGCAAGCGCCTTAGCCCTCATCCTAGTTATCTGGACGCTGTCACTTCTGCCATTAAGGTTGTGGGACGTGAGCTGAGTGTGGCCCCAGCGCTGAGAGCTGTGTTCGCAGGGCAGGATGTGCCTCTCCGCAGTGCGGCGCCCGTGAGGCTGAATCCCTGGGCCTAGTGCTGGCACCTGTGGCCAGTTGGTTCTGCGTCACAGGATCCTGGGTCAAGACCTCAGGGCACTGCAGCGCTGGCCTGTGTCCGCAGGGCCCCACCTCCGTTCCCGTTCCGCCCTCTGGCTGGCCCCTGCCTCCTTCCTTCTTTGATGTGGTGACTCCTTCCGTTCTCTAGAGACCCAGTCTTGTCTCGTCCTGTGGGGTCTGGGTCTGACGTAGTGGACGGTGGGGATTTTGTCCCTACTCGGCTCCTGTGCCCTGGCTTCCCCGGGTGTTCTGATCTCTGACCCTCAGCCATCGATCTTCATCAGCAAAGGTCCTCGGTCCAGTGTAGGAAGCTTTTCCCGAGTCGCCTGCCGCCCCTGCTCTGGGGGGCAGCGGCCACATTGTCTGCCTGCCTGCTGGGGATTTGGGCTACTTGTGCAGCCGGTGGGGCTCTCGGAGAAGCCCCGGTCTCACCCTGACCCGTCGAGGCTGCTTGGGACCTGGTGAGCATTGGCTTCTCTGGCTCCAGCCTGGGCTTAGGGTGTTCCTGGGCAGCCACCCTCTCCCTCTGGTTTCTGTGTCTGGACCTCCTGCCCTGCGCTCATGCCCTGCTCGAGCCCCCTCACCTTCTCACCCCTGAAGCTTCTGCCACCTGGGGACTCTGCCAGCTCTGGAAATCCCTCGTGCCTGACAGACTCCTGTGTGTGTGTGTGCGGGGGTGGGGGGGGGGTGGGAGGCATTTTTGGCAGACATCCGCCTCGTCGTTGGGGCAGCGGTCAGAGCTGCACACTGGGTCCCTCTTTAAGGCAGCACCCCTGACCCCTGACCCCCGTCACACAGCATTTACCCGGCTGGGACTGGCCATCACCTGTGGCCAGCAGCGGGCTGCTCCTGCCCTGCTCTTACTGAGCCACAGGTACTTTGGGATTTGGGATGTTTAGCTTTGTTTTGTTGGAGTTTGTTTTGACCACACCCAGCGGTGCTCAGGGCTTACTCCTGGCTCTGTGCTCAGGAGTAACTCCTGGCGGTGCTTGGAGGACCACATGGGTTGCTGGGATTGAACCCTGGTCAGGCACGTACAAGGCAAGTGCCCTCCCCACCATGCTATGGCGCCAGCCCAGCAGCGAGGAGCCCCCGTTGGGACTTGTTGTGGCTCTTTGGTTTGGGGGCTACTTGGTACTGCTCAGGAGTAGTCCATGGTGCCCTGTCAGGGCTGGACCAGGGTGGGCTATATACAGGGCAACAGCTAACATCGCATCTCCTCACCCCTGCATTCTGCTGCCCTGCCAGTGTTCTATATATTCACCCCAGCTCTGGGCCCCACTCACACCCCGTCTCCTCACCCCTGCACTCTGGCTTCACAAGCACCCTGTCTCCTGGCATCTCTCAGTGACCTCATGCCTGCTGGCCTTGGTGCCCGTGATGTCATGGCAACCTGTGCTGGTTCCAGGGAAACAGGCTTACACTCTCCTCTCACACGAACGTTCTGGCTAGGGGTGGCCTTTAGCCAACATGCAGGGACTCCTGTGAGGGGGATGACATCGGGTTGGACGCTGGGTGGTAGGGCCGTTGTGGCCTCTTGGGGGTGGCACCTGATGAGGTCCCTAGGCAGTGGGTGATGGGTGTCCACAGATAGGCCTTGTGGGGCTTCCCATGCCCCTAGCCTCCTGTTCCAGCACCTGCTTCGGGATGGGCAGGACCCCTGCATCCTGCTTGGTGTGAGGGGTTCTGGAGCACACGGAAGCTTTGCCCTGAGAGTAGACTATGAGGGTGCTGATTAGGTTTCTCAGCCCCATCTTGCTCCCAGCCACTGACCTGTCGGGGTTGGGAGTGCAAAAAGTTGGTCTGTGCTGGAGTGTTGGGCATGGGCTCTGGCACCTGTTGGTGGGGGCTAGTGGCAGGTCGACAGACAGAGGGACATGGGCACGGGACTGGGGTTTCTGGCTTCATGATGCCCCCACATGTGGGAGCCCACTGCTGGCTAAGCCTGTGGCTGACTGGGGAGTCCCCGAACTGGGCCATGTCCAGGCCTTCGCCTGTAAGATTTGCCTTGATTTCTGGTTTGGGGGCCTCACCTGGCCTCAGGACTTGCTCCTGGCGGGGCTCAAGGGACCACATAGAGTGCTGGGATCAAACCTGGGACGGGCGCTGCAAGGCAGGAGCCCTACGCACTATACTGTCACTCCAGCCTGATTTGCAGACTTCTTGGGTTCTGTTTCCTCGGGAAATGAAAGGTGGCAAGTGTTGCCAGAAGCCTCAGCTTTGTGATGTGGCTGCTGTGACTCAAAGCTGGGCCATTTCATGTTCAGAAACCTTTTACTGGGCTAGAGCAGCAGCATAGCAGGTAGGGCGTTTGCCTTGCATGCAGCCCACCCGGGTTCAGTCCCCAGCATTCGGTCATCCAAGCCCACCAGGAATAAAACCTGAGCACCACGAGGTGTGACCCAGAACAAACCCCCCCAAAAAAACTTTTACTGTTGTCAGGTTTTTCACACCCCATGTGCAGCTGTGGACCCATCAGGGCTCGTGACCTCTGGTGTGGCCAGCATCACCCTGAGGCAGGCTGGCTGGGAAGGCACCCCAGAGCCTCCTGCAAAGGACTTGTTGCCAGGACGTGTCCTGGGAGCCGGGTTCTAGGCGTGCCAACAGGGCTGAGCAGGTGAGACCCTCGGCCACCCCCAAGCTGTGTGACCAGCCACCAGCCCAAGAGTGTGGTTGCAGTGCCTTCCTGCCTCCACCTCAGAGACCCCTCCCCTTCGGGAAGCAGAGGGCCGGTTGCGAATGTCCTTCTGGGGGGCAGAGGAGGTGGCGTCTGGGCTCCCCCATGGGTCAAGCGGCCAGGGAGGAGCCCTTTTGACTGGGGTTTGTCTGTCCCTCCCTCCTGCAGCCTGAGCCCGCCTGAGCGCCAGCACTGGACATTGTGGGGCCCATGCTGACCGTCCTGGGGGTCAGTCAATATGGCTGCCTCAGCGAAGGCCCCAGCGCCGGAGGAGCCCAGGGGGAGACCTCTCCTCTCCTGGGCCTCATTCTTGGGGCCCCGGAGCGAGAAGCTGGTGCTGAGCAGGGCGGAGGGGGCGCCCGAGGAGGCAGTGCTCACCATTACCATCACGGAGAGCACCGCCCTGGAGTCCGACCTGGGCGCCTGGAGCGCCCGCGCGCTCGTCTACCTCAGCCTCTGGTTCTTCTTCAGCTTCTGCACCCTCTTCCTCAACAAGTACATCCTGTCCCTGCTGGAGGGCGAGCCCAGCGTGCTGGGTAATCCCTGCCCGGGGCGGGGGGGCACATCCCACCTGCAGGGCCGGGGCCCAGGACCCACCCCTCACGGGCCTCCTCCCCACAGGTGCCGTGCAGATGCTGTCCACCGCCTGCATCGGCTGCGTGAAGGTCTTCGTGCCCTGCTGCCTGTCTCAGCACAAGGCCCGCCTCTCCTACCCGCCTAACTTCATTCTGACCATGTTGTTTGTGGGCCTGATGAGGTGGGCGCAGGGCGGGCTCCCCACAGCCTTCGGGTGGGTGTCACACCGAGCACGGTAGAAGGCCCTGCGCCCCGGCACGCACTGCACCCCCTCATGGCCTGCTCAGGGTGTTCCCGTGGGGTACACAGGCTGACAGGCAGTTGGGGGGGTGGGACCCATCTCGTGGTCTTTTCACTTTTAGATTCGCAACGGTCGTTTTGGGCTTGGTCAGCCTGAAGAATGTGGCGGTTTCCTTTGCTGAGACTGTGAAGAGCTCGGCCCCCATTTTCACCGTCATCATGTCCCGCATGATTCTGGGGGAGTACACAGGTAACGCCCCCCCCAGTCCGCACCACACGGGGTGCCCAGCTGCATCGGAGCTTGCTGTCTGCGGGGCAGGGACACGGGGTGCGGAGAGCAGCTGTGGAAGGAACGGATTCAGGGGGCCCATGGGCAGCTCCCCTCTGGCCACCTTCAGGGCGGGGCGAGGCCCTCCCTGCATGCCACTCCCTGGTGCCATTCCCTGCCCTGCAAACCAGGAAAGCAACACGTTTGCTGGGCCAGCTAGATCTGATAGGTACAGCCAAGCGGGTCGTGGCATGGATGTAGCCGCACGTGGGTGGGTGCAGGCCTAGGTACGGTACGGCGACAGGGTGGGCGTGGCTATAGATGTGGTTCCAGGCTTGGGCGCAGCTGTAGTTAGGGACCACAGTAGGTGTGGTGCAGACGTAGATGGAGGTAGAATTCGATACGGATCTGGAAGGAGATTTCCATACAGGACACGGATATGGGGTGGTGGGCATGGATAGAGCTGCGGGCAAGAATGAATGCTCACCCGCAGATGTGGATAATGGGCACGGGTGGGTCCTATTCAGAAAACGACAAAAGGGGCCCGAGAGATAGGACAGTGGGCAGCATATTTAACCGTGTTCTCAGCCAATCTGGGTTCAGTCACCAGCACCTATATGGTAACCTGAGCACTGCCAGCGTGACCCAAAGCTAATTAAACAAAATGAATGGCATGGCTGGAGACATACACAGGACAGTGGTTAGGGCTCTAGCCCTGCACTCAGCTGAGCAAGGTTGGGCCCCCAGCAGCACAGCCAGTGTGGCCCAAGAACCGAAGAGAAAAAAGAATGACAAGATGTTTGAGTCCCGAGAGGAGTAGGACAGGCTCGACCTCTTCCAGATGTGCCTGGGAAACTGCAGACATTCCAGAGTGATCAGTTCCGCCCGGCCAGCAGCGTGACAGGGGCCTGGTTGTCCCCAGCGGGAGACCTACACGAGTGGCTTTGAGACTGCAGTGATGTTGGCTGCAGCACGTGCTTGCTTGCTAAATAGTTTGCAGAGCTAAAGGGAACAGCAAAAGGAAATCTGGGGTCTAGGAAGACAGCTTGATGAGTTCAGTGTGTGCTGATCCTGCCGCGTGTGGCAGAGTGGGAGGGAGGAAGAAGAAACCGCCTGGGGCATGTTGGTGGATGGTCAGGTCCCAGGACTCGAATGGTGCCGAGGCCACAGAGCTGCAACGTACAAGATGTCGTTGTTTCCAGTGCCGTGGAAGGGCTGACAGCCGAGGTCTCCGGTGTGACGCTCTTTGCAGGCTTGCTGGTCAACCTCTCCCTTATCCCCGTCATGGGCGGGCTGGCTCTGTGCACTGCCACCGAGATCAGCTTCAACATTCTGGGCTTCTCGGCTGCGCTGTCCACCAACATCATGGACTGGTGAGTGGAGGGGAGTGCATGGGGCTGGGCGGCCACTGAGTCTGACTCAGTTGCTTCTTGGGCCACAGCCAGGCCCACCAAGGCTCCTTTTCATAAAGGGGTCCAGCGAGGTCCCTTTGGTTGGGGCTGGGTTTGGGGCCATGCCCATGTGGCCATCCTTGAGACCAGAAGTGACAGGGATATCACCCTGTGCTGCTGGCACAGCCATTGGCCCAGCTGGCAGCCATCCCCTGGCCCTGGCCAACCCCCTCCAGAGGTCTGACCAGCAGGCAGCTGTGGTTTCTCTTGCCGCCTCCTCCACCAAACCCTTGCTCACATCCAAACACTGAAAAGTGCCTTTCTTCCTGGCGCCAAGTGAGGCGGTTGTGCTGGAGGCTCTGTCCTCTGCAGTGGCTGGCCGGCCTGAGGATCCCTGGAACTCTGTCCACACAAGCTGAGGTTCCGTGCTGCCTAAGGCTGTGTCAGTATGTTTGGAGGTTGGGAACGTGGGATTTAGGCCACATCTGATGGGGCTCAGGGCTTACACCTGGCGCTGTTCAGGAACACTCCTGGTGGGACTTGGAACTTGAATCTGGGTCAGCTGGTACAGGGCAGGTGCCTCTCTGCTGTCCTGTGGTCCTGGTCCCTGGCAGTACAGTTGTATGGGATTTTTTATTTTTTGAATCACAGTGGGAAACACAGTTACAAAGTTGTTCACGGTATGGTTCAGTCAGTCAAACACCTGTCCCTTCACCAGTATACGTTTCCCACCTCCGTGGCTGTTCTTCCACACACAAGCTTTCTCTCGCTTTCTCATGCGCGCTCTTTTTCTCTCCCCCTTTTGGTCATTATGGTTTGCAGTACAGGAACTGAACGGTTATCATGTTTGTCCCTTTAACTACTTTCAGCATTTTGTTCTTGTCCAGAGATTTCACTTATTTCTTGAGCCAGTTGCCTACATTTTTGACAGATTAATTTCTCAGTGAACTTGGTCCAGTCCATGGATGGCAGAGTAGTGATTTTGGAGTGTGGAGTGAGTGGCTGCTGGGCTCTATTTAGGTGGGTCCTGGGTCCACCTGTCACCCTCCAGGGTGCCTGGACATCTCAGCCAGAAGCAGGTGTCCATAGACTTTTGGCAGTAGCTGATCCTCTTTGAGATTGATTTGTGAATCTCTGGAGCAGGCCCTGTAGATGAGCTTACATGGTGGCGCTGGAGGTGGTTCATCTCTAGTCCCATGTCGCTCAGTCTTGACAAGCAAGGGCATGCCCTTCGGCCACTCCATGCAGCCAGGTGACACATGGCCAGTGCCCGGTCATCCCACTGGCGGTCCTCGTTGAGCGTGTCCGCCTTTATCCACTGCCAGCTGCTGTCCAGGATGGCCCAGGGTCCTGCCACAGTTGCCTGGGAAGAGAGGGTGGGGCTGGACAGGAGGGTGCTCTCAAACTGAGGAGTTCCGGCCTCACTGCTGCCTCGGCTCCCCGCCCTGCCGCGGGACCAAGCCAGGCTCCGCTCACTGCCTGCCTTCCGCCTCCACCAGCACTGTGCAGAACTACTTCCTGCCTGCCTGTGCTAAGTGTTTTTGCCAGTTAATATAGCCAATCAAAGCAAGACCAAAGTCCAATTCTCCTGACGCTTCTCCCCTCTCCACTGCCTTCAGAAATCTGTCTGCCAGAGTGCCAGTGGCCCAGAAACCATGTCAGCGACACCCGCTGGCAGCCTCCTGGTATCCGTGGCCTCCCAGGAGGTGCATCAGTGCCTGATACAGGATTTCTTTTTGGGTTTTTTTGTTGTTGTTGTTTTTTGTTTTTTTTTTTCTTTGGCTTTTTGAGTCACACCGGCGATGCACAGGGGTCACTCCTGGCTCTGCTCTCAGGAATTACTCCTGGCAGTGCTCGGGGGACCATACGGGATGCTGGGAATCGAACCCCAGTCAGCCGTGTGCAAGGCAAGCGCCGTACCTACTGTGCTATTGCTTCAGCCCCGATCCAGGAATTTTTGAGGCTGCTAGTGTGAGGAGGGGATCCCCATACGTATCCATGGGGACCTGCCCTCAGTCCTGACCCCATTGCTTGCTCAGCGGGTGTCAGAGCGGTGGTCAGGAGAGGGACTGTGACCTCTGTGACTGGAGGTCTTTGGCCATCTCGGGCCTGTGCAGGGTCAGTGTTGCCCTGTTAACGGTCGGCTCAGGCTTCTCTCCCCGTCACCCCTTATTTTCTGTTCCAGTTTGCAGAATGTTTTCTCAAAAAAGCTCCTCAGTGGGGACAAGTACCGGTTCTCGTAAGTACCATAAGCAGGGACCCCTTCCACACCCATGCCCATGGCGTGCCCGGGGCCCTTCCTGAACCTGGATGGAACCCACGGTTGGCCGTGGGGTCGGGTGGAAGTAGGTGCCACGTGTGCAGTTCCGGGTGGCGGCCCTTGTCCCCGCAGGGCTGCAGAGCTCCAGTTCTACACCAGCGCCGCGGCCGTGGCCATGCTCGTCCCTGCCTGGGTCTTCTTCATGGTGAGTCCCGTCCCCCACGCGGCCACACGGCAGGGACGGCTTCCCTGGGGCTCCAGTGAGAAGTGCAGGCGGCCCTGCTGCTCATAACCCATTGGGAGCCCTTGCTCCTTTACTGACTTTTTGGGGGTGGGGGAGAAGGGGATGCAGGGGGTTAGACCACACCTGGCAGTGCTCAGGACTTGCTTCTGGTCTGCGCTCAGGAATCAATCCTAGCAGACTTTGGCGACCACAGGGGTGCCAGGGTTAGATTCTGGTCAGCTGTATGAAAGATGCAGACCTCACTCATGTCCTGCTGAGCCGGATCAGAGTAGCCCCTCTGCATGTGGGCAGGAGTGTCCGTGCTCTGCAGCAGCGCACAGGAGGGGCCAGGCCCTCAGCGGGCCACGAAGCAGACCCTAGTCTCCAGCTTCCACTTCAGACCCAGTGACTATGATGCTCCCTGTCCCCACTGAGGGTCCTTCACCTGCAGGCCACAAGACACCTCTCATGGCCATCCTTCACAAGCCCAGAAGGACTCTTAGGACTGTGCTAAAACCGACATGTACCACTCAGGCTTAGGACCTCCCTAAGTGGGAGCCAAGCTGGGGTTTGTCCCTGACAGTGTCCTCACAGCCATCTGGGGGACTGTCCGTGGACATGGGGTCGGGGGGGGGGGGGGGACAGTCCACCTGAGGGTTTAGGATGCCGCACTGCAGTGAACTGGAATGCAGCTGCTTGTTCGGGTTGTGGCATGTCTCTCAGTCAGGTCATTGGACACTTTGCAGAGTGACTCCTCTTGAACCCATAGGTCCTGGCATGTGCCCAGCAGCCAGCTACCCTATGTCTTGTCCCTGTCCTGGTGGCCACTTGTGCTTCCTCTTTGTAGTCTGACCAGTGGTGTTCAGCCCCTCCTGGCCCCGCCTCGGCGTCATCAGACCAGACTCCCAGCCTGTGCAGGCCTGTGCGCATGTGTGTGTCTGCATATACTCGCGTGTTTGTGCGTGTGTGTATGCGCGGCGCCCATCTCCCCGCAAAAACACTCTTCAGAGCGCTGTTATGCCGCCAGGACTTGCCTGTGATTGGTCGGAGCGGGAGGAGCGTCAGCTACAGCCAGGACGTGGTGGCGCTGCTGCTGTTAGACGGTGTCCTGTTCCACCTGCAGAGCGTCACGGCCTATGCGCTCATGGGCAAGGTCTCGCCTGTGACCTTCAGGTACAGCCCTGCCTCTTCACGTCTAGACACCCGTGGCCATTCCCACGTGTTGCCAGAGCTCTTCCTCTGAGTGGCGTCCCAGCCTCTGGTTGTTTAGTTTTGTTTGGGTCTACACCCAGCCCTGCTCAGCTGCTTCCTGGCTTGGTGCTCAGGGATCACTCCTGGGTTGGCAACCCTATGGGGTGTCAGACCCAGGTCAGCCGCACGTTCGTGGTGAACATCCCACCTACTGTCCTATATCTCTGGCTCCTTTTGGTATTTGTGGTTAAATTGCTCTAGGCTGTGAACTTGGGGCGTTGCCTGGCCGACGTTCACAGGAGCAGTGACTTTACTTGAGGCTGGGTAGGGTGAGGCGGTGCCTGACATGGGCAGGGCTCTTCACATATGCAGTCGAGGTTCTGAAGCTCTCTCAGGGCTGTGCAGTCATTCTCTCCTGGCAGGCGGTATGAGCATCTGTGGCTGGCCTGCAGCACCTCTGCCTCCGGGGCGGCTTCCCTCTGGCTGTCTTGTCCAGGTTCCTCAATGAGGAACTCCCGGGGCAGATCAGAGTGCAGAGCAGCGTCTGCAGTGGGCAGGCCTGCCTTCCAGCTTCTGAGTATCCTTAAAACGTGGTGGGGCCCCTCTCAGCAGTTCTCAGCTGAGGTGGCCCAGGGAGCACCTGGTCCTGGGGCGATGCTGGGGAACTGTGGTGCCGGATCAGACCTGGTTCAGCTACACTCCGGCCAGTGCCTTCACCCTTTACTGCCTCTTTTGCTGTGAAAGCTTCATTTTTGTAAGGTCTTCTCGGCCGTATTTCTTCTTGTTGTCTTTGGGGCTGCACTGGCAGGGTCACGTGAAGGAGCCAAGGTGCTGCTTGTTCTCCCCATCCCGGGGCTTCCAAGGAGGTGCTGAGGTTCACCTGAGATGGCCACAAGCCTTCAGCCCTGGACCTTCTCTGGCCCCTGAAACTTCTTCATGACTCTCAGTGTTGGTTCAAAACAAAGTTGTCTTTTTTTTTTGTTTTGTGGGTTTTTTTTTTGTTTTGTTTTGTTTTGCTTTTTGGGTCACACTCGGCGATACGCAGAGGTTACTCCTGGCTCATGCACTCAGGAATTACTCCTGGCGGTGCTCGGGGGACCATGTGGGATATTGGGAATTGAACCTGGGTCAGCTGTATGCAGGGCAAACGCCCTACCCGCTTTGCTATTGCTCCAGCCCTAAAACACAGTTGTTTTTTAAAAGAAATAGTTTTTTTGCTTTTTGCCATATGTGGTGGTGCTTAGAGCTTACTCCTGGCTCTGTGCTCAGGGATCCCTGCTGGTGGGCTCGGAGGACCTTATGTGGTGCTGGGGATCAAACCCAGGTTAGCCACATGCAATGCAAGGACCCTGCCCACTGTCTTACTGCTGCTGCCCAAGAAGTAGTCCTTCCTGGTCTCACCCGACTGCGTCGGCCACAGTCACTCAGGTGGTCTGGGAAAGGCAGAGAAGTGTTTGGTCACGCCCAGGACTACTCTGTTTCAGGGTCATTTCTGCTGGTAGCTCTGGTGCTCAGGGGCCCACACAGTGGAGGGGCCTCTGTGGAAGGCATATGGAAGACAAGTGTCTTTACCCATATGCTCTGTCAGACCCCTCCTGGTCAAGTGACCCTGGTCCCCACCCAGGAGACCAGCTGACCAGTGTCTTCTGCATCTTGCTGGATTTCTGCTTGCAAAGCAAAGGCCTGGTGGTATGTTTGTCGGGCAGTGCTGCTAGGGGACTGGCTCCTCGGCACTGTGGGGGTATGCTCGATCCTTCTAGAGAGCTCTGAGGGAATTACTGCAATTCAGGGCTGAGTTCTAGGGCTCCCTCACTGCCCCCAACACACACACACAGGGTATAATTCCCAGGGCTACACACACGGGATGTAACAAGGAACATAGGGTTATTGAAGTCCACAAGGTGGGCACATGCTGTCCATCAGCTGTTGTCCTGCTTCTTGGTCTCACATTTTTCCAGTCAAGGCTGGAGGGACCATACCGGGGCTTAGATGGTTATCTTGCACTGGACTGACCTGATGGCTCCCTGAGGACAGAGCCAGAAGTAGCCCCTGAACACTGCTGGGAGGGGCCCAAGTCCCGTCCCCACAGGAAAAAGTGCCCACCAGCACTGGGGCGATGCTCAGTGAAAGGCGGGTTTCTCACATATTTGAGGCTCGGGTTCAATTTACTGCACTTAAAAATGAGGGAAAAACACTTCTCCCCAAAAGAGGGAGAGGGTAGCTTGGCCGTAAGCCTCCTTTCTAGTGCTTGCTGCCCTCCCACCTCAGGCCCATCTCTGTTGCAGCGTGGCCAGCACCGCGAAGCACGCCCTGTCCATCTGGCTCAGCATTCTCATCTTCGGCAACAAAGTCACCAGCCTGTCAGCCATTGGCACCGTCCTGGTGACAGCAGGTGTCCTGCTCTACAACCGAGCCAAGCAGCACCAGCGGGAGGCCATGCAGAGTCTTGTCACCACCACCAGCCACTCCACAGAGGAGGACAGCAAGCTGCTGGGCCCTAAGGACCCCAGGCCTGGGCACCAATGATCATAGGTCCAGGGAGGAGCCCCTTTAAGTGTGACAGAGCCTCACTCATGGCGGACAAATGGGCACCGTCAGTCCCTCCGCTCCTTTCTCAGGACTTGGCCCACAGCAGCTGGAACTCACTTCAGGGCCCAAATGGCTGCAGTGGATACCAGTGTTGCCGGGCTGTGTCCCCGAGGGCCAGAGGTCTGAGACAGGCTGTCCCACATCCTTGTGACCACGGGGGACGTCCCCACTGTCCTGGGAAAACAGCCAACTCCCACTGCTGAGGGTGGGAGGTGGGCACACGTGTCACTCCTACTAGCCAGGGTCCTTGCTGTGCCAGCTCCTCCTGCTTCCCCGCCTTGCCTGTGGCCCAGGAGGGTGAGGATGTACCAGGGCAGCCTCTTGGGGCATGTGTGAAACTCTCAGAAGCCTCAGCTGGCCAAAGTCAGCCTTGTTTCACCCTTCATACAGGAGTGTCTGGAAGAGCATTTCCTCCTGTCTGCTGCTTTTCAGGTGACTTGGGCACAGATGGGTCTGAAAGTGTGGGTTCATCCACTTTGAGCCACAGCCCTGCGAGAGACCCTGACCTGTGCAGTTGTGTCCTCACCTCATCCCTGTCGCCATATCTCTCAGCAGAACACCATCGTCACTTCAGGTCTTTGCAACCCTCCATCCATGAGCTTGAGTTGAGGACTCTCATGCGGCCTGATGCAGTGCACCAGGTTTGTGCCAGCACTCAGGCTGAAGGGTCACAAGCCCTGCCTTCCTCATCTCGGTCCTCACATCCCTGCTGTCCACTCTGAGGGCCCGAACCTGCTCCTTGGCTTCCCAGTTGGCCTCCCCACTGGGAAAGACAGCCCTAGTTGCTCCAGGAAACCCAGTGTGTCAGGAACGGAGCAATAACCTCAGCTTAAAGTCCTGCCTCTTGGGAAAAGTGTGCCATGATGATGGATTACAGTAAGCCCTTGAACTGCAAAAAACGCTTCCTTGGCAGCACGCCCTGAATCTGGTCAGTGCCTGCAGCCTGCCATGTCCTTTGCCCTGAGGCCCCTGACACTCTGCGGCTTCTTACCTTTCCCCTCCCGGATCTATGGAAGGTCTTGGGGTGTGGTGTGGTTCCATGAGACTCAGAGAAGGGCAACTTCCCACAGGCTGCTGAACTGGGCTCAGAAGGGGTGTTTGGAGGCCCCCCCACACCCAGATTCTTACGTCTGTGGGGATCCCAGGTTGTCATGGTGGTGGTCCACAAACTTGTACTCTCAAAAGCTTTTTGCAGCCCGTTTGATTTTCTTTTTTTTTTTTCTATTTTGATTTTTTTTTTAAATTTTTGGACTGGAAACAAAACTAGGATTCTTGTAGAAATGTTCTCAGTAAGGCAGTTTTCCTGAAAAACTGCTTTTGTGATTTTTTTCTTGCCCGGTGGAAGACCACAGAGCCCCTGGCCGACTCAGGCCAACATCCATCTTTCAGACTTGCTGCCTCTGAGCTGGCTGCTGCTCTGTTCCTGGACAGCCTGAGTAGGGTTGGTCCCCATGTCCTATGACTTTGCAGACAGGATACTGTCACACACTGTTGCAGATCACACAAGCATTGACACTGGCTGTCAAACTTGCACTGGCTCATTCCTTTGTCTGTCCTTGTCTGTGCCTTTGTAAACACTTCAGCCACATTTCTGAATTGGGTCTTCAGCTCACTGAAATGGAAACTGCAGGTGGATGCAGCTCTCATCATCAAAGGATTGCCCAACTAGTAAATGGTGTTTAATTTTGTTTAAAATTCACATAATTATGGGGCTGGAGCGACAGCGGGCAGAATGTTTGCCTTGCACGCTGCCGACCCGGGTTTGATTCCCAACATCCCATATGGTGCCCTGAGCACACCACCAGGAGTAATTCCTGAGTGCAGAGCCAGGAGTAACCCGTGTGCATTGCCAGGTGCGACCCCCACCCCCCCCCCCCAAAAAAAGTGACATAATTAGGACTGGAGAGAGTGCAGTGGGCAGGGTGCTTTTCCTTGCACATGGTGGTCCCAGGTTTGACTCGGGTTCCTGGGAATGATCCCTAAGCATAACCTAGTGTGGCCCAAAAACAAAAAATGGGCTAATTTCCTGCATGTCAGCGTTAAGAATAGGTAATGCTAATGCTTTGGCTCAGTTCACAATATCTGATAAAAGAAAACGTGGCAGATTAGAAACTAAAGGAAGATTTGACTGACTGAAGAATCAGCAAGCCACCTTGAGCTCTGCTCCACCAGTGAAGAGGTTCTGAGGTTGCTTTCTGTGTGCTCCCCAGTGGGAAGGTACCAAGGCACTGGGCCTGGCATTTCCAGCCTTCTTGCTGGTTCCCTGCCTGGGGAAGTTCAACATGGAGACTATACATCATATCTCTGCCACGTACCAAAGGGTTTTCTTTTTCCCCATAATACACTTATGTGTGCCCAGTCAAGCCATACCTGTCCACCCAGGACACAAATCTGCCTTCTAACTGGAGATTTAATAAGACTTGTGGCCCCAATCCTACACATACACACACACCCCAAAAAAAGTAATCACACTGCATCATTGTCATTTTGTTCATTGATTTCCTGAAGCAAGCACCAGTAACATCTCCATCCTAGCCTTTAGATTTTAGTGCCACATTCGAAACTCAGGGTCAGAGGAATGAGACCCATCATTGTTACTGGGTTTTGGCTTATCAAATATGCTATGGGAAGTTTGCCAGACCCTGCCATGCAGGCAGGTAACTCTCGGTAGCCTGCTGGGTTCTCCAAGAGTAAGAACTGGATAAGCTTCTGGGAGCTGGGTTTTATAGTCTCTGGGTCTTGGCTGTTGATGGGATAACACAGTGCCGGAGGCAGTTGGTGGGTGTGTAACGCCTACCTACGGCAAGACGGATTTGGGTGGAGGAGGCCCAGTCCCTATCTGAGCAGGCTTGGAGATCTCAGCCCTAGGTTCCTCTGCCGGTTCCTTCATGCGTGAGGCTCATCTGAACATGTGGAAAGTGGTCTTAAGCATGGCTATGGCTGGTTCCGGAGGTCTTCAGCTGTGGGGACTCTGCCCTGGGTGAAGAGGGAAACTCAACCTGCTCCCCCTTCCCAAAGGGGGCCAATGAGAGCCAGGCATGGAACAGGAGACTGTGCTGTTCTCTTCCAGGAGCTGGGGTTTATAGTCTCTGGGTCTTGGCATTGATGGGAAAACATGGCGCCGGGGACAGTTAGTGGGTGTAATGCCTACCTACTGGAAGTATAATTTTCCTTTTCATAAACAAGCGTTTCTGCCCATCCAACAAGATCCTGAGTCTCCTGACAAAGGATCCAGAACTTGGCAACTGTGGCCTCGAGGCATATAACGGCCCAGATGCCCACAGCACCTTGGACACGAGTTGAATGCCTTTTTGTCTTTAATTGGTTTCATTAGAGGAATGAGAGCCCGGCAAGCTACCGAGAGTATTGGCAAAGCCTGGCAAGCTTCCCGTGACGGATTCGATATGCCAAACACAGTAACAACAAAGTCTCACAATGGAGATGTTACTGGACCTGCTAGAGAAAAACAACAGGAGGACAGTGACAGAGGAAGGAATGGTGCTGTGAGCCAAGTCAGCCGGAGGAGGGCCTAAGTGCCCCGCACAGGCGGACCGGGTGCTTCATCCACACTGAGAAACCTGAAAACGGTACTCACAGCCCTGCCTGCTTCTGCCCGAGTTCCCTGAGGAGTGGCTCGCAGGGCTGGTGAGCACTCTGCACGGTGCCTGCCCCGGTGCCCCTGTGGCTAGACAGGCCCAGGCCACCTGGGAGCTGTAATAAACGGATGCTGTGCTGACCGTGACTGTGCTGACCCGGCTGTCTCTGCTTGCTGGGGCCATCCGGGACTCGGGGACCGTCGTGCGAGCCGGAAGACGATGCGCGACGCACTCCAAGCCCGGAGCCGCCTTGTAGGCCTCCCGTCTGCAGCCTGTAGGTCCGCGCCCCCCGGCCGCGAGAACAACGCCCACCCGGGGACTCCGCCGGCCACCCAGATCACTGGCGGCCCCGACCGTCTAGGCCGACCCACTCAATTTTCCCGCTCGCCTCAGCCTCGCCCTGCCCCGCTCCCAGTGCTCGCCCCTTGTGTCCTTGGGGACAGCCCCGCTGTCCTGCACCTCCATTCCCCAGGCGCCCTCAGTCCCTGTCCCCGCTGGCTCTGCATGCCTCAGTCCGCGCCCACACGGACTAAGCGCTCCTCAGTCCCCGCCCCGCGCCCTCCTCAATCCCGGTCCCCATCCCCGGGGCTACATCCTCAGTCCCCGCCCGCCCCGCGCCCTCCACCTTCCCCGCCCCCCACGTTCAGTCCGCGCCCCCGCGGGCTACACGTTCCTTAGTCCCCGTCCCGCACCCTCCTCAGTCCCGCCCCAACCCTCAGTCCCCGCCTCCGCGAACTAAGCGCTCCTCGTCCCCGCCCCCGTCAGTCCCTCCCCCACCGCGGACTCCCCGTTCCTCAGTCCCCGCCCCCGCGTGCTAAACGTTCCTCGGCCCCGCCCCCAAACGGCTCAGTCCCCGCCCCGCGCCCCACGCTCCTCGCCCCGCCCCTACGGGCCCCCGCGCCTCCAGGCCCCTCCCCCACGCCGCTCAGTCGCGCCCCAACTGCGCAGCAACCTCGAGAGGCTCCGAGTGCGGGCGCGTGCGGAGCTTCCGGGGGACGCATCATCCGCGTGCGCCGGGCAGGAAGTGACGACACTCCTTGCGCGCGCCGGGCGCTGTTTCTCCTCAGGCTCCAGGCCGACGGCGGCGGTGGCGGCGGCGGAGGCGCAGGGGTGAGTGGCGGCGGGCGGGCGGCGTGCGGGCGGCGAGCGGGCAGCGAGCGGCACCCCCGGCGGCGGCCCCGGAGCCTGGCGGGCCGGGAGCGGCGGCGCGCTCGGCCCCGCCCCCCCGCCTGCGCGGCCGCCTAACGGGCTGTGGCGGGACGCGGCCTCTCCGCAGCGGGGCGACCCCAATGGGTGATGAAAAGGACTCCTGGAAAGTGAAGACGTTAGATGAGATTCTGCAGGAGAAGAAGCGCCGGAAGGAGCAGGAGGAGAAAGCCGAGATCAAACGCCTGAAGAACGTGAGTCCGGGCTGCCGCGCGCCCGGGGGCGGGAGCCGAGCTCCAGCCCCGGTGGCCGCGGTCTCTCCATCGCCCCCCACCCCGCAGGCCGATGACCGCGACTCCAAGCGGGATTCCCTGGAGGAGGGGGAGCTGAGGGAGCACCGCATGGAGATCACCATCCGCAACTCGCCGTACCGGCGCGAGGACTCCACGGAGGACAGGTGACTGACCACCGCGCCGGAGCAGGAGGCGGGGCGGGGGCCCCGGGTCTCGGTGAGGGGGCGTCGCCGGCGGCGCCTCCTGGTGACCCACTTGCCTTGGGCGACTTTGGGCTCCTGGCGTTCGGGGGCCCGTACCTGGTGGTGCTCAGGGTCCGTCCGACTCCGGCTCTGTGCCCCTGGCAGGGCCTTGGGGACAGCGAGCAGTGTCAGGATCGGTCGTGCTTATCTCTCTGTCCGGCCCACGCGGCTGTTTTTAATAAAAACAGCTTTCTGGAGGTTATGGAGGAGGCGGAACTGGAAATAAGCTCTGTGCAATCTGATACGTATTTCCGTGCCCACGAAGTTAGAACCGCATTTATGGTAGCTTGTTACAAGCCACGTTCTGTCGGTCTTTTTCTTTGAGACGGTGGGTGGCTGTGGTAGAGAACCTGAACCTTCTGCAGAACGTGCGCCCCAGTCCTACGTGCCATTCCCAGCCACAAAGCTCCGAGGGTCACACTGTCCATCTGAACCTGTGTATAACGTATGGTTTGGGTTCTAACCTCAGAGTTGATGTGGTCGTTTATTCTCAGCTGCGGAGTTTTCTCACCTGAAGAAACACCCTAACATCCTAGTACTCCGACGTGACTTTTTCAAGCATGGTGTGTGTCTGTATCTTATTTCAGAGGAGAGGAAGATGACTCTTTGGCTATCAAACCACCCCAGCAAATGTCTAGAAAAGAAAAGGCTCATCACAGAAAAGATGAAAAGAGAAAAGAGAAACGTAGGCATCGTAGTCATTCAGCAGAAGGGGGTACAGAGCATTTGTTTTTTTTTTCTTTATATCATGTATGATTATTTCACTGTCTATCTTCTGCATAGTACGATGGTATCACTTAGTTTCAAAGCATAAACTAATTATAGGTTATTTCGTGAGTCCTCTGGATTTTTTTCTCTCCTTCATTGGGGGGGCTTTGTTTCAACATAAAATTATTTAATCTTGGGACCAGAGCTATAGAACAGTGATCAGAGCACTTGCCTTACATACTCCCAACCCAGTTATGGCCCCTAGCATCCCATATGGTCTTCCTGAGAACTGCCAGAAGAGATTCCTGAGCACAGAGCCAGGAATAAGCCCTGAGCCCTGCTGAGTGTGGCCCAGCACCCCCCACCAAAAAATTAATCCTTTCAGTCAGTGAGTATGGGGGTGGGGGGGAACACCCTTCTATGTTAAACTGTGTTAACTTTTTTTGAAAAACGTTTGTTTAAGTCCATATAGTGTTTCTGAGCACTGGTATACTAATAGTCACATAGAAGTATACTGTGTTTATCAAAATAGACTATGTTATGGAGGTGACTTTTATTATTATGAGAGCATCAGTGTTGGGCAGTAGCACAGTGCGTAGAGCACTTGCTTTGCACACAGCCAACATGAGTTCCATCTCCAGCACCCCATTTGGTGCCCTGAACCTAATAGTAGTAAAATAGTAGTAATCCCTGAACACAGAGCCAGGAGTAAGCCCTGAGCACTGCTGGGTGTGCTGCCTATCCCCCCCCCCCGAAAATAAAAAGCAGTGTGTGAATATTGGTTCTTTTGCTCAACTGCATGGCGTTAATGTGACCCCACCATCCCCAGAGTTCCAACCACCTTCCACTTGTGTCCTTTTCTCAGGGGGTTGGGGAGGAGCGGTTGACTCAGGAGTGCCATCACATTAGTGCACCACTTCCATCTTCTTCCCCACCCCCCAAACAATGTAGTTTCTGTTTTGCAGTTTGGGGACTACACCCAGCAGAACATAACCTGGCTCTGCTCAGGGATCAGTCGGGGGGGGGGGGCGGGGGGTTGGTCTGTGATGAACTGGGGCCAGCAGCAGGCAGGTCAAGTGGCTCACCCCTCTCCTGTCCCTCTGGCTCCCAGGCGTGGCTTTAACCTGCTAAGAGGATCAAGGCCTCATTGCATACCCTTTAAATGAGGGCCTAACATGGCCCTATCATTTTAATCAGAATAGTAGGAATGGAAAGTTACTTTTTCACAGTGGTAACTGCATTTCTTTCCACTATTCCGACAGCTGTCCCAGTTAAATGTTTTTCTCATTGGGTACTTTTTTATTAAATTCTTGGGAGTTCAGTTTGTTTGCATGACACCATCATTTCTCACTAGGTAAGCATGCTAGGGTGAAAGAAAAAGAAAGAGAACACGAACGTCGGAAACGTCACAGAGAAGAACAGGACAAAGCACGTCGGGAATGGGAAAGGCAGAAGAGGCGGGAGATGGCGAGAGAGCATTCCAGGAGAGAGAGGTGAGTGGGCCTGGCAAGGGCATTCCGGCAGAGAGGTGAGCAGGCTTGCACTGCAGCTCAGCAAAAACATCAGGAAGTTGGGCATCTCCTGGGAACAGTGAAAGAACTGGTCGTTTTTCTGTTCGGTGGGGTAGCGGTGGGCCACCTCCAGCAGTGCTCAAAGGCTACCCCAGCTCCGATTTCTGGGATTGCTCCTGACTGAGCTTGGAGTACCCTAGTGCCAGGGGTCAAACCCGGACCAGCTATGTGCAAGGCAACTGCTTTCCCCCTGTACTCTCTCCAGCCCTGAGATGATCATTTTAGCAACAGATAAGAACTTGCCGGTGGGCCTGGAGCCATAGCACAGTGGAGAGGGCATTTGCCTTGCACACAGCTGACCCGGGTTCAATCGCCGACACCCCATGTGGTCCCCCAAGCACCGCCAGGAACCCCTAGGCATCATGCATTGGGTGTAACCCACCAAAAAGAAAAAGAAAGAAAACTTGCCAGCATGAATTGGGTACAGAAGGGTCACGTAGCCATTCTGATGAAGTCATGGTGGAGAGTTGTCTGGAAGAAGTGAGCTGCTGCTTTTTAGGGAGTGGTTGGGTGAGCACAGGGCTTACTCCTGGCTCTGCACTCTGGGATACTTCAGGGACTGTGTGTGGTGCTGGAGATAGAATCCAGGTTAGCTGTGTGCAAGGCCAGCGCCCTACCTGCTATACTGTCTTTTGGACCCCTCTTGAAGATAGAATTAGGAGTAGGGGGGAGAACCTGGAGACACTGGTGGAGGGAAGTTAATGGTGGGAATTGTACTGGCACATTGCCTTAAAAACTCAAGTATAAATAACTTTTTTAAAAGTTAAGCCATTGATTTATAAATAAAGACAGAATTAGACATGGATTGGCTGAGAGAAGCAGCTGTGGTGGAGTCACTGCTCAAGGCTGTGCAGGGTCACTCCTACCAGAGACCCTAATGTTAGAGATGGTACAGAGGGGGGCCAAGTAGGGGAGGGGCTTCCTGGCCTGGTAGCTGAAGGCTGGAAGGGAAGGAGAGAGTGGGTGCCCCACAGGAACCAGGCGAGAGCAAGCATTTGCCCTGGGCCTTCTCAGGAAGCTCATCCAGAATGTGTGTGCAAACAGTTCCTAGGATGCCCAGAGGCGATTCCTGTTCTTGCTCTGGAGATACCCTGCTGGTGCTGAGGGGGTCTGACAGGGCAGCTTCCTTCGGGAAGTAGCTGGCTTTAGGGCAGTGTTCCGGGAGGTTGTTATATAATCAGTACTAGGAGCCCGGTGCATATCCTTGCTCTGGACGTCTGTTCAGCCCTGCTTAGCTCCAGATGATCTGAGCCAGGAAGACTAAGGCAGTGCACAGCTTAGGATACCTCAAATGCGGTAGAGGGCATGGCATGGTGCTCGCGTAATGCTTATGCTGCTCAGAACCATGGAGGCAGAGTTGGCCACCACAGCACTTGGCAGCCATGAGGGACGGTGCCAGGGCTGGAACGTTGAGTCTTGCCCCACACACACAAGGGCGAGTGCCTGACTGGGTAGTCTCACCCCAGGTTCCGAAGAGATGTTTTCTTTTTGACGGTTTCTCTCATTTGGGACCTAGAGATCGTTTCATGCTGAGTTAGGAATATAATCAGATTTACAGTTCATTTCTTGATCTTTTTTTTTTTTTTTGGAGGAGAGGGAGAGTGCTGTATATGGTGTCGTAACTAAAGAGATTCCTGATTCGTGACAGTTTTTTTTTGGGGGGGTGGGGCTCCATATCCAGCAGTGCTCCTGGTTCTGCACTCAGAAATAGTGCTTGGAAAACCCTGTGAGTCACCGGGAGTGGAACCTGGGCCAGCACGTGCAAGCATAGTCCCCTGCCTGCTATACATTCTCTGGCCTCCAGGAGCTAGTGCTGGCTCTTTGTTCTGGGTAGTTGCTACCAGTGCTAAAGACCATCTCAGCTAGGTTTGGCTGCATTTGAACACCTTCACCCCTGCACGTGTTCAGGGGGTCACTCCTGGTGGGGGTTGGGGGAGGACTCTAGGACCCTATGTGGTGCTAGGAATTGAGTTTGGGTGGGCTGCGTGCAAAGCAAGCACCCTCCTCCCCCCCCCACACACACACTTTTTGGATCACACCTGGCAATGCACAGGGGTTCCTCCTGGCTCTGCACTCAGGAACTCCTGGCGGTGCTCAAGGGCCATATGGGATCCTAGAAATCGAACCCGGGTCACCCGTGTGCAAGGCAGATGCCCCACCTGCTGTGCTTTCTCTCCAGCCCTGCAAACACCCTCCTTGCTGCAGTATTTCTGACCCCTATAGAATACGTAAAGAAGGCGGCGAAGGTGTTAGCAGTACCAGGTTGTACTGGTGGCTGTCACCCTGAAGATGAGTATTTCCAGTGTCTATGCAATTCCACTTGTTGGCCACCTGATGGTGCAGGTGGCACATCTGTTTCACCTACTAGCGTTCCGGAACCAGCCCCTCACTGCCTTCCTATTTCCCTGAATACCCACTGACCTTTTTGTTTGTTTTTTTTGTTTTGTTTTGTTTTTTGGGTCACACCCGGCAATGCACAGGGGTTACTCCTGGCTCATGCACTCAGGACCATACGGGATGCTGGGAATCGAACCCGGGTCAGCCGCGTGCAAGGCAAAACGCCCTACCCACTGTGCCCCAAGTGCCCACTTTCCTTGCCAGCCTGAGTTGAGGATTGACCTTCGGCTTCATCTGCCAGAGATCCCAGGGAGCAGAGGCAGGACCAGGGGTTGAACAACTGAGTTTGTAACCTGAAGCAGAAAGCAGAGAGAAAAGAGTGAACCAGGGAACCAGCTGGCATGTGCTTATTGCAGGGACCGCCTTGAGCAGTTAGAGAGGAAAAGGGAGCGGGAGCGGAAGCTGCGGGAGCAGCAGAAGGAGCAGCGGGAACAGAAGGAGCGGGAGCGGAGGGCAGAGGAGCGGCGCAAGGAGCGCGAGGCCCGGAGGGAAGGTAACGAGCTAGTGGGCAAGTGCCCATCTGGGACCCAGCCTTCTCGCCAGAGCCGAGGCAGGGGCGGAGCGAGGCCAGGGAGCGGCAGGTGGTGGAGCCACGGCTGGTCTTTGTGTCCAGGGCTGGTAACAGCTATGCTGGGGACAGGAGTTTGGAAATGGGTTTGCCATCTGGACTTGGACTCTTCCTTCTTGGCCAGTGGAGACTCGTGGCTTGCAGACCTCTTCCCTTGGACTGGTGGCTGCACGCCAGCTGCCTGAAAGACAAGCTTCTTGAATGTGGGGTCTGGAAAGCAGCAGCAGCAGTAAAAACGAACATGGGATCAGCTGCATGCTTGGGCTGGGGAACGCAGGTGGGGAACATGGGCTTCTCACATGGGCAGCTCTGGGGTCCAGCCCTTAGCATCACCCACGAACACCCGAAACCGCATCATAAATCTTACGTGTTTCTGGCAGCATTGACCTGTGCATTTCTCGGGTGGAAAGGGTGGCGAGTGTAAGGGTGAGGCAGCCCTGACTCTGGGGTTGGCCCACAGCTCGGGGTTGGAAGGGGTGCCTCCCCGGGCTTCCTTGGTACTGTTAGGAGTCTGCATGGTGGGCACGGCTGCCACAGGCCCTGTGCTCGGTCCCCACAGCCAGGGGCACCCTGCTCACTGTGGAGTCACTTGTTCTGTCTTCACTGCAGCTGTTTCTGCTCATCACCGAACCATGAGGGAGGACTATGGTGAGAAAGGGAAAGCCAGTCACTGGGGCCGCAGCCCTCTGCGACCGCCTCGAGAGAGGTTTGAACTGGGAGACAGCCGGAAGCCAGGTGAGATTGGGCAGCACCTGCAGGGCCGTTTGTCAGCTTGTGCACAGTCCGGGGGACTCTGAGCCTTCCCTTGTTCTTGCCGCACGCGTGGGCTGAGCTGGGCCAAAGGCACATCTCAGTGCTGCTTTCGGCCTTTCCCACATTCGATGACTTGTTTCTTAAAGTGAAAGAGGAGAAAATGGAGGAGAGAGACCTACTGTCTGACCTGCAGGACATCAGCGACAGCGAGCGAAAAACCAGCTCGGCTGAGTCATCGTCAGGTACCGCTCACTGGGCCCGGGGCACTGGTCACAGTGGGTGGGGCCACGTGTGCACTTCTGACTCTTTCCTTCCTGAAGCGGAGTCCGGTTCAGGGTCTGAGGAGGAAGAGGAGGAAGAAGAAGAGGAAGAAGAAGAGGAAGGGAGCAGCAGTGAAGAGTCTGAGGAGGAGGAGGAGGAAGAAGAAGAGGAGGAGGAAGAGGAGGAGGAGACTGGCAGCAACTCAGAAGATGCATCTGGGCAGTCAGCTGGTGAGGGCACCCGGCTGCAGGGATGCCGGAACCCCAGAGGCCATCCGGGCAGTCAGCTGGTGGGGGCACCCGGCTGCGGGGGTGCCGGAGCCCCAGAACAGAATCAAAGGCATTTCCACACTGTGAACTCCTGGGGTCAAGCACCACAGCCTCCTGGGCCCTGTGCAGTCTGCTTAGTTTTGCCTTCTCTTCTAGAAGAAGTGAGTGAGGAGGAAATGAGTGAGGATGAAGAGCGAGAGAACGAGAACCATATCTTAGTTGGTAAGAGCTCCTGGTACTGCTTCTGCTTTCACGCACCCGAGTATGGGGGCCCGTTTGTGGGGAGAGGGGTTTGACACTCCTTCCGTGCTGTGGCAGGCGCCTCCAGCAAACACTCCCCTTGGCCCCGCCACTGGTCCACAGTGGTCTCTAGGGCATGGCGGTCATGCACCACAGTATGCTCCCGCCACACACAGCCTGACCTGGGGCCATGTGTCCCCGTGGCGGCACTCTCAACGAACAGGACTTACTGCCATCCTGAGCGCCTCTGGCTTGGCCCTGCGGGAGCCTCGGAAGTCCCAGCAACGTCCCACCCTCAGAACCCAGCAAGGAAGGAGGCAGCACTGCTGTCCAGCCTGCCTGCCCTGCCATGCCCATGCCCCCAGGCGCTCTGAGTGCCAGCTCCAAGACCTCAAGCACAATCTCCTAGGGCTAGGCTAGGTGTCGTCTCTGCTCCCAGTGTCCCTGTTGTCATCGCTGTCCCATGCCTAAATGCAGGAGTAATCAATGTCCCTTTGAAGTTCCAGAGTCAAGATTCGATCGGGATTCCGGGGAGAGTGAAGAAGGGGATGAGGGAGTGGGAGAGGGCACCCCGCAGAGCAGTGCCCTGACCGAAGGGGACTTCGTGCCCGACTCCCCCGCCTTGTCGCCCATCGAGCTCAAACAGGAACTGCCCAAGTACCTGCCCGCTTTGCAGGTCAGCCTGGCAGGGGCCAGGGGCCAGGCCCCAGGTGGGGTACCTGGGGGGGAGGGGCCTGTGGCCTCCAGCCAAGCAGCACTGCCACCCCTGCCAGGGTCTTAGGCTGGTGTTGCAGTCAGGCACAGGGAAGGGAGGTGGGAGCGGGGGCTCCTTTTGCTAAAGGAGTACCCACAGCCAGCATCGAGGAGCAGTGGGGCACTGCATCCCTGCAGGATCCAGTGGTGCCCCTGATCAGGGCTTGGTCCCCGCCTGGCTCTGGGAGGAGACGGGCTGCAAGTCCCCCTCGTGGCTGCTTCCACAGGGCTGTCGGAGCGTGGAGGAGTTCCAGTGCCTGAACAGGATCGAAGAGGGCACCTACGGGGTGGTGTACCGAGCCAAGGACAAGAAGACAGGTGGCTTGGGTGGGGCTGCTTCCAGGCCGCCCCTGAGGCTTTGCTGGGGGCACAGGGGAGGGGTATTCCTGGCAGAGTGGCCTGCATGGCCCAGGAGCACCCAGCCTTGGGACCCACAGGGGGTGTTGTGGGAATGGCTTGTCCCTTCAGCTTGCTGTGTGCCCCTAGTTTGGCAGGGACCGCAGAGTGGGGCTTTGCTTCCTGCTGCTCTCACACTGGAGCTGTTTGAGGGAGGGCACCTAGTGGCAGACACATCCCAGTGACCCGTGGACACCTGGTCATCTTTCCAGATGAGATTGTGGCTCTGAAGCGACTGAAGATGGAGAAGGAGAAGGAGGGCTTTCCCATCACCTCGCTGAGAGAGATTAACACCATCCTTAAGGCCCAGCACCCCAACATTGTCACTGTCAGGGTAAGGCCTCTCCGCAGAGCCGTGGCGGGGCTGCAGCCTGGGGATCGCGGCCCTCTGACCTATGCTGCCTCCTAGGAAATCGTGGTGGGGAGCAACATGGACAAGATTTATATCGTCATGAACTACGTGGAGCACGACCTCAAGAGTCTGATGGAAACCATGAAGCAGCCTTTTCTGCCAGGTAGGCTCTGTGCTGCACGTGTGCCACCGTGCGGGGGCGCCAGGCTGCAAGTCCTGCCTTGGGCCGGGCACTGCATGTTGCTGCATCACTGTCTAGGGGAAGTGAAGACCCTGATGATCCAGCTGCTGCGTGGTGTCAAACACCTGCACGACAACTGGATTCTGCACCGTGACCTCAAGACATCCAACCTGCTCCTGAGCCACGCCGGGATCCTCAAGGTGGGGGACTTTGGGCTGGCCCGCGAGTATGGCTCCCCCCTGAAGGCCTACACGCCGGTGGTTGTGACCCTGTGGTACCGTGCCCCAGAGCTGCTGCTGGGTGCCAAGGTGAGTGCCTTCTGCTGGGCGGCCCACCCTGGGGCCTCGCCCACCCTGAGCCTGGCTCTACCCCCAGGAGTACTCCACTGCTGTGGACATGTGGTCGGTGGGCTGCATCTTCGGGGAACTGCTCACGCAGAAGCCACTGTTCCCTGGGAAGTCGGAGATTGACCAGATCAACAAAGTGTTTAAGGTGGGTCTGGGGCCCTAGCTCTCCACTGGGTGGTCGGCTGGCGCTTTCTGCAGGGTACGGGTACTTGGAGGGGTCTCTGCTTTTAGGATCTGGGGACGCCCAGTGAGAAGATCTGGCCAGGCTACAATGAACTTCCTGCAGTCAAGAAAATGAGCTTCACAGAATACCCCTACAACAACCTCCGCAAGCGCTTTGGGGCTCTGCTCTCAGACCAGGGCTTCGACCTCATGAACAAGTAGGCGGCCCCCCCCCCCCCCCCGCCCCGCCCCGCCCTTCCCCTCCCCCACTGGCAGGCGTCTCACCCATGGTCTTTCACAGGTTCCTGACCTACTTCCCTGGGCGGAGGGTCAGCGCGGAAGACGGACTCAAGCACGAGTATTTCCGAGAGACCCCTCTCCCTATTGACCCCTCCATGTTCCCCACGTGGCCTGCCAAAAGTGAGCAGCAGCGGGTCAAGCGGGGCACCAGCCCTCGGCCCCCTGAGGGAGGCCTGGGCTACAGCCAGCTGGGCGAGGATGACCTGAAGGAGACAGGATTCCACCTGACCACCACCAACCAGGGAGCCTCGGCCGCCGGCCCTGGCTTCAGCCTCAAGTTCTGAGCTTCCTAGGTCAGAGCCCACAAGTCTCCACTCACACCAGCAGCAGGCCCTGGGGGCCAGAGCTGGGAAAGGGGGACCTGCTGCCCCCACGTGGCCACCTGGGGCAAGTGCAGCTGCTGGACTGGGTTTGGTTTTTACGTTCCTTTTTTATTTCCTTTGGGCTTGTAAATGTGTAGAATTAAGCCACATGGCCTCCATGTGGAAGCAAAGGATGTATTTTTTCAGCTGAGATGGGCTGGTCCCCCAAGAGACGGCAGCGCCCACCAGAAGCCCGGGGAGGGCCTGGTGGAGCTGAACCTTGGGCACTTCCTGCCGTGGGACCTTCGGGTCCTTCCCGCGCCCCGGAGCTGAGCCCACCGGGCCGCCTGATTTTGTACAAGCTCGTCGTGTGTTCTGAGATGTAGTAAAGTTTTTCGGAGAAGCCTGGTCTCTTGAGGGCAGCCTGCTGGCTTTGGTGAGGGAATGGGGTGCTGAGGGAGAGACAGGTGCCCTGTCCAACCCCAACACCAGGCCTCAGTTCACTTCCCAAGAGTAGTCAGGGAAAGTTCTTGCCCATCTGGTATGGTCGCCGCAGTGGTGGTGGGATTCTGTGTCCTGGCCCCAGGAGCACCTCTCCCAAAAACAAGCTGAGACTGAGACAAAAAGTACTTTATGAGTCGCGCACACGAACGCGCCAAGAGTAGGTGGTGAGCACGCGGCGCTGGCGCCGCACCACGCAGGTATAGGTGCCCTCTGTGATGGCATTGGCAATGATGCTCAGGTGCGCCTCGCCCAGCGCCAGGTAGCCAGGGTAGGAGAACTCCAGGGGCTCTTGGTCCTTGTACCAGCTGGGGGGAAGAAGGGGACTCAGGCTGGCCATCCCGATCCCTGCTGCCCGCCCGGATGCAGGCCTGGGGCCGGCCACTCACTGCACTTTGCCCTTCTTGTGCAGGATCTTCTGGCCACAGCGGAAGGTCATGTTCCTGCCCTCTGACACTAGCCTGGTTTTGGTCCTGGGCGGGGGTGGGGTGGTGGCCTCCGTGGGAAAGGGGAACTCTGCTCCAGTGGGGACATGTCATTAGCTGCACACCCTGGCCCTGGGAGCCAGGGCCGGGGCCCCAGGACCTCACCGTAGCAGAAGTCACAGCTACTGGGGCAGAGCCTTTTCATCAGCCGCTGGCGGGCTGCGCAGAAGCCCTTTCTGGCCCAGGAGCCACAGAAGGACAGCCGATCCAGGCAGCCTGCGGGAGGGAGCACAGTAGGACCTCGGGGCCTTTGCGACCGGCCCGCCGCACCCACAGCCGAACACCCACCATAGAGTCGGTGCAGCCCCCACAGCTCGTCCTGCGACAGCACCTTCCAGCCACGCAGCGTGGCATTGAGATGCATGAGCGCACGGCCCTGCAGCGAGTGCATCAGCCCCAGCGCATGGCCGATCTCGTGCGCCGCCACGTGCACCAGGTCGGTGAGCCACACGCCTGCAGGCCCGGTCAGAGTGGGCGTCCCGGCGCGCAGCTGCGCTGGGAACGCTCGGGCAAGAGATAAGGATGTGAGCTCGGCCCCCAGGAATGCAGCTCCGCCCCCTCCGGGGCGCGGGGACGGGCGGGACCTGGCGTCTGGGACCCGGGGCCTGCCGCCGCCCAGTCTCCCTGCCTGCCCTTCCCTGGACGCGCCCACCTGTGCCCATCCCAGAGGGGCCCCAGGAAGAGGCCGGCCGTCACCTTTCTTCCAGCTGTAGCGCGTGGGGCCCAGGATCCAGTACTCGCTGTCATCGAAGTGGATGCCGCCGTGCGGGGGGAAGAAGGCGTGGGCCAGCTCCCCGGTGGGCCCGTCGAAGCAGTGGTGCAGCGCCGAGGCCAGGCAGTCCGTGTGGTTGGCGGGGTAGAAGCCTGCGGGGCCGCGGGGCTGAGCGGGACGCGTGGGGCGCGCGGGGCGGGGTGCGCGGGGAGATGGCACCCACCTATGCGGAGGTCACTGGGCTGCTCCGGGGCCACCTCTCGGAAACTGAAGGGGGACACCTCGCTCCACATGCGGAAGGCTGCGGCCAGGCCCCGCCGGGTCTCGCTGGGGCTCAGCAGGTTCCGAGGGAAGGAGAGGACCCTGGGATGCGCACCAGTTAGGGCGGCGGCCGGCCGTAGCCACGCCCCCAGCGCCGGGCACCCACCTGTAGGTGAGGTTGAAGCGGTCCCAACGCAGCCGGGCTGGCGTCAGCGTGTAGCGGCGTATGCGGGACGCCTGCGGGGGCGGTGGGTCCGAGACCCCCGTGGGGTACGGCGAAGCCACATCTTCCTTGGGGGGAAGCGGGAGCCGCGGGTTGGCGGCGGGGACTGTCAGTGGCCGACTGGGAGCATCCCCTTCTCTTTCCTTCTCGGGGTCTCGACTTCGCCGTGGCACATGAACGGCCACGAGAGAAAAGGTCCCACCGAGCCGGCCAGATGCCAGGGTCCGGGCGGGCGGCCAGCCCCTGTCCCACCCTGCCGTGGGCACGCTCTGCGGCACGGCGGCGCGCCGACGTGGCCTCACCTGCACCGCGCTCGGGGTGGCTGGCAGCCCCAGCCGCGCCAGCAGCAGGAGCGCAGGGAGCAGGCACAAGGCGCCCAGCCAGGCGGGTCGCTGGCCGCCCCGGCCCGGGAGCCCCGGCGTGGCCGCGGGCGCAATGGCCCCGCGCTGCATGGCGTCTGCGCTGGCTGTCGGGGCGCCGCGGCGCGGGGCTGAGCACGGAGGAGGGAGCCGGCGGGGAGGTGGCGGCGGGCGGCTCGGGTTACAGCCCTGAGGGGGGGGGGGAGCCGGGCCGCCTGAAGCAAACCAGCTGGCCCGCCGCTGCCGGGAGGCTGGTCCGGGACGCCTAGGCCACGGCCGAGGGACCGAGAGCGAGCGCCGCCTTGGAGGCGGGCGGGCGCCCCGGACGGACTAGCGGCTTTTTCCCTAGATGGACTCAAGCCCTGGACGCCCGCTCCTGCGGGGCCCGACTTGGGCCCCTGCCAGGGAGCGCACATGGCGAGTGGGGGACGTGGCGAGGCCTAGAGAAACAGCTGGGGGCGAGGCTGGGGCAGGGGCCGCACCCTGGGAGACGCCAGCGGGGACCACAGGCACACACGCCGCCCGCAGGTGCACGGAGAGGAGCGCACGGGGCCGGCTTTGGAGGTCCAGGGCCCAAACTCTCCACGACTGGGGTGGCAGGATGCGGGGAGGGTCGGGGGCTCGACTGGACGGAACCTGGGGCTGCGCCGGGGAGGAGCCCCGCCGCGAGGGCGGAGCGGGCCGGGATTGGGGCGACGAGGTGAGGGGCTGGCCGAGGGCGGGAGGCCGGGCGTCCCGGGGGTGCGCGCCGAGATCCAGGAACGCCCCCCACCCTCCCACCCACCGCCACACATACACACACACACACACACACACACACACACGCCGCAGCCCCGCCCCAGGCAGGCACCAGGCGCCAAGTCCGAGAATCTTTTTATAAAACACAGAAGGGCGCGACGGGAGTGGAAGTGGCGGGACAGATGCGGCTCCGGAGCGGGGCGGGCGCGGGTTCACACGAAGATCTGGATGCGGTCGCGGACCGGCTGGCGGCAGATGGGGCAGGCGCTGAGCGCGGCGCCGCAGGGCGCGCACGCGCCGTGGCCACACTGGAATACCAGGCGGATGTGGCTGTCGATGCAGATGGGGCAGGTGATACGCTCCTCCATCTGCCGGTAGCGGCTCTGCAGTTCCTCCACCAGTTGCCGGGGCGGCCCGGCCGGGGGCGCGGCACCCGCCACCTCCGAGCCGTCTGTGGGCGGGCCCGGGCGCGGTCAGGGCTGGCCGCGCGGGGGGGGTGTGGGGGGGAAGGAAGACCCGCCCGCGCGACCCCCAGCGCGCGCGACCCCGCCCGCGCTCACCTGGCCGCAGCTTCTTGACGATGGGCACCTGGCACCGGATGCATTTCTTCATCCTGCGCGCGCACTCTGCGGGGGGCGGCGGGCGTCGGCGGGTGTCGGCCAGCGTGGGACCACCCCGCGCCCCCTGCCCGCCCGCACTCACCCTCGCACACCGTGCGGTGCTGGCAGGGCGAGAAGAGCACCAGCAGCGCCAGCTCTGAGCAAACCAGGCACTCGGCGGCGTCGGGTCCCGACGCGGCGGCCACGTGCAGGTTCGTCACGGTGTTGGGGGTGCTGCGGGTCAGCCTGGGGCCCGGGGCGGCGGTTCCGCCCCCCGCGTGCCGCTCCCTGCAGTCGGGTGAGAGTGGGGCTTGGCAAGGGCTCGAGCCCAACAGCGGCCCCCCGCGCCGCCCCGCGGGCTCACCGGAAACGCTGGGCGCAGCCCTGCAGGGCTTTGCGCACGCGGCCGTCGGCGGCCAGGTCCAGCGGGCTGCGGCCGCGGTGATTAGTGTAGCTCACGTCGGCACCCTCCAGCGCCAGGAAGCAGGCCAGCGCCGTGCCCACCGTCAGCTCCGCACTGCCCGGGAGGCCCGAGGCCTGGAGCTGAGGGCGGGGCGAGGCCGCGGGGGTCACGGGCTGGCCCCAGTCAGGCCCCCACCGTCCCCCTCCGCATACTGGCCATACTGGCCTGTTCCCCAGCCCCCGGGTTGCCCGGGGTCGCGAAGGTGCCTCCTGCCCACAAGACCAGCCCCACCCCGGGGCACGTCCACAGGCCACACTGGCCCCGTCAGCGCCTGTCCACACCCGGACCCACACTTCTCACCCTGGACAGCAGGGGCCCCGGGTCGCCCCCGGCGCCGCCAGCCGCCAAAGGCAGCAGCTGGTGGCGCTGCAGGGCCACGTGCAGGGCCGTGTCTCCCTCCTCGTCCTCAGCGTTGACACTGCAGCCCGCATCGGCCAGAAGCGGCACCAGCCCCACGTGCGCCTGCTGCACGGCCAGGTGCAGTGGCGTCTGCAGCTTCCGGTTGCGGACGTTCACGTCGCAGCGGCCCTGGGGGGAGGGGCGCAGGCTCAGCACCGTCGGGCGCCGCGCCCCCGGCCCACCCTGCGGCGCATCGATCCCACCTCTCGGATGAGGATCTGCGCCACCTCGCAGTGGTTGTTGAGGGCGGCCAGGTGCAGCGCCGCAAAGCCGTCCTCCTTCTTGGCGTCCACCAGCTGCCGCGCCCGCGCCAGGATCCTCCGGACAGCTCTGCGGGGGCAGAAGGTGCGTCTGGAGGCCGAGGCGCCAGGGCCCCCGGCGACGTGGCTGTGCGCCGGCCCCCACTCACAGCGCGTGGCCCTTGAGCGCAGCGAGGTGCAGCAGCGTGAAGCCTTGGCTGTTGGTGGCTGTGACGTCGGTGGCGGGCACCTCAGTGAGGACCTCCACGATGCCGCTGGCGCCGGTGCCCGCAGAGATGGCACAGTGCAGGGGTGTGTCCGCGTGTGCATCCTGCCGACAATTGGCCAAGGTCACTGGGAGGCGATCCCCGGGGTGCCGGGGCCCGGCCCAGGGCGCCACACTCACACGCAGGTTGACGTCACAGCCATGCTCGCACAGGACCCGCACCACCTCCAGGAAGCCCCGCTGCACGGCCAGGTGCAGTGCAGCACTGCGGGTGCCACTGACAATGTTAGGCTGGCACCCTGCACTGAGCAGCACTCGTGCGGCCTCAGGTTGGTTCCTGGCAGAGAGGATGGAGATGCTGCGGAGGGACCACGGTGGACCTGCGGCACCCCCCTACCTCCCCGGTCCAAGGCCTCACCCTAGGGCCGCGTAGTGCAGCGCTGTGTGGCCTTCCTCATCCCTCACGTCCACGCCTGCCCGGGCCTGCAGCAGCAGCCGTACCAGCTCCAACTGGCCCAGGTAGGCGGCCACCTGCAGAGCAGTCCTGCCCTGGTTCTTGGTGTCCACCTGCTGGGAGGGCCAGGTCAGCAACTTCCCTCTGGCAACTGAGGCGGGAGGGGTGGGGGTGGGGGTCGCGGGGGCCGGGCCGGGCTCGCCTGTTCTGGGTGCCTCCGCAGCACATCCAGAGCTCGGGCCACATCCCCCAGCGCCGCGTTCACCACCAGGCGCCCGGGACGCTCCACGTCGCTCTTCTGGGCTCGAAGCTTGTCCAGAGCAACCCCCAGTGAACCTGGGGATGGCACTGGGGTGAGCGGCGACCTCGGGGCTTCCCTGCCCCGCGTGGCGCCCAGCTGATTGCCCGCACTTTTGTTCTCCCTGGCGCGCTCAGCCACGTCCAGGTTGGCGTCCTCTTGGGGCCGGTAGGCCACCAGGCAGGAAGGGCTGAAGGTCCACAGCTGACCGCCCACAGTCACCTGCAGGTTGCCATCTCCGAACACCTTCAGCACCCGCCCGACATGGCCCAGGGCCTGCGGAGAGGGGAAGGGGCGTCACAGCAGGCCTGGAGGCGGCAGGGAGGCGAGGGGAGGCAAGTGGATGTACTTACGGGAGCCATGTCGTCCGTCCACTCCCCATGCCCTGCCTGCAGCCGCTTCACCGTGTCCAGGTCGTCAATGACTCGTACCACATCACCCACCCAGAAGGAGTGGCGCTGAGAGAGAGGTGCGGGTGGGTGGTGGCCCTGAGCAGGCGGCAGGTGCACCCTGACCCTCCCCCTCCCAGCACTAGCAGGTCTGTGCTGTTGGGGCATATGGCTCGGGCAGGGCTCTGCAGCTGTACCACTACCAGCACCTACAGGAGCTCCAGGCCATCTCAGGACCCACAGGCAGCCCTCCCATTGGCCCCTGCCCACAGCCTGCAATCCTGCTTCCACCGTCAAACCACACCCACCACCCTGACCCATCCCCTGCTGCCCCCAGGCACTCTGCTCCAAGGCCCTGCAGGTTCTAAGGGCGGACCTCCGAGGGGGCACTCCACACTTGAACGAACCCCACTGCCTTGGGGCCAGGCTGGCATGCAGAGGGGCACTTGGCTGGGCCCAGCCCCCCATGGTTCATGAGGGCCCGAGGGGGAAAGGTCAGAGGGCCTGTAGCTGAACTGGACATGCATGTCCCCAAGGTCTGTCCCCCAAATGGTGGCCAGAGCGGGGTGGGGACGAGGGACAGAGCTCAGCAGACAGCTCACCTCTGCCATCCTGGGGTTCCACCCACCACGGCCTTCCTGCATCTCCCGCAAGATGTCGGCGTCCAGCACACACTTGCCCTTGTCCCCATGATGGAGAGGCTGCCCATCCACACTGACCCTGCGCTGCAGCTCTGCTGGCTTGCCTGTGGGTGGGCAAGCGGGCATGCTCAGGGGTGCCCCAACTGGGCCTATGCTGCTGCTGCCCACGCCCCAGGTACTCACCCAACCGGGGCAGGTGCTCCTTGTAGTAGAAGCCGCCAGGCGCCACCACCACGCACTTCAGGTCCACCTTGCCCTTGTGGCCCACGCGGTACACGTTGGTGGTGCCATCTGCCCAGGTCACACTGGCTACACTGCGACCCGTCTCCACATCCCAGCCCCGGATGTCCACCACACGGCCTGGCTTCCCCTCCCCTCCTGGGGAGACAGCAGCCCCGGTGGAGCTGAGCACAGGCCCCGCGGCCATGCAGCCCCCACCCGCCCGCGGCCCCCACTCACCATCCTGCGAGCCCCACTCCCAGTCAGGGCCCCGCACCACCTTGGCGCCCTGAAAGATGCCCCTCAGCTGGGTCCTTGGGAGGCCCTGGCGAGGGCTCAGTGGAACCCTGAAAGAGAGGGGCAGGTCTGGGCGAGAGGCGCCCTCCCCACCATGCAGGCCCAGAAGATGGGGGTCAACCCTGCCATTGCCTCCAGAAGCCAGGCACCCCAGGTCCCCACGTGTGGACTCCTGCCCCCCCCAGGAGAGAGGCCTGGGGTTGACTCCATGTGGGGAGGGGATGGGCGGGGAGACCCCACACAGCAGTGCTCTGCGGGCCGTCCACGCGCGCGTGGTGCCACCGACCCCGGCAGGCAGGCAGGCTCACGGGCGTGAGTGGGCCGTCTCGTAGCGCTCGAAGGCGTGTGCCAGGTCGTGCTTGCTGTGCATGTAGCACTGTGTGCAGAGGTCATAGTCGAAGCAGACACGGCACTTCCAGCGCATGCCGCGCAAGCCGTGCTTCTTACAGCAGTCACAGATGATGTTCGGGTGGCGGACGCCTAGGGAGCAAGCGGACAGGAGCAGCTGTGCTGCGGGCACGCACACGCCAGCACAGACGTGCACAGGCCAGCACGCATGCAGGCAGGCGCACGCACACACAGGTGCAGGACGGGCACACGCCAGCACGCACACGCCCACCCTGGCACGCATGCACGCCGGCACACAGACACACACCCACATCGTCAGACACGCAGGCTCACGCACCGATCTGGGCGTTGTCGTAGAGCAGCAGGTCATGTGCACCCTGGTAGCCCGCGCGGTAGTTGGTGCGAATGCCGTGGTCCCACTGTACCACCACAGTGCGGTCCGGGGTCGAAGGGCTCCCGTGGCGACCGAGCTCCACCACGGTGCCAACGAGCCCCTCACCGCCATCTTGCTGGCCCCACATCCAGTCCACGCCTCGCACCACGCGCATGCCCACCTGCACACCGGCTTGGGGGTCTGGGTCCATGGTAGATGCTGCTGGGCCTGTGGGCAGGGCACACCCTCAGCTTTCAGGGAGAGCCTGTAGTGAAAGACCCTCCGCCCCCTCCCGCAGGCACTTCTGCGGCAATCCCTTTCTGTGTTCTATGATGCTGACCAGTGAGTGTGACTTCCTGGTGGGCACTGGCCCATGCGAGGTTTTCGACTGCTAGCAGCAAGGACCCTGGTTTACTTCAGTGTAGGGGAAAGGCTTTAGGCTGCAGCCACTGGGCACTCAGAGGGGGTGGCACCCCAGGGTCACTGCTACCCACCACATTTTCTCTGCGGACCTTGACCACCAGCAACAGGCGCCCCCAATGTGAGCCCCTACCACACACAGCCCCGCGGCCACTTACCCCCCTAAGGCAACCTCTGGGGGCCTCCCTAGCAGTCACAGACATGGGGGACACACATGGTTAACAGTGCCAGAGGGCAAGGCCCTGGTGACAGGACAGGCGCAGATGCTAGGTCCCCAGGGACAGGAAGCTGCCCATACAGGAGCCCCTCGTGAGCTGGGGGTGCTATCACCTCTCATCCGGGGCCTCCAGAGAACTCTCGGGCTTGGGCCCTCAAAAAGCTCCCAGGGTAACTATTCTAGGCACTGCCCAGGCTGGGCCTGGTGTGGGAGGAGAGGCACCGCCCACTCTCCAGAGGCAGCCAAAGCAAGGGACCAGGCCGCCCGCCCCTGGTATCTGGACGGCCACACTGAGGCCTCTGGCCGGCAGGACCAGGGTGTCAGGCCGCAGCCCCCACTCCCATGGCAGCTGGCCACATTCTGCGGTATCTGCAGGGCAGGTGACCGACCACCCTGTCCCCATGGGCTTGACAAAGACCTTCCTGACCCTGACCCCGAACAAGGAGGCAGCAAGGGCAGGTCAAGTGAGCCAGAATAGCCTCATGTCATGTCTCCCACACGTCCCCGCAAGGGCCACTGCCAAGGGCCCCCGGCCCATCCCCCCCCAAGGAGGGCGGGGAGTCTCCTTGTCACCAAGCCTTCCCCGTGGCCCTGGCCTGGGCCGCAGCTCCCTGCGCCCAGGTCTGTGCTGTGGCCAAAGGGACGCCAGCAGACGCGGGGCGGGCGACCCTGCAGAGCTGCTGACCTCGGTCCTGCCATCATGCTCGATGGACCCGTACCTAGAGTGTTAGTGACCGTCTCCGGGGGTGCGCACGGCGACCACCGAGGTTTCCTGCCGGAAACTGGACATCAGCGACCCGGGACCCACCACCAGCGCCGCGGCCGACCTGGGGGAGGGGGCTGGGGACAGCTGTCAGCCCGGCCGCGGCCGGCCAGGGGCGGGGCGCTGCGGCACGCGCGGGCCCACGGGGAGGACGCGCGGACCCCGGCGTCCACGGCGCCCGACTTGTTGCGTCGGGAGCAACAGGCCGCGCGCCCCCGGCCCCGGCCCGCCCGGCCCCGCCGCGGCTCCGGGCCGCCCGCGCCCCCCGCGCCCGACCCGCGCCGCGTCCGCCCGCCCGGCTCGCGCCCGCCGCCGCCCCGCACTTGCCCGCAAGTTCGCGCCCCGCCCGCCCGGCGCGGGGGCTCCGAGGGTCCCGGGCGCCCGACAGCCGCCACGCGCGGCCCAGCGGCGCGCGCGCTCGCGGGGACCGGCGGCGGCGGCGGCCGTTAGCCCGCGCCCGCCCCGCCGCGCCGCCGCGCCGCGCGCGAGCCCACCCGCAGGCCGAGCCGAGCCCCCCGCCCCGCCGTCGGCCGCGCGGCGCCTGCCGGGAGTTGTAGTGCGCGGCGCGGCGCGGCGGTGGGCGGCGGGCGGCCCCGAACCACGACTCCCAGGAGGCCGCGCGTCGGGCTGGCGGCCGGCAGGGGGCGCCGCGAGCCCCGCCTGCTTCTGCGCCGCCGCGGACGCGCCGCGCGTGACCCGAGCCCGCAGGCGCCGCCATCCCCGGGCGCCCGGAGAGCGCCGGCAGTGAGGGCCGCCGCCGCGCCCTGATTGGCTGCGCCCGGAGCGCGACGTCACGTGAGAACGCACCCCGCGCCGCCCCCGTCACGCGCCTCCCGCCGGGTCGCTCACCCCCGGGCCACGCGCCGAACCCGGTTGCTCACCCGCCTGGTCACGCACCAACCCCGCAGGGTCGCTCACCTCCCGGTCACTCATCCCTGGGTCACGGCGCCAACCCGGTCACTCACTCGCCTAGTCACTCACACCCCGGTCACTCACACTCCGGGGTCACTCACCCATCGGGTCACTTACATCCCGCAAGGTCACTCACATCCCCGAGTCACTCACACCCATCGGGTCACTCACCACACACACACACCCACACACACACACCCGTCACTCACTCGCTTGGTCACTCACTCACACCCTGGTTACTGACACCCCAGGGTCACTCACACCCACCGGGTCACTCACACCCCCGGATCACTCACACCCGCCGGGTCACTCATACCCCCGGGTCACACCCACTGGGTCACTCACACCCATCGGGTCACTCACCTCCCGGGTCACTCACACCCCTCGGGCACTCACCCCCACCGGGTCACTCACACCCCTGGGCACTCACACCGCGCCCCCCCAACCCCACCCCCCCACCCCCCCATCCCCCCAAACCCCCACACACACATTATACCTGCCAGGACACCGCAGCTCCACACAGTGCCCAGCACCCTGGAGCCTGCACCTGAACCATCCCTGCAGCCTTGCTCCCGGGCGTTCCGCCTCCCGGAGTCTCTCTGCCCTCTTCTTTACTCTGGTCTTGGGTTTGGGCCACTTGGGGCTGGGCTCAGAGGTCACTGCTGACGGCTCAGGGACACGTTCTGCTAGAGTGCCCACCCACCAGCCTCGTGCAGAGTGCTGGACCCACCGTCGTCTCCCCCTCACACTCCAAGAACAGCGGCACTGTTTTCCTTTGGGGAGGGGACCCACAGCTGGCAGTGCTCAGGACTTACTGCTGGCCGTGCCCCAAGACCACATCTCATGGGTGTCGGGGAACCATCTGGGGTGCTGGGGATCAAACCCAGATCGGCAGCATGCAAGGCAAGCACACTGCTCCCTGTACTATCGCCCTGGCACCTGGGTTTTCTTTTGTTCTTTTTTCTCCTTTAATGAGTCATCTAGTCAGTAAAGTACTTCCAAGTCTTCGAGCTGTGGGAACAGGCAGGAAGTGGGGGAGGAAAGTGGCACCTCTGCCCACATTGGGAGCCTAGTCTTGCCTGGGCCAACCCTGTGCCGTTGGGATTGGGATGGGAGGGTTCCTGCAGACCGAGTTGGGGAACTGCCCCTTGTACTGACAAGGGCACCTCATTCTCAGCTGTTTCTGGTGCAGAAAGGATGGGCTCTGCTCCCTGCGCCCACGTGTGGATTAGTGCCACTGCTCCTGGGTGCCTGCGGAGTGGCCTGAGTGGCCTGCCAGTGGGTGTGCCCCGCCACAGGGTCCAGGAGCTCAGGTCCGAGGCACCCACCCAGCTGCTCCATTCTCCTGAGGGAGCCCATCCCACCTTGGAACCCCTCTTGACTCTCCTCTGCACCTGCCTTCCTCAGGGCTGCCCACCAGGTCTCGCAGGGGTCACCAGCTCCTGGCTGACTGTCACACTGGGCCTGGCACCCCAGCAACCACAGAGGCCATGGCCAGGCCGGCCAGGGTGACATCCCAGGAGTGATGGGAGAAGCTTGGCTGCACCCCCCTGAAGGTGGGTGCTTCCAGGGCAGGGCCTTCCCCACCGCCTGTGCTGGTCTTAGGGGGCTTCTCTCCATGGAACCCCACTTCAGACTGGTTTTCTTGACTCTCCTGCTTGTGACTGGGGGGCTGTGCCCACATTGAGCCCTCCAGCCAGGTTTACAGAGGGAAACTGAGGCATGGCTGTGTTCCTGCGTCCGCAGCCCCAGGCAATGCAGGCTCGCCGGGAGGCTCCCCCAGGAACTCAGGTCTGCCCAACAGTGACTCCGGCTACTGTTCCTGTCTGTCTCCGGAGCACAAGGAACATCCCAGTCCCCTTGCCCTACCCACCTGACCCCACTCGCTGGCAGGGGCCTGGGGAGCCACCTCCCTGCCCATGGCCTCCCGGTGCAGACAAGGCAGCCCACACAAGTCACTGCCCCGGGTCTGGTGTGAACAAGGCACAGTCACCTCCAGACCAGCAAAACTGCAGAATATCAGATCAACACACTCAGTGGGCCCACATGAGCAGTGAAAGGTCTGGAGAGGTCATTAAGGAAACAATTTCTGAATCAGAGAAATGAGGGCAGGGCTAAGGCACTTGCCTTGCATGTGGCTGACCCTGCTTTGTTACTTGGCATTGCCAGGAGCAATTCTTGAGCATAGGGCCAAGAAGAAGATCTGAGCACCACTGGGTGTGGCCCCCAAACGAAACAGCACTCTCAAAGTACAATCAGAGAAATCCAAGGGTGGGTCTTCATGGCCTTAAACTTGGCATTTGAACTGTAAATAATAAAAATAAGGGCTGGAGTGATAGCACGGTGGGTAGGGTGTTTGCCTTGCACATGGCCAACCCGAGTTCGATTTCCAGCATCCCATATGGTCCCCCGAGCACCGCCAGAAGTTATTCCTGAGTGCCGAGCCAGAAAAAACCTAAGCATTGGGTGTGACCCCCAAAAAATGTATGTGTGTGTGTGTGTGTGTGTGTGTGTGTGTGTACACAAGTGGGGCTTGAAAGATAGTACAGCAGGTAGGGCACTTGACTTGCATGCAGCCAATCTGAATTTGGTTCCTGGGTTTGGCACCCAATATGGTCCCCTGAGCAACACCAGGAATAATTCCTGAGCACTGTATGGCCCCAAAACACAAAGATACAAATGGCAGAGATAGGTGGTATAGAGGAGAGGTGCTTGCCGGTATCCAACCTCCAAGTTCTGCCATCTGTCCCCCAAGAAGGTAACTAAGCTTCAAAAGGAAAGTTTCCTGTTCATCAGACACTGTGAAGAGAGCACCCCCAGCAAGGAGGGCAGAGTGACAGTGTGTATTCACTGTGGACCCTGGGCACTCCCAGGCATAGTCCAAAGAAACAAAAGCAAATAGAGGGCCCCTAAAAACAGCACCGCCGCCACCGCGGACATGACTACAACAGGCATGAGGTGAGTACAGATGAGGAAGGCATGGATCACAGGAACTGTGGTCCCCTGCTAAGTGACCCATACCTAGGATGTGTGATGTTGCTCTGTCTTTAGGGCACAAGGGGACCGTTTCTTGGATATGCCCTGTGCTGAAGGGCACAGGAGCACCGGATGGCAGCAAGTCCATCTGGGAGAGAAAGGACAAAAGCAGGACCCTGGAGCCCAAAGGGGAAGTGCACTGAGGTCCCCTCAACAGAGGCTCCCAAGGTGGATGCTCGATGCCAAGGAGGTTGAGGCACTGGGGTCACAGCAGTGTCCCCCAAAGCATGATGCCAGACCTGAGTGTTTGCATGAAAGACCCAGTCAGCCCCAGGGAGCAAGAAGTGGCTACAGAGATGAGACGCGGGTGGTTGCCGCCACAATGCTCGCTGGGGGGCTGTGCCTGCCCCTCCACGGGCTCAAAGCTGCATTGACAGATTCGCTGACAGTCCCTGTAAGCTGGTGTCACTTGGGACCAGAGAGAGTGTTCAGAGGGTTGAGCGTTCGAGTGGAAGTGGCACCCGGCATGCCCCCAAAGAAACAGGTGTTCCGTGAATGTCACCTTCAGGAAGTAGAGCTGAAGGGGCAAGGCAAGCAATCCCCAGGACTCCACTGAATTCTGCACTGTTCATAACACTGTCCTCCTGTTGTTCATCGATTTGCTCAAGCGGGCACCAGTAACATCTCACAACAAATTGTGAGACTTGTTGTTACTGTTTTTGGCATATTGAATACGTCACAGGTAGCTTGCCATGCTTTGCCGTGCAGGTAAGATACTCTCAGTAGCTTGCCGGGCTCTCTGAGAGGGTTAGAAAAGGAATTGAACTTGGGTCGGCCATGTTGGCTGCGTGTAAAGCAAACGCCCTACCCGCTGTGATATTGTTCCAGCTGCGATAGCACAGCGGTAAGGTGTTTGCCTTACATGCGGCCAACCCGACCGACCTGGGTTCGATTCCTCCACCCCCTCAGAGAGCCCAGCAAGCTACCGAGAGTATCTCGCCTGCACGGCAAAGCCTGACAAGCTACCCGTGATGTATTCGATATGCCAAATACAGTAACAACAAGTCTCACTGAATTCTGAATATCAGAATTCATCCTCTTGGCCCCAGAGCTCAGAGCACGGACGGGTGGGCATTCCTGGCCAACCCGGAGCTGGAAATACGGGAGTAGACAGACACGGGAAAAGAGCTGCCCTCCTCACCGGCCCCACGGCACCGTGGCCAGGAGTCCCAGGGCCAAGCTGAGATGGGCAGGCCCCCCACTCTCCCTCAGGCTACCTGCAGGCAGAAAGAGAAAGGACCCAGTCCGAGCAGCACTCCCTCCATGCCCCCTTGCTGCTGTCCTGAGGGTCTGGTGACCGCTGCCCATTGTGGTGTGGCCATGGAGACACCCGCCCAGCAGAACCTGGGGCTCCCTACTTGCACTGTGGGTCGGTGGCGGGCAGGGGTGGAAGGATGCTACAGATCCCTCCCTGGGTCACCACCAGGGCCCCTGAGGCTCCAGCACGATGCTGTCCCCACCCTTCCTCACACATGAGGGGGTCTCCAGCTGGTTCAAGCTGGCAGCGCCTCCCCAGCTCACCCAGCCACAGAGCCCTGACCACAGAGCACGCGGTACTACAGGGACCCCAAAAGCCAGTCAGGTGTCTTAGGGTCTCTCAGCGAACACTGGAGGTTCTGTCAGTCCTCACAGCCCGAGAAGCTGCAGGAAGTGGGACGGGTGCAGGTGACCCCACCTGGCCCCAACACCCCATTTTAGGATCCCTAAGACACCCCAGGCTGCAGACCCCATGCATGCCCCATGCTGGGGACACTAAGACACTCCTGTCAGGGCTCCCACCAATGGCCCAATCCTGGGGGCCATGCAGACATCCTGTGATAGGGACCCCGCAGATAGCCCAGGCTCGAGACCCTAAGACACTCCATGCTGGGAACTCCAAAGATGCCCCGTCCTGGGGACCCAGGGGACACCCTGTGCTCTAGACCCAGGTACATGGTGCTGTCCTGGCTGCTCTTCTTGCCATGAGTCCCAGGGGTCCCCACACCCCCACACCCCCATGGCTGCTCCAGCCTCACCCCAGGGGCCCCAGCTCCAGTCACCGCAAAGTCTCAGGCATAGGAGCCCTGTGTGCTCCCTGCCCATGGGGAGGACAAAGAGGCCCCAGATGGGACACAGGTCCAGGGTGACAACACACTTCAGCCTATGGGGTGGGTGCCCTCCAGCCCCCACAGGGCAGCCCCTCCCTGGTTTGGGTGGGTCCCCGAGAGCATGTGCTCTCACACACAAAAGACTTGCACTGAAGCAGTGAGCAAAGTAGAGGCTGGGGTCCCCCGGGGCCTCAAAGCCCAGGCTCCCTCGGCTCAACTGTCTAAGCAGCCCCGAGGCTGAGCACAGACAGACCTGGGAAGCAGGGGACTGAGCTGGTCAGCAGGAGCCTGTGGGCACTGGGACTGTAGGTGGCAGGTGGATGTCCTCCAAGGACAAGAAGCCAAGACCACCTGATGTTCTGGCACCTTCTGTTCTTTCTGTGCAGAAGTTTCTCAAGAAAACAGGAAACAGCTGCAGAGCTGGTGCCTCAGGTCCCCGACAAACATGTCTGACATTCAGCTACAGGGCAGGCACTACAGAGCCCGCAGCCTCCACTCCCAGCCAGCCTCACACACATGAGCCGGGCCCCTCCCTGGAAACCCATACCCAGGGCCAGCCCACATGTGTCAGATCATTTCCCTGCTGCCAAGTGGGGAGGCTGGACCAGGAGGGGAGGCTGGATTGGGTAGGAGGCTGGACCAGGCAGCGAGGCTGCACTGGGTAGGAGGCTGCACCAAGCAGCGAGGCTGGGCCGGGTAGGAGGCTGGACTGGGTGGTGAGGCTGGACTGGGCAGGGAGGCTGAACCATGCAGGGAGGCTGGACCATGCAGCGAGGCTGCACTGGGTAGGAGGCTGCACCGAGCAGCGAGGTTGGACCAGGCAGCGAGGCTGGACTGGATAGGAGGATGGACTGGGTGGTGAGGCTGGACAGGGCAGGAAGACTGGACTGGGCAGGGAGGAGGACCGGGTGGGGAGGTAGGACCAGGTAGGAGACTGGACCAGGTGGGAAGGAAGGGCAGGGCAGGAGGCAGAACTAGGGAGTCAAGAACAGGCAGGCAGTACCAGGCAGGGAGGCTGGATTGGGCAGGGAGGCAGGACCGAACAATGCAGCAGACATCCTGACCAGGCCTCCCGCCGCAGCCCGGCAGTGGTACCTGCTTCTGAGGGCAGCAGGTGTCCCAGATCACACAGTTCAGTGCAGCTGGCCAAGTGGGTGGCCTATTCACCACCATATCTTGGACTGTGGGACCCGGGACCAGAACAAACGGCCCCCACCTTGGGATTCCGCACTTTTCTCGCGGGCTGGCGGGGAACTGGGCCTGAGTGTCTCCAGGAGGCAGCGGCAGAGCTGGGTAAGGCAGGTTCCTGCAAACCAGGCTTCCTCTGCCCCCAGAAGGTCTGAGCTCAGTGCCCCAGAGGCACTGTCCTACCTGAAGCAGGAGGTACACAGGCACCCTTGAGCTCAGGCTGGTCAGCACCCAAAGATGTACTCCCCTGAGCGGCTGCTTTGCCCGGGAGAGGCCTGGCAAGTGGCCCAGTGCCCCAAGGAGCGTGCCCACCATCTTCTGCTCCCGAGCAGGGTCCTCAGGGTCCCGCACAGAGCTGGGGGTAGGGGAGAGCCAGGGCTCTTCCTGCCTGAGGAGCCTGTGGACACTGCCCAGCTCCCCAGCAGTGGGTCCTGGCCAGAACGAGCGACAGATCCGGGAGGGGGTCCTGCCCCAGGGGCCACACAGCAGCTGGGCTTGCACCCAGCTCTGACCCTCAGGAACAAGGACCATCCCATCTCCCTCAGCCAGAAGCCCCCTTGCAGTGGCCTGTCCCTTGACCTGGGAGTGTCCTAAACGTGAGCGGGCACAGAGGAGGACGTCGTGGGACCGGTCCCGGAGGCAGCGGAGCGCGGGCCCTTGCGCCCGACGGAGGCAGCCTCCTCCGAGCCTGATGAGCGGGAGCTCTTTTCGCACAGGCCCGTTCACTCTCAACCGGGCGGAACCGAACGCCCTTTTCCCCTCCTCGCCCGCCCGTCCAGGCAGGCGGGACCCTTCCTTCGCCTCCGCGGTTCCCCTCGCGGGGGAAAGCGCGTCCCGGCCGTCTGGGGCGGCGCCAGGAACACGACCCGCGCGCCCACCCCGCGCCCGACCCCCGGGAACGCGCGCTGACCGGGCCGCCCTCCAGGGCCACGGCCCCGCGAGGGTTAAGGGGGGCGGGGTTCGGGGCGGCCCCGCCTCCGCCGCCGCCGCCGCGCGGGTCCGAGCGCGCACGGGGCGCGGGGGCGGGTCGGAGCGGGCGGCTGAGGGCGCGGCGCGCGGGGCAAGCGCGGGGAGCGGCGGCCCGCGTGACCCAGCGCCCGCGCCGTGCGCCCGCGAGCCCGCGCCCCGCCGCCCCGGCCCCGCCGCAGGATGCGCGCCCCGCCGCTGCTGCTGCTGCTGGCCGCCTACGCGCCGCCGCCCTGCGCCGCGGCCGTCCCGACGCCGCCGGGCTGGGAGCCGCCGGCCGATGCGCCCTGGTGCCCCTACAAGGTGCTGCCCGAGGGCCCCGAGGCGGGCGGCGGGCGCCTGTGCTTCCGCAGCCCGGCGCGCGGCTTCCAGTGCCAGGCGCCCGGCTGCGCGGCGCACCCCTCGGCCAGCGACTCCCTGCGCGCCAGCGTCCTGCGCAACCGCAGTGTCCTGCTGCAGTGGCGCCTGCCGCCGGCCGCCGCGCGCCGCGTGCGCGCCTTCGCGCTCAACTGCTCGTGGCGCGGCGCCTACACGCGCTTCCCGTGCGAGCGCGTGCTGCTGGGCGCCGCCTGCCGCGACTACCTGCTGGCCGACGTGCACGACGGCGTGCGCTACCGCCTGTGCCTGCAGCCGCTGCCGCTGCGCGCCGACCCCGCCGCCGCCGCCGCCGCCGCCCCGGAGCCCGCCGGCCGCGCCGAATGCGTGGAGTTCGCCGCCGAGCCGGCCGGCATGCGGGACATCGTGGTGGCCATGACGGCGGTGGGCGGCTCCATCTGCGTCATGCTCGTGGTCATCTGCCTGCTGGTGGCCTACATCACCGAGAACCTCATGCACCCGGCCTTCGGGCGTCCGGGCCTGCGCCGGCAGCCGTGAGCCGCTGGAGCGTCTCCCGACCCCGCCCGGATCGGCTCCCCACCGGCTCGACGCGGGGCCAGCTGGAGAGAGCCGAGAACTGCCCCGGTCATCGCGCCCCCTTCCCGGCGCCGCGGCCGACTCCCAGCCCCCGGCCCGAACTGGCCCTGGGGCCCGAGCGGAAGCGGGGGGCGCGGCCGGGGCGCTCTGAAGGGGGCGAGGAGCGGCGCCCCCCCTCCACTGCTACTTCACCGTGCGCTTACCGGCTCGAGGGGGGCCCTCGGAGCCGGTGTCCCCGCGTCACCCCGGCGGGCTTAGGTTAGCTTCGTGCCTTAGTATGGGAACCCCCGCAGCCGCCCCTGTGCTCTGCCTTCCCAGGGCGCCCGTGGCCCCGGCGCTGGCCCCGCCGCCCCGCGGGAGGCCCCTCCGATCTCGGGCGTTGCTGACGCCAGTGTGACCAGCCTGCAGGCGAGCCTGGCCCAGCGCGAGCCGGTGGGGGTCAGGGCAGCTCTCGCCGGCCCCCCCGTGCGCGCTCGCGCTGCGGCCCGACGTGCGGGAGCGGCGGGCGGGCGAAGGGCAGCGTCACCGTCGCGGCTGGGGCTGGAGCCTAAGTAGATGCCTCGGGCCCGTCGACCCCCGCTCCGTGGATTGGACGCCCCGTGCGGGCCGAACGAGCCCCCGGACAGACACGTGGCGCAGGGACCCCGGGGCTCTGGGCTCTGCCCTCGTCCTCTTGCCGCGGCCGTTAGCGCCCCCAGCGCGCTCCCTACCTCTGTCCCGTGACCTTCCCCTGCCCGCCCCGCTGAGCCTTGTGTCCATATCCACACGTCCATCGTCCTCAGACCAAGACGGCGTCTGGTGTGATTCTTTGGGAGGCAGTGGGGTGCGGGGAGTTGGATGTGTGGTTCTCAGCAGAGCTTGCTTGGCCCCTCCACCAGGGTGGGCAGCGCCTGAGGGCTGTAGGGGACTGAGGGCTCCCCGGCTCTGCAAGTCCTAAGGTCCCTGGGAGCCCGCAGCTGGCAGCCTGCTCGGGATGACTCATCCCTCGGGTGGGCGCAGCTGTGGCTTTGACAGCTCTGCGGGGGTGGGGGACCTGGGCCTCCTGCTGCCCCTGCAGGGATTCGGTGCTCAGAGGGTCATCAGCGCTGCACCAGGCATGTGGGCTGCGTGGTCAGAAACATAAGGCAAGACCTGGTGGAGGCTGAGTACACACTCCCTGGGACCAGATCCCCTTCATTGCCCTGAATGCCCCAACAAAACAAGGATCTCTGTGAAAAGGAGGGGTTCATTCAAGGGACCCTCAGCAGAAGGGCTTGGGACTCATGGGGGCGGAGGAAGGGGTCCCATATGCAGGAGCAGGTGCTGTGACAGCCTGTGCGCCCCAACAGACCTCCTGAGGTTCCTGGGGGCGCTCAGCCCTGCCCCCAAACACCCAGATGCACTTTCCCTGCCTCCCCCACCCCTCTGGGGTTCCATTACCTCGTGTCCCTGGGTGTGTCTGCTCCTAGGGGATCGATCCCTTTCCAGGTAGTCATCTTTACACAGGCTAGAGCTGGACACATGCAGCCCTGACCTCAGAATCCAGGTGGGGGAGGGGGAGGGGAATGCTGCTTGGGGTCCCCTGGTGACTGGAGGGGCTCTCTGAGCACCCGCACAGCTGCACCACTGGAGGGGCTCTCTGAGCACCTTCTCACCCTTCACTAGGTGCCCTCTATGTGTGCTGCTGTCCCCATAGGGCTGCTCTTCCTGGGCTGTGGCTGCAGTAGTCTCTGAGTCCGTTTCACAGCCCCTCTTCCCCCAGCACCTGATCCAGGGTGTGGTTGGATTTGGTCTCCAGGACCTACTGACAGCCCCAGGTGTTCCATCTGGTCTCCATGAGATCTGGGGCACCAGAGCACGCAGAACATCTTGGCCTCTGCTGGGCTGAGGGGACATGCCTCCTCCAAATGGAAACCCTCAGAGCTGCACCCTGCAGTGCCCCCAGAGGGAAGCTAGGGGCGGAGTGAGGGAGCGCCCCCTAACTTCCTCACTCCCGTCATTCTTGAAGCTCTGCTAAAAAGCTGACCTGGGTGAACCGTGTAGGTGCATATAGGGTGTCTGCTGGTGTGTGTGTGGCCTCTGGTATGGGGGTATAATCTGGGGGATCTGGTGTAATTTGTGTGTGTGTGTGGCCTGAACTGTGGTATGGGTCTTGGGAGTGTTGTGATTGCAGTGGGGATGTGATCTGTGATACGGGTGTATCTGGATGAGGGCATGTATGGCATGTATGGTCTGGTATGGGGGGCTTGATATATGTGAGGATGTTGTGGGACATGGTGTGGGGGGTGCATGGTAGATTTGGGGGGATGTGATGTATGTGGGGGGTGGTTTGTGCTATGTGTAGGTATAGAGTGGGTGTGGTGCTAGTTTGTGGAGTTTGGTGTATATGTGTGGGGTGGGGTGTATAGTGAGGGAATGTTTGTGTGATGTAGAGTGTGTGGTCTGTTAGATGTGTTTAGGGGAGTATGGAGTGTGATATATATTGGGTTTCTCACTTGGGGTGTGTGTGCTCCATGTTGTGCTTGGTCTATGGTTTGGGGGTGTATGAGGTCTGTGATATGGTAGTATATGTGATCTGGGTGTGGTCTGATTGGGGGTGTGGTCTGTGGTGTGGGAATGTGGTCTCTGATGTGAGAATATACTGGTCTGTGATGTGGGTGGGATGTATGTGGTCTCTGTTGTATGTATATAGGGAGTGTGGTATGTAGATCTGGTTATATGGGGGGGGTTATGTAGTCTGGTATGTGTGTGTGGTGTATGTGGTCTGTTACATGTGGGTGGGCAGGTGTATGTTGGGTGTGTGTGGTGTGTACTTTGGTGTGGGGATCTCTAGGGTGTGTGGAGTGCATGTGGTCAGTGGTGTATGGATGTACATAGGGTGTATGTGGCCTGTGGGCGTATGGTCTGTAGAGTATGTGTGGGTTTGGGGTATTTGGTCTGTTGAGTGTAAGTGTTTGTGGTCTGAATGGGTGTGGGGATATATGAGATCTGTGAGGTGTGTGGTCTATGGTGTATAGGTGTGTGATATATGTGGAGGTATGATCTATGTTCTGGGGTGTGAATTGTGTGGTCTGGTCTGTAGTGTGGGTATGGAGTGTAGTGGATGTGTAGTTTGTGAGATGTGATGGTCTAAGGTTAGGGTGTGGGGTATGTGGTCTGTGGTTGGGGTATTAAGTATGTGGTCTGTGGGGTGGATTTGGGAGTGGTGTGGGGGGTACAGTCTGTAGTGTGTGATCTGTGGTCTACAGTGAATGTGTGTGTGAGTTGTGATGTGCGGGTATGTGCTACATGTGAGGGGGGAATTTGGTCTGTGGTGGTGTGTGGTCTGTGGTGGTATGTGGTCTGTGGTGTTTATGTTGGGTGTGAGGTGAGGTCTGTGGTATGGGGGTATGGTCTATGGTGTGTGTAGATGTGTGCTCTGTGGTGTACATGTTGGGTGTGGTCTAGGGTGTGTGAGGTTTGTGGTGTATATATGGTCTATGGTGTGTATGTGTGGGATAGGATTGGGCCTATGGTGTATGTATTGGGCTGCAATCTGTACACGTGAAGTGTGTAGTCTGTTGTATGTGTGGGCATGGGGTATTTGTGGAAGTGTGGTGTGTGATCTGCAGTGTAATGTGTGTGGGGAATTTGGTTTGTGGTCTCTGGTGTGGGGTATGTGGCCTATAGAGTAAGGTGTGTGTGAGATGTGGTGTATGTGTAGGGGGAATCTGTGTTTTTGTGGGGTTTGGTCTGTGGGATGTGTGTGGGTGTATGGGGGTGTGGTCTGTGGTGTAGTTAGGAATTTTATCCGTGGCCTGTGGTGTATGTGCAGGGGATTTGGTCTATGGTGTGTGACCTGAGGTATGTTTGTGGGGGTGTAGGTGTAGTCTGTGGTGTATGTGTGTGGTCTGTGGTGTGTATGTGTGTGGTCTGTGGTGTACATGTGGGGGAATTTAGTCTGAGGTGTATTATGGGGGTATGGTCAGTGATGGGTGGGTGTTGGTCTATAATGTGAGGGTGTGTGATGTGTGTGTGATGGGGGTACTGTCAGCATGTCATCTACTCTTGCCCACTCTGTCCCATTCCCAGTTCCCTCCTTCTAGAACAACGCCCTCATCCAGTTCTTCCACACGTCTCCTACACCAAGGTGCTTAGTATCCATTGTTTGAGGAGTGGAATCCATCCTCCTCTCTGATCTTGGCCTTGTGAAGAGCAGCTGCTGTGGATGTTTCCATGAGACCTGTCTGCCATTCTCAGGGGTCGCTCACCCCTCAGTGCATGGTCACTTTCTGCCACCTGGGTAAGGCTGATACAAGCTACACATAGAAACTCAGTTGATCAGGGTTTGCTGGGGTGCTTGCATGTTAGCCCTCTTCTTCCTGGGCTTCAAATGCTTCTGTGAGTTCTTCCTCTCAGTTTCCTATAGCTCCACCAGCAGTCTGGACCATTCCGTGTAAGAGGGCTCTTAAGTTGGCAGAGGAGGCCCCTGTGTCTACTGCCATAGGTGAGTGGGTATGAGGCAACTTCAGAACTGAGGCAGCAGCAGCCCTCCCATGTTCTGCAAGCGGTCAGAAGAGGTAGAGGCAGGGGCTTCCTGTTGGCCTGAAGGCTGGTGCTGTGCTGAGCCTGGATCTTGGCACACCCCTCAAAGCACTGACGAGGTCTATGTCACTGGGTCTTGTATCAGGCTGTCCTTCCCTCGCCCAGACACTTCTCACAGGGCTTGATTCACTGCAGATACTTCTGCTTCAGATCAGGCCACATCCACAAGTGGGTGGACATCAGCCACTCTTCTGGGGAACACAATTCAATCCTGGCCTCAAGATGATGGTACAGGGCTGAGTGAGGACTGTCTTTGCATATGTGGCTGACCCAGTTCAAATCCCTGGCACCACACACGGACCCCAAGTCAATGCCTCTAGGTTGGGTGTGGAACCCTCAACAATCCATAGCAGAAACTCATCTGTCCTTGTGACCAGCAATAACTTGAAATGTGGAGAAGTGAATCCCACAATCCACAGCAGCAGTTCATCTGTTTGTCCTTGTGACTAGCAAAATCTTGAAATGTGAAGAAGCTTCCTTACATTTCCTTTTCTTGTGCCACTCAGCAGTGCTCAGGGGACCCTGCGGTGCTAAGAATCAAACCCAGGGTTAAGCACCACTCCAGTCCTTGAGCCACTGCCCCACCCCCCTGGGGATAATTTGAGGTGGGTGTTGGGATTTATCAGCCATGTTCAGGGGCTATTTCTAGCTCTGTGCTCAGGAGTGAGCCCAGCCAGTGCTCAGCAGGCCTGTGTGGTGCTGGGGATTCAAATCAGGGTTGGTGGGTGCCAACAATGTGCCTTAACCTCAGCGCTATCTCTCCAGTGTCACAATTGTTTTGTGGTTTTTTTTTTGCTTTTTTTTGGGGGGGGGGGTCACACCTGGCGACGCACAAGGGTTACTCCTGGCTCTGCACTCAGGAATTAACCCTGATGGTGCTCAGGGGACAATATGGGATGCTGGGAATGGAATCCGGGTCAGCCGCGTGCAAGGCAAATGTCCTACCCGCTGTGCTATCGCTCCAGCCCCTATTTTGTGTTTTTGGACCACACCCAGATGTATTGAGGGTTGCTCCTGGTGGTGCTTGGGAGACCCTGTCAGAGATCGAATGCAGGTCAGAAACACACGAAAGGAAAGTGCCTCAGACCACCTGTCTGGCCTCGCCATCCTGTTTTCACAAAAACACAAAGGAACGAATACTTCCCACGTGCGGAACAGAACTAGTGGAGGTATCGAGACTGTCTTCCCTTTGCAATCTGGTGCAAAACAGAAGCACCCCAAGTTTTTAACGCCGACACTGGGCCCCTTTTCCTAAGCAGCTTCCCAAACACACCCCTGCTCTGAGGCGGTCCCGGTGCCGCCGCTGGCGACCGCCTTCCTGCCTCCAAGGGGTTCCCGAGTCCGCGTCGTCTCGTCACCGCGTCCCACGTTTCGCCCCTGCCGTCCTCTCGACGGCGCTGCTGGGCCCACCGCGGCGGGGGATGCTCCTTCAGGCCCTGCTCAGGCGTCATTCTCGGCGGGCGACGTGCGGGACGGCCCCGGCCGCCGTCTGAGCAGGCCGCCCAGAGGAGGCTGTGGCGTCAAGAGGCGCTGGTCGTCACGCCGCTTCAGGGGCGCCTCTGGGACCCGAGCTCGCCGAGGACACAGCGGGCTGCGACGAGGCGGGGCCCGCGGAGCGCATCGCTCCCGCAGCTGCCTCCCGGGAACCCGGGCGCCGCTCCTCGGGGGCGGGGTCCGCAGCCACGCGCGCCCGGGGAGGGGCAGGGGCGCGGCGCGCTGACGCCACGGCTTCCGCCCGGCGCGGCGCGCTGACGTCACGGCTTCCGCCCGGCGCGCCCGCCATCTTGGCTCCGCGGCGGCGCCGGGCCGGCTGGCAGCGCAGGGCGGCGCGGAGGTGCGGCCGCCATGCCGTCGTCGCCGCTGCGGGTGGCGGTGGTGTGCTCGAGCAACCAGAACCGGAGCATGGAGGCGCACAACATCCTCAGGTAGTGGGGCCGCCGCCCCGCAACGCAGGCGCGGCCAGCGCGCGCCCGCTCCGCCGCCGGAAGTGCCCGGGAGGCCCCGCGGGCCGGACGCTGCCGCTGCCGGAACCCCGGGCCCGGAGTTCGCTTGCTCCCGGGCCATGTTCCGAGTGAGAGGCACCCGCCACCGCCGCCGCCGCCGCCCGCCGCCCTCCGCCCGACACCCGACACCGCCCGGGACCGCGGGCCGCGGCGACTCCCCGCACGGGGTCTCGGCCCGCCCGCCGCCCCGGCTCGCCGGCCCCGCACAGGGACTTCGGTGGGCTGTCTCGAGGCTCCACCCGACGGTGCTCGGGGTCGTTCCTGGCGGGACGCGGAGGGCGCATACGTGGTGTGGGGGCCTGAGCCCGAGTCAGCACTGCGAAGGGCGACCCAGCCACAAGTTTTAAAACGTTTAGAACGCTCGGCATGCGCCAGAAGACTAGGGGTCCGAACCCCGCGCCCCACGTGCCTGCTGGGGACTCCCTGGGACCTGGGGTCTGGAGACGCAGTCCAGTAGGTCCGGCCCTTGCCTGGCTTTGGACTGACACCGTTTTGATCTCCAGGCTCCAGGAGGCTTCCACCTTACCCCAGCTCCGCCGGATGGGCTCCAGAAGCCCAACCCCAAAAGAGAGCTCGGCATTTGGGTGGGAGATGGGCTCCAGGGAGTTGTCCTGGCTCTGTTCTCAGGGGTCCCCCCTGGCGGACCTAGAGGACCGAATGTGGTGCTAGGGACCTGCGGGGCCGGTACCCTCCCCACTGCCCGTGTCTCTTTGTGCTGCCCTGACCAGTTCCCGGTTGGGGTGGGGCCGGGTGTGCTCCCAGTCCGGAGGACGCCCCTCAGCACAGAGAGTCCCCAGTTTATTCTGCACGTTCGCCTTTGTGTAGTCGGGACCGGGTTAAGGACGTTAGTCTCCCAGTGGCCTCAGCCTGCCCGCTCTCAGGACAGGGCCCGGGGCGGGTGGGGCAGAGCTGCGTGTTAGGATCTGCCGCGCAGTCTTGGCCTGCACCAGGCAGACTCAGGAGAAGGCAGAGGCGGTAAGTCTGGGTAAGTGCCCATTGTCACAGGCTTGTTTTATTTTTGACTTCTTTTGGCAGTGCTACGGGCTTACTCCCAGCTCTGCGCTCAGGACTTAATTCATTTTATTTTTATTTTTTTTGGCTTTTTGCCTTTTTGGGTTACACCCTGCGATGCACTCAGGAATTACACCTGGCAGTGCTCAGAGAACCATATGGTATGCTGGGAATTGAACCCAGGTCAGCCAAGTGCAAGGCAAACGACCTACCCGCTGTGCTATTGCTCCAGCCCCATCAGGATGCCAGGGATTAAGCCCAAATTGTCTCAGTGCATGCTGTGATGTCCCTCTGACCCCAGGAGGCATGAGGAGCCAGGGCTCTCAGGGTGGAACCAGGCTCCATCACCTGTGTCACTGAAATAGTGATACAGTTGCCAGAAACACTGTAGAAACCTGGAGGCCAGCAACCGGACCATTATGTGTGCCTTTCTAGGTTCTTCTCACCCTGCTGCTTCAGGGACACCCCCTGCTCTGACTCGCAACTGGTCTGGGTGAACCACGCAGGTCCCAGAGCCTTTTTCTTCTGGCTGGCCCTGGCAACAATTAATCTGGCCCAGGCCCTTTGTCTTTTGTCTGTGGGCCACCCCTGGCAGTGCTCAAGGCTTATTCCTGGTTCTCTTCACGGATCACTCTTGGCCTGCGCATATGGTCAGCTGCCTGGGGTGCCCTAGCCGCTTTCCAGCTTTGCTGCCCTGGCATCCTTTTCTCTGGTCTCACCATATCCGCAGTCTGCTCTAGAAGAGCCTAGCATTCTTGTTTTGTTTTGTTTTTTCTTTTTGGGTCATATCCAGCGATGCTCAGGGATTACTTCTGGCTCTGCACTCAGAACTACTCCTGGTAGTTAGTTCTTGGGGGACCATATGGGATGCTAGAAATCGAACCCCAGTCAGCCGCGTGCATGGCAAAATGCCCTCCCTGCTGTACCATCGCTCTGGCCCAAACCTAGCATTCTTTCCCTGCTGTTTTATGTATTTTTTTTTTTTTGTGACTCCCCAGAGGCCAAGCCAGGACCGCCAGATGTAGGCATCTTTAAGCTTCCCTCCATTCCCCAGGACTGTGTCTAATGCAGGCATCTGTAAGCTTCCCTCCATTCCCAGGACTGTTCGATGTAGGCATCTTTTTTGGGGGGGGGGGAGATCACACCCAGCAATGCACAGGGGTTACTCCTGGCTCTGCACTCAGGAATTACCCCTGGCGGTGCTTGGGGGACCATGTGGGATGCTGGGAATCGAACTTGGGTCCGGCCACATGCAAGGCAGACACCCAACCTGCTGTACTCTATTGCTCCAGCCCCAGATGTAGGTATCTCTAAGCTTCCCACCATTTTCCCAGTGGCACTTTTGGAACAGCCTCCCTGGGCGTTATTTCCATTTTTCCATTGTGGTGTCAAGAATTTAGCTCTTATTCTTGAGGCTTGAGCTTACTCCGTGTCTTTTATCTTTGAGAAGTATGTGATTTGTACCTCGTTATTTGCAGGGTTTTTTTGTTTTGTTTTGTTTTTTGTTTTTTTTTTTTTGTCTTTTTGGGTCATACCCGGCAATGCAAAGGGATTACTCCTGGCTCATGCACTCAGGAATTACACCTCGCAGTGCTCGGGGGACCATATGGGATGCTGGGAATTGAACCCAGGTCAACTGTGTGCAAAGCAAACACCCTACCCGCTGTGCTACCGCTCCAGCCCCTATTTGCAGGGTTCTAAAGCACAGTTAAGAAATTTTTATGATGTTTTGCTTTCATGAACTGCGTAAGTTTATGAAATGAAATTGAGTTAGGTTTAAAAGTACTGATTGGTGGGCCAGAGCAATAGTACAACGGGTTCAGTTCTTGCCTTGCATTTCGCCTATCTGGGTTCAATCCCTGGGGCCCCATGGGATTCTCCTGAGCACCACCACTGTGACCCAAAAAAGAGAAAAGGAAATGCTGATGTGTGTGGGGCCAGAACAGTAGTACAACAGGAGGGCACCTGCCTTGCATGTGGCCTGCCCAGGTTCAATCCCAGCTCCCCCTATGGTTCCCAAACCCTGAGCACCACTGCGTGTGACCCACAAAGAGACAACCATACAAAAAAGTACTGTTTGTGATGCTGGGGAGTGGTACAGTGGGGGAAGGAACTTGCCTTGCCAGTAGCTGACTGGAGTTTAATCCACAGCACTCCATTGGGGGCCCCAGTCCCTCCCAGAAGTAATACCTGAGTACCACTGGGTATGGCCCCAAACCAAAAATTAAAAAGTGCTATTTGTAGGACACAGAATAGCGTCAGGAAGAAGGAAAGGGGGGCTGTGACCACACAGCCAGTGCAGTGGTCTGGAGGGGTGGGGTGCGGGATGACTCTTGGGCAGGCCTGTGAGGGGGCCCATCTTCAGGGGTCCTTCAGGGTTTAGGGGTGTCAAGAGATTGTTTTGGGTTTGGGCTGCACCCTGGCTCTGCTCATGAGTGACCCCTGGTGGTGCTCAGTGTTGAGTCCTGATCCAGGTCAGCTGCTAGGCTGTGTAGATGGGCCAGGGCTTCCAGACTTGCTGGGGTATGGTGAGGGGGAGATGGGGAGAATGGTCTGGGAAGGCAGGATGTGCTTGGCCCTCCAGCACAGCGGGGCCCTGCAGGCCTGGACACAGTGGGCTGCCTCCTGGCTGTGTCGGAGGCCCTGAGAGCCAAGAAGCATTTGTGGAGGGGGAACGGACGCAGAAGAGGACACTGCCTCCTCCCAACAGCCACAGGGGTTCTGATCTGGGGGGACTCTCCCTCCTCTCCTGCTCTGGGGCTACTCTGGCCCCAGCAGCCACTGGGGAACCCCATCTGGCACTGAGGGGCCAGTTGGTGTGTCCAGCAGGCTTCAGGCCTTACTTAACGGCTCATCTCCCCACACCCTGCTCCGGCCTCTGGCCACGGCTCCCTTGCTTAGGCCAGGCCCGCTGCACATGTCCCCATTCCCTCTGCTGGGTTGCAGTATCCAGTCACAGAGACTCATGGCGACAGATGGCCCTGTGGCCACTAGGCAGCAGGAGATATCCCAGTCCTGGGGGAAATGGTTTTACATTTGTAAGCATGTATTTGGGAAAGCAAGGAACTTTATGTTTGCAGAATTTAGGGGCTTGTGTGTGTGGGGGGGTGTCCCGGGGCTGTGGACTGCTCCAGGACTGTCTCTCACCTGTCCCTGCTGTGCTCCTCAGAAAAGGAGAGGGGTCACTATCCCTGTGTCCCGAGTGCGAGGTCAGCACCAAAACACTCACTGTGTGCCCACGAAGTGGTGGGCACTGGCCAGGAGGGTCCCCGTGTCCTTTCTTAGCGTGAAGGCCAGCGCTAGAATTGCAGCCATTTGCCTCCAGACGGCCTTCAGAGTCCTTGCTTTGCTGAAGAGCAGGGGCATTTGTGCACTCCCGGGGCCCCAGGAACCCTCTGAGAAGCATGCCTCCTCTTCAGCGTGTCCTTCGGGCTCCTGGGGCTGGGAGGCAACTCAGGATTGTCTTGAGGATTGGCATGAACTGGGCAGGCCATGGCAGGTGCATGGAGGCCACTGCTCACAGCCTTGGGTCCCAGCTGCCTGCCATTGTCCCCCGCCCCGCAACCCCCCCCCCTTCCCACTCTGACCTGAAACTCAGCTCCCAGCACATGGCCATTCCTCATGGGTGTGTGGCTGTGGCCAGCTGCCCTGCTGTTAGGTGGGTGTTGGGCATGGTATGGGGCCACTAAAGTGGCAGGGCTTCAAGAGACGGTTGATTGGTGGACAGATGGACACTCCAGCTTGATGTACTGTCACCCTGAGATTGTGGTGGCCACTCCTTGTCCTCTGGTCCATGCGTCCACAGCCACCACAGCTACTGCTGTGTGGATGGTCCTGCAGGGCGGGGAGCATGCACTTCCCTGACCTGGGGGAGGATGACAGCACTGTGGGTGCCACAGACCTTCGCTGCAGTCTAGAAGGACCCATGGGAGACAAGGACTAGCGTGGATAGGGGTCACCTCTCCGTCCCTGCCTTCCTGGAGCGGGCCCAGTGAGGTTCATTGGGGCCCTGGCTGACCTGCGGGTCTGGGGCCGGGGAGAGGGTAGGGACCCTTGCGGGGGCAGCTCATGTGCCTGGGGAGCCCCGCTGTAGGACTTCATGCTTCTGGGGGGGGTTAGGTAACCTCTCGCCTGGGGTGCAGCTGGCTGCAGAATGTGGGAGATTCTAAGAAGGTTCTAGATGAAAACATTTTCTCCAGTCACTACCCACAACCGCTCAGCTCCCTCATTCCCTGATTTTGGATGCTCTGGTCTTGCACCATCCAATTGGAATTTCTTTCTCCATTTGTGTCTTTCAGCAAACGCGGCTTCAGCGTCCGCTCCTTCGGAACAGGAACTCATGTGAAGCTTCCTGGGCCTGCCCCTGACAAGCCCAATGTTTATGATTTCAAAACCACCTATGACCAGATGTACAACGACCTGCTCAGGAAAGACAAAGAGCTGTATCCCGCCACCCCAACCCCGGGCCGACAGGTGTGCCTGCCCAGGTGCCAGTCTGACAGGTGTGCCTGCCTGGGGGACAGTGACAGGTGTGCCCTCCTCGGCACAGTCCGACTGGTGTGCCTGCCCTGGGGACAGTCTGACCGGTGTTCCCGACCCCAGGACAGACTGACCGGTGTGCCCTCCCCCGGGATAGTCTTACTAGTGTGCCCACCCTGGGGACAGTCTGATCAGTGTCTCCACCCCGGGACAGTCTGATCAGTGTCTCCGCCCCGGGACAGTCTGACCGGTGTGTCTGCCCTGAGACAGTCTGACCGGTGTGCCCACCCTGAGATAGTCTAACCGGCTTCCCTGCCCCAGGACAGTCTGACCGGTTTGCCCACCCTGAGGTCACTCTGACAGGTGTGCTCTGGTTTAGACGTTGTACTGACCCCCTGAGGGGCACTTGAGAAGGTGTCCATGCTATTGTGCAGACAGGGATTGGCGAGTAGCAGTGGACTTGCAGAAGCAAATGGCATCCACGTGGCAGATGGGGCAGGGCCTTGGGGGGTCTGCAATCCCTGTTGAGCAGCTTCAGGACCGAGAGCTAAGCCCTGAACCTCCGCCGCCTCTTCTTGGGCCACACACAGAGGGTGGTCTGTGGGAATAGAGCAGAGCAGGGTGGCACGATGGGACCCTGACAGCTCCTGTGGTTGCACCCGGGTGTTGTGCCTGGGAGAATACCTCCTGCTGGGACCAGGGTTAGGAAGCGGCCAGGCTGCTGGCACGGGGCTGGGCTTCTCTCCTGAGCAGATTAATTGTCCTCCCCTGAATCGGTGGGTAAAGACACCCACCTGGGAAGCTGTCCCTGTCAATAAACGAGGAGCATTGTCTTGTTTGAAGGTGGATTAGGAAGCTGGGAGGCAGTGTCTGAGCATCAGAAGTGACCGTGTCAGGGTTGGAGCCATGTGGCAGCAGGTAGGCAGTTGCACACAGCAGTCCCAGGTTCCATCCTGGGCCCCTCTGCGCTCCTTAGTGGCACAGTACGTGTAGCTGGTCCTGGGGGCCAGTGAGTCGGGCTGCATGCCTGCTGGGAAGTGCCTGTTTTCCCCTGAGCCACATGGCCCAGGTAGCAAAGCCACCTGCTGCGCTTCCTTTGCTCACCCCCGGGGTTCCAGGTTTGCTTCTTCCCTGACCTGGCCTGCCTAAGTAAGTGTGGGGAGGCCAAAGGAAGGGGATGGGGGAGGGGTCATTCTCTGCTGTCCTGTGTACCTGATTTCTTTTGTGTTTAGCCCTTCAGCATCACTGACTCCTGGCTCTGCGCTCAGGAATCACTTCTGGCACACTAGGGACCGTCCGTATAGGGTGCCGGGGATCAAACCCGGGAAGGCCCTACTCACTGAAGAATTCTTTTTCCTACATTTTGGTTCATGCGCAGTGATGCTCAGAGATTACTCCTAGCTTTGCACTCAGGAATTACTCCTGGCAGTGCTTGGGGTATCATGGGATGCTGGGGATTGAACCTGGGTTAGCCACATGCAAGTCAAATGCCCTACCCGCTTATCATCTCTCTGGCCCAGCAAGGTAGGTTTTTATTTTGTTTTTGCCTTTTGGGTCACACCCGGTGTTGCACAGGGATTATTCCGGCTCGTGCACTCAGGAATTACACCTGATGGTGCTCGGGGGACCATATGGGATGGATGCTGGGGATCAGACCTGGTCAGCCGCGTGCAAGGCAAACGCCCTACCTGCTGTACTATTGCTCCAGCCCCGCAAGGTAGTTTTTATTGAAACTTTCTTAGGAAGATGTGAGGGGAGAGAGAAAATAAGGGAGCAAAGAAACAAGACAAGCAAACGAGATGTGTGTTCAAGGGAGAACATTGGCTTGAGAATGAGCTCGACCCCAGTTTTTGAGGGATTTTGGTTTTTGTTTTTGTGCTGCACCCTGCAGTGCTCATAGTATACTCCTGGCTCTGTGCAGGGATCACTCCTGGCAGTGCTTGGGAGACCATCTGGGGTGCCGGGAGCAAACCTGGGGTGACTGTGCAAGGCATGCAGCAAGCACCCTCCCCCCTGAACTATGTGGGCAATTTTTAGAAACTGTTTTTGTTGGTTGAGGTTCTGTGACTTCCCCGGACATACTCCCACCACACCCACCGCCTGTCTGGGTGCCTCGTTTCTCACAGGCTTCAGCTCAGCTCAGAGCGTGTGGTCTGAGCTCATTCCCTACACCCTGCACAGTGAGAACCCCTTTGGCTCACACCCAAGGGCACCAGAGTTAGGTGGCTCTGCTGGGACTTCCCCTTGGTCTGCTGACAGCCCAGACACTTAGCACATCACTCTTGCATCCTGCCACACCTCAGAGGGGAGGATAGACCCCTGGCCCTGGCTGGCACTGCCCTCAGCTGGGTGTTCCATACGACCAGCCCCCTAGACTCCCCCAGACATGACCTGCAGTGGTGCTCGCAGTGCTGGTCTGGACAGTGGTTTCTCTCCCAGAGCTTTGGGACATGGCCCAGGCCAGATTGTCTTTGCTTTGTTCCTGCCAGGGCTCACCTCGTCTCCTCTTTTGTTCTGAGGGGTGTCTGGTTTGGGTGACCTCCCACATGGCAGCAGAGTCGTGTCCGGGTCGGAGGCAGGAAGTGTGTCTGCTTGGGCCCCAGCCAGCACCAGGGGTGTGTTTGGGGGCTGGGGCTTCCCTGTCTTTACTAACTGCTCCTGCAGGCACAGCTTAGGGGACTTGGGTTCCAGATTCAGCCTGTGGTGTAGGGCTAGCTCTGAGCTTCTGGGGCCGGGGGGTGGGGCATTCCTGCTCCTGAAACCAGTGACCGGGGCACCTGCTGGTCCCTCTACTCCCCGTATGCTTGGCACACTTAGGATGCCCTCTGCCTGCCCAGAGATGCCTGGAAGCAGGGTTCTGTGAAATCCCAATGCACCATTGTCCTGGCAGGATGGTCTGGAGTCCCCTCGCATGTGCGGCTCGGGCCTGCAGTGGGTTCGCAAGGGCTCTGGGCTTGGCGTGCTCTGCCGAGCCCCTAGCCCAGGCCTCTCTCTTCGTTGAAACTCGGCCAGCGGGTGGTAGAGTCAGTCCGAAGGGAGAGCATGTTCCAGAACAGGGTCCCCAGGGGCCGTGTGCTCCCCACTGGGGCCTGGTCTGACTTCACCTGGTGAGTGTGGTGTCTCCGCATTAATCCGACTCTCTAGAAACGAGACCATGTTTCACCGGGAGGGTGGGAGCTGTCCTCACTCCAGACCTGCTCTCTGGTGTGGCGCCCAGAGGACAGACAGGCTGGGCTTAGGAAACAGGGCCCACTCTCTTCAAGTTCGGCCTGTTGGAGAGACTTGTGTGGCCAATTCATGGCTCCAGACCCAAATTAGCAGCTTTTCCTTTTTTACTGGCTGGTGATGCTCAGGGTCCACAGTGTGCCAGGAGTCGGCCTGGCCCCTGCATCACCTCCCTGCTCCAAGATGCAAAATTCCCCAGGCTCTGCAGCCTATTTTGTTTTGACTAAAGAGGTGGCTGCTGGGGTTGGGGGAGTGCTGTTTATTCAAGAGCAAACCCGGAAGCTAAAGACAGTTTCACAATGCATTTCCTTGCAGTTTCAGGGCCCGAGAGCTAGAACAGTGGGTAGGACACTTGCATGCAGGCGCCTGACCTGGTTCTGTTCTAGCACCTGTGTCCCCAAGCACCTCCTGCACATCTCCCACCCCCACCCGCCTATCCCAGACAGTGCGCCCCAGCACCGCGTGGTGGCCCAGTCAGCCCCGTGCTGAGAGCTGGAAGGTGTACCCCTGGCCTCCAGAGCACGGCTTAGGAGACCAGCAAGACCCCCAACTTCTGGCTTTTCTTCAGGTGAGAATAAACTGCTTCACCCTCTTTTCCCAGTTCAATGCTGTCAAATACTTGTGTCTTTGTTGAGTTTTTTGTTTTAGTTTTTGTTTGTTTTTCGGGCCACACTCGGCAATGCTCAGGGCCGACTCCTGGCCCTGTGCTCAGGAATTACTCTTGGCAGTGCTCAGGGGACCCTAGGGGATGCCAGGTATTGAAGCTGGGCTGCCCACATGCAAGGCAAACACTCTTGCCACTGTCCTATGGGTCTTGCCCCTCAGTGCCAGCACCACCCACTCTTTGGGCACAGGTTGCCGGGGTCTGGGTACCGGGTGGGCCTTTGCTGTGGCCTGGCCCTGGCCTCCACGTTCCCTCCCACAGGGAGTTATGCCTTGCAGTGGCCCCATTTCCTGGCCAGCCTGTCTGTCCCCAAGTCGCCATGGAGGTGGGCTGTGCTGTCTTCTCTGGGATGGGCTCCCACACACTGAGACCCTTCCCCCCAGTATCAGTGTCCATTCTGCGTGTGATGACCCTGGGTGCCCTCTGGGGAATGAAAGGGGTGTTTCTGGGCCCTGTGGAGCAGTCCTCAGGACCCCCTCCCAACAGGTCAGATGCAGGCCAGCACATGCAAGGCAGGCACCTACTGGCTGTACTATGCTCAGGCTTCTGTGGGGCTTAGTGTTGGTTGGCTGGGCCCCGCCCAGAGTTGTCCCAAAGACGTTGCAGGTGCTACCTGGTGGGGCTGTTCTGGGCCTCTGGCCCCTCCTGGCCAGACACACCACCAGGTGCTATTTCTTGGGGTGGGGGGAGGTGAGGGGAGTTGTTCCAGTGATGTTGGGTCCATTAGTTTGAGGACCCAGGACTGCTATGGTGCCAGAGACCGAACCAGGGGTGCCTTCCCCCATCAGGCTTTGAGAAGGGGCACTGGCCGCAGAGCCTCGAGTCTTTCCACACTGTCCTCATGGGATCTGTGGTGTAGGGTGGGTCAGCACCCCCAACCTGGAGGGGCACCTGAAGGGCTGGGCCTCACGTGACTGAGCTGGCCGGCTTCTGCCCTTGCTCCCTTGGCAGCCTATGGTTGCAGGGGATGGCACATCTGTGCCCTCTGACCTTGCCTCCTGTCCCCCAAGACTGCTTATGTCCCAGAAGCTCTGTCTCCTAGATAGGGGGTCTGCACTCTGCCACTCCCTCACCCTTCCCCCTGGCTCCCAGGACAGCTGGGGAGGGGTGGACATAAGGACAGGCAGGGCTCAGAAAAGGGGAGAGTGCCAATCACCCTGCAGCCCACCTTGCGCGAGGAGCAGCTGCACGGGCCAGTCTGGGGGCAGGCCGGGGTCTGGGCAGGAGTTCCTTAACGCCGCTCCAGCTACACGCAGAACGGAATCCTTCACATGCTGGATCGCAACAAGAGGATCAAGCCCCGGCCTGAGCGGTTCCAGAACTGCAAGGACCTGTTCGACCTCATCCTCACGTGCGAGGAGAGGGTATACGACCAGGTGGTGGAAGGTGAGCTCCGCCTGCGGGCAGGGGGCGCGGGACTCGGGGCCAGCTTGCCCTGCCATGCCCTGCCCTGCTCACTGCCCCCACAGACCTCAACTCCAGAGAGCAGGAGACCTGCCAGCCGGTGCATGTCATCAACGTGGACATCCAGGACAACCACGAGGAGGCCACCCTGGGCGCCTTCCTCATCTGCGAGCTCTGCCAGTGTGTGAGTATGGCTGGGCAGTGGGGGTCGCGGCGGGGGTCCCGGCCGGCGCTCACTCGTGGCCTGTGTCGCAGATCCAGCACACGGAGGACATGGAGAACGACATGGACGAGCTGCTGCAGGAGTTCGAGGAGAAGAGCGGCCGGGCCTTCCTGCACACGGTGTGCTTCTACTGAGCAGCCCCGCGGGCCTAGCCGCGTGTACCTGCGGGGGCCCGCGGGGGCCGCGGCGCCGCCCCGCGCTCGGGAGCGAACACTGAGATAAAGTTCTTTCCTTCCCACGCGCGTGGCTGTCTCCGTGTGTGTGTGCGTGGGCGCCGCGGGCGGGGGCGGGCGGGGGCGCGCTGCGAGCAGGGGAGGACCGGGGGGCGCGGGCGCGGGCGGGGGCGCGGCGGCCCGCGGCGCGCTGCCCTCGGCCGTCCGGAGGCGCGCCCGGGCCGGCCCGTCCCGCCGCGGCGGCCGCCGGGGAGGCGATGGGGGCGCGCGCTGGCCGCGCGGGGCCCGGGGAGGGGTCCGGCGGGCGCGCGGGGCGGGGCGGCCCGGGGGCGTCCCCTGGCGGCGCCGGCGCGGGGCGGCGGCGGGAGGGGCGCGGGCGGCCGGGCGCGGGCGGTGCGGAGGGCGGGCCGAGGGCGGAGCGGAGCGCGGCGGCCCGGGCGGCCGAGCGACCCCGGCGGCGGCCGCGTCCCCTGCGCGCCCCCGCCCCGCGCCTGCTGCCCGGGCCCGGGCGCGCTCGGGCGCTGCCCTCTGCGGAGGCGGCCGGCGGGGGCCCAGCTCCGGGCCGGGGCCGGGGGCGCGCCGGGGCCGGGGGGCGGCGCTCCGGCCCGGCCCGGCCCCGCCCGATGTCCATGAGCGCGAACACCATGATCTTCATGATTCTGGGGGCGTCGATCGTGATGGTGAGCCGGGGGGCCCCCGCGCGCCGCCCCCGCGCCGCCGGCGCGCCGCCCGCGCTTGTTTACCGGCCGCGGCCCGCGCCCTCGGCCCGCGCCCGCGCCCCCGGCCGCCCCTCCGGCTCACCCGCCATGGGCTCTTCCAGGCCATCGCGTGCTTGATGGACATGAACGCGCTGCTGGACCGCTTCCACAACTACATCCTCCCGCACCTGCGGGGCGAGGACCGGGTCTGCCACTGCAACTGCGGTCGGTGAGTGCGCGCGCGGGCACACGCGTGATCGCGCCGCCGCGGCGGCCGCGCTAGGCCGGGCGGGCCCGGGGTGGGCGGGAGGTCACCCCCGGCGCCGGCCGCCGTGCCCGGCGCCCTGCGGCCCACGGGGGCGGCGCCGCGCCCGGGAGCCGCGTCCCGGCCCGCGCGGGTCGCGGTGGGAAGGGCCTGCCGGAGAGGTGCCCGGCCTGCACCCATTTACCACCGAGGAACTGAGGCAGGCGCCGGGGCTGGTCAAGGTCACCCAGACGGCGGGGCGCTGTGGGACCCCCGTCCTGTGCAGGCAGTGCGCTGCCCCGGCCACGCATGTCCGTCTGTCCACGTACAAAATAAACATCTTACCATGAGGCGCGCATGTGTGTACTGTCTGCGTCTACATGTGTGCCCAGGGCACACACCTCTGCATGTTCCCCCACCCGGTCCCGGGCGGGAGCAGGTGGGCACAAGCCCAAGGTTGCCCCACTGGTCAAGGTGGTGGACCCACACAGGCTGTCCTGCCCGCCTGCCCACCCCCCGCTGCAGCCCCGACCCACCCACCTGTGCTCCGTTGGCCGGGTTGCCGGGGTCGGCAGTGCAACTCCTGAGCGGGGTGATACCAGCCGCCAACGGTTCTCTGTGCTGTGACCGCATGTGTGTGCCTGTGTCTGCACACGCCGCGTCTGGGACAGGCTATACCTGGCGTGTGTGTGTGGCATCCTGTGTAGCGGTCCAGGACCTATATGGGCTCATGCCCGCGCGGCAGGGAGCTCTGTCTGCTTGTATTCACATGTGTATTAGCACATGTGACCACGGGACATGTGCCTGTTTGCAGCTGTGGACAGCCAAGCGTGCGCTCCGTGTAGTGGTATGTGTGGGCCTGCCTGTGGACGAACCCGCCACGCCTTCCGGAGAACCCGCAGCCATGCATGCGCCTACACGTGACACACCACGCTTGTGCCCGCGGGCATGTTTGCACACATTTGCCTGGGCCACGTCCCAGAGTCCACGCCACACCTCATGCACGCGCAGTGTGTCCACGCCATGCGTCAGACCTCAGACACATGCGCCATGTGTGACCACAGCAGGACACCTGGACAGACACATGGAGACTTGGGGGCAGGATGTCCCCAACTGGGCCCTAAGTCGGAGGAAGGAGGGGTCACAGTGAATCCCCAGAAGTGCCAGGCCCCGGGTTCAGGCCTGACCTGATTTCACTGAAGGCTGCCAAGTGTAGTTTCCTGCCAACCCACAGGGAAGATCCCAACAGAGGTCCTTGACCGGAAGACTGGGCAGGCAGAGGCTGCTCAACTAACCCTTGGGCTTCCCAGCCAGCCTGGGGCCAGGGCATTTGGGCGAGGCGTCAGGCTGGAAGCTTGCAGGCCTTGCAGGTCGTTGTTGAGGTGTGAAGATGGGTGCTGAGCCACTACCCTGGAGGCACCCCAGCTGGCCGGCCAGTCCCGTGGCTGAGTGGGCTGGTGGGCCTGGCCAGCTGGGGGCGAAGAGTGTGGCCACACCCTGTCTCCGTGGGGCAGCAGGGACCGGGTATGGCCAGGGGCCTGGATCCTGGCCAGCAGGGAGGGACTGTGCTGGCATCCCCCACGGCGGGTTTGGGCGGGAAGAGCTATTTTTAGGTGCGAGTTTGAGGTGTCTGTGGATCCCACATGGAGACTCCGCGGAGGCATCTGCGCACAGCACAGACCTGGGCGGGGGGCACAGGAAATCCAACCAGGGCCGGGGGAGGTGACAGCGCTCCAGCCAGGGTCAGCAGCACCTTGCAGAGATGCTTCTGGGGTGTGGCCTGGGCAGGGTGAGTCTCAGGGGTGGGAGAGGCTGGGGAGGGGGCCGATCCCCGTGACTCCCGCGACGAGGGGCCTGGATAGGCCCAGCAGACCCTCGGCTGGAACGGGGGCGGTCAGGCGGCGGAAGACGGATCTGCCCGGAGCAGGTAGGGAGGAGTGGGGGCACGGCCAGTGCCGGGGAAGCGACGCAGGTCCTACTGGCACTTCCAGTCAGTAGCGCGGGGCAGCAGGGAGAGGCCTCGGCTGGCATCCCAACCCCCACCCCAAGCTGCTCATCTGTGCCCTGCAGCGGGGTCAGGGCCGGGCCCAGGGACCCCGCCCCGGGAAAGCCTCGTCCTGCCGCACCAAGGGTCGGGGAGGGGGGGCGGCCGCGGGAGAGGTGCCAGCGCGCCCTGCCGCCCCCAGGCACCACGTCCACTACGTGATCCCGTACGACGGGGACCAGTCGGTGGTGGACGCCTCCGAGAACTACTTCGTGACCGACAACGTCACCAAGCAGGAGATCGACCTCATGTTGGGGCTGCTGCTGGGCTTCTGCATCAGCTGGTTCCTGGTGTGGATGGACGGCGTTCTGCACTGCGCCGTGCGCGCCTGGAGGGCCGGCCGGCGCTGCGGTGAGTGCGCGCGGGGACCCCCGCCGGTCCCCCAGTCCTGAACCCGCCCCCCGGAAGGCCGGCCGGCGCAGCAGTGAGCGCGCGCGGAGACCCCGCCGACCCCCGGCCCCGCCCCCCGGAGGGCTGGCGGCGCTGCGGTGAGTGCCGCTGGGTACCCCCGCCCCGCCCTCCAGCCCCCCAGCCCCGACCGGACCCGTCCCCTGCAATGCCTGCCAGAGCTGCGGTGAGTGCGCGCGGGGACCCCCGACCTGTCCCGCCCCGCCCCTCAGCCCTGACCGGCCCCGCCCCCCAGAGGGCCAGCCAGCGTTCCGGTGAACTCCCGCTGGGGACCCCCGTCGACCGCGCCCTTCCCCCGCAGACGGCTCGTGGACCTGGCTGCCCAAACTGTGTGGCTTACGGGAGCTGGGCCGGAGGCCGCACCGGCCCTTCGAGGAGGCGGCCGGGAACATGGTGCACGTGAAACAGAAACTCTACCATAACGGCCACCCGAGCCCGCGGCACCTGTGACCGCGCAGGACTCGGGCCGTGCGGGACGCGGACTGGAGCCCCGGGCGCGCCCCGCGGAAGGTGCTGTCCCCTCTTCTCTCCAGGCGGGGCCGGGCGCAGACCCGGAGCATGTGCATGGGGCAGGGGGCCTCGGGCCGCGGGGGGCGTGGGGCGGGCTCTTGGGGAGGCCCGGGCAGCAGCAATAAGGCCCCGGACTCGCACCCCGGCGGGCGCCTCACTGTGATCCCCCGCCGGTCAGTAAACCCTCCGGAAGCCCCCGCCGCCTCGCTTGTCTATCGCGCCAGCCAGGACCCGCACGCAGAGCTCTGCCTTTTATTTGGTTCCAGTCAACGCCCAAATCCACTGGAGTGGGGGTGGGGGGGGCTGGACTGCCAGCCAGGGTATCCACCCATGCTGGGAACAGGAGACCCCCTTGGACTTGGGGGGCCTGACCCTTGATCCAGTGGTGCCAGTTCCAGGGCCTGCCCCACTCTCCCTCTTTGGTTCATGTTCTCCTGGGGGGCTGGGCAGACCCCCATCCCCCATGGCCTTCTCACATGGCCTGGGTTCGGTGCCTGCTGCCCTCTGGGCTTGTGGACTCCTCAGGAGCGTCCAGGCCAGATCCCCCAGCCAGAACCGCCTGGTGGGGTTGGCGGGGCAGGAGCCCAATGCTGGGTCGCTGAACTGGGTCACTCCTGCCCACATGCATTGTGCTTCACTGACCCCCAGAGCACCGGGCAGCTCAGTGCTCAGGAGGGGGATGGTGCCCCCACAGGCCGCACTCCATCCGCCTTCAGCCACTCCATCTTCTGCTGGTGCTGCCGGATGGCATCCTGCACACGGGCATCCACCATGGCCTCGGTCAGCACCCCATCCTCAGACGCATACGCCATGGCCTGCAGGCAGAGTGCAGAGGCCTGTGGTAGGGCAGTCCTGGCTGGGGAGCAGGGTCAGCAGAACCCTAGGCCAAGCTGCACCCCACTGGGCCGGAGCTCCTGACCAGAACGTACTGCACACCAGGTCTCATCATGAAGGCTCCTACGTCTGGGTGGGCCCCAGGGAAGCTCAGCAGCACCAAGGGACCCCCCAGGGACATGTGACCCAGAGTGCTTGAAGGTCACAAGGTTCAAACCCACAGGGGCTAGGCAGACAAGGCTGCTCTCGACCACCTAAGAATAGTGTCCCCAACTGGTAAGGAACATGTAGGGGACCTAGAGAACCCCCAAGGGGGGACAGGCCAGGAGTCCCCAGTGCTCACTGGTGCCATCAGCACTGGCCCAGCAGCAGATACCAGGGGAGTGACAGGGCACTAGAGGGAGCAGGGCCCAAAGATGCCACCAAGCTATTCTAAGGCAAGTTCAGTGTCCAGCAGGGTCTGAGGGAGCCACAGGCCGGGACCCACCAGGCAGCAGCTGCTCGGCTGGTCTGGTTTCCTGCCCAGCCCTGCAGGCGCCACCATACCAGCAGGCCAGATACTCCGAAGCATGGCAGGTGTGCCCCATGGGCATGGCTGGCAACCCCCAGAACCAAATGAAAAGGCTTGTGCCTGCATGTGGGGGGGGGGGGGGGCGAGGGGGTTGCAGCCTATGAAGGAACTGGAGCAGCCCAAGCCCGGGCGGACCGCTTCCCTGAGAACAGAACTCAGGCCTGAGTGTGGGTTCACTGTGCACCAACCAGGCCTGCACCCCAGGAGCATGGGCACAGGAAGTGGAGGCCAGACTGTCTCTGGCACTGGGACTCTTCCCAGCTCTGCTCAGCTGCTTCCTGCAGGGCCTGGAGCCGAGTTGGCCACATGGAAAATCAAACTGGGGCCCTTTAGCCTGCAGAGCAATCTCTAGCCCGTTCTCGAGGGAGCCCCAGCAGCCTTAGAAAGATCCAACCGAGTTGGGCGCTGTGGCTTCACATGCAGCAGTGCCCAAAGACCCAAGCACGGGAGTGCCGCAGCCGCCTCAAGAGAGCGGCGAGGGGTCCCACATGGCCTGATTTCCAAGGAAAAGACAGACGAAGTGGGTCTGACCAAACAATTCTCTGGTTTTTGGCCACACCCAGCAGTACATGGTGCTGGGGATGGAACCAGGCTGGGCAAGTGCCCTGCCTATTGTACTACTGCTCGAGCTCCAAGTGAACGAGCGTTCCCCGTTAAAGAGCTACGCAGAGGGCGTGCAAGAAAACGTCTGAGCCTGCTGTCCACAAAGGCGGGTCCTGCAGCTAGCTGGCCCAGGTTCCACCCTGGCACCACAGAGCACCCTGAGCACGCTAGATATCACCCCAAAACCAAAAGCAAAAAAACACCGTCAAGGGGCTGGTCGGAACCCTCCCCCGCACGCAGGTACACGCCTGTCCCGAGCAGGGGACGCTGAAGCACAGAAGCCTCAGTCACTGCACACCGGCAGGAGGCGACCTCCGCAGCCTCTAGCCACCCCCTGTACATGGGTGGGGAGTGCATGTCAAAAGACCTGTGAACAAGGCCTCACCCAGTACAAGCCCCGCACCAGGAGCTACCTGAGCCAGGGGTAGCCAGAAGTCACAGGGAGTGACAACAAAGCAACAATCTCACCACCAGAGAACCTGCAAAGCTCCAAGCACTCAAGAGAGACAGAGGAGGAGAAAGAAGAGCAAGCTGGATGGGGACACTCTGCACTCCGGTTGAAACAGGCCGAGCATGGGGAGAGGGGATGCAGTCTGTGCCTTTCCGGGCTTCCACCCTAGGGCCCAGCTCTCTGTTGGCCCTCACAGCAGTTAGCACCACCCTGCTCTCTCTCTCAGACAGACACACACACACATACACACACAGCAGTCAGCACCACCCTGCTCGCTGCTTGCTCGCTTTCTCTCTCTCTCTCTCTCTCTCTCTCTCTCTCACACACACACACACACACACACACACACACACACACACACAGAGCAGGGCCAGCAGGAGGCTGCTCTCTCTCAGACAGACAAGACAGATACAGACACACACATGCACACACAGCAATCAGCACCACCCTGCTCTCTCAGACAGACACACACAAACACATACACACTCAGCAGGGCCAGCACCACCCTGGGTGGCAGATGCATGCTCTGGGAGTCACTGGACCACCTCAGAGAGAAGGCCAGGTGTCAGGTGCCAAGGAGGTGCACCCCTTGACGGCACCAAGGTTCTGCGATCCCCAAAGTTAAGACCCCTGGAACAGCCGTGGCCGTTGGCTTTTCTGCACACCAGGACTGGTCAGAGGGGGATGGTGCTGGATGGGCACAAGTGTCACTGTGTGAGCGCTGCTCCCCAAGGTCCCTGAGCATCACTGGGGCACCCCCAAGCACTGCCAGGTGTGACCCAGAGGCCCAAACACCAGAGCTGCGGGCAGGCAGCATTGGCTCTCAACAGGGTTCAGCCCACTCACCTGCCACGCCACAGCCAGCTGGGAGATCTCGCGGCCCGACATGCCCTCCGTCAGCCGCGCCACCTCTGAGCACTTCTTTCCGAAGTCGAACTGGGCTAGCTTCAGGCGCCTGCAAGGAGGCCAGGGCAGGTCCAGAGCACGCACGCACAGAGCCAGCCTGTGTCTGAGCGTCTGTGTCCGTGTACTGGGGGTCTACGAGGGGCAGAGGCTGTGCTGAGCCCCACCTCTCCGCAGCCTGCTGCCCATAGCTCTTCCTGAGGGCAGGGAGCCCCCGAAGCCCCCAGACCTGGCGCAGGAAGGCCCTGAGGAGGGAGCAGGGGACAGCTCAGGCAGACACAGGTCGGTGTTGCTGCAGGCAACCCCACTCCCGAGAGAGAAGACACAAGTAGGCCAGCCTGGATCTAAAGCGTGCCAGCGGCAGTGGGGGCACCCCAACCCCGTGCTAGAGCAGGGCTCTGCCCACCCAGCGGCCAACAGCGGTCACTGGTCTCACGCCCTCTGCTGCCACCAGAGGTCAGGAAAGCCAGCCTGACCCAGCAAGATGGGGACATGGGCCAGGGGAGCAGGAAAGGGACAGGGTGAGCAGGACGAGGGTGAGTTGGATGAGGGTGAGTGGGATGAGGGTGAGTGGGATGAGGGTGAGCGGGATAAGGATGAGCGTGAGCGGGACAAGGGTGAGCGGGATGAGGGTGAGTGAGATGGGGATGGGGTGAATGGGAGGAGGGGGTAGAGACGGGAGAGGCAGGTGAGGTGAGAGCGGATACTCACTGTGTGCCCTCGGTGGCCGGCCTCAACACGTACTTGTCGAAATACATCCGCACCAGGCGCTCGCGCTCCTCCAGCCCTGGCAGGTCGAAGCTGACCATTTCATCGATGCGGTCATTGATAGCCCAGTCAAACTGCTCTGGCTGATTGCTGGCCAGGACCAGCATAAACCTGCAGCCAGAGATCCCTCAAGGGGTGTCCTCGGCCCCAGGCAGAAAGGCCAATACCCTGAGTCTTGGAAGGCCCAGCCCTGTCCTCAGCCATCAGCCCGCAGACAGCACCCACCCCCTGCCAGGGACAGGTGGAAGAGACCTGGGGCTGGGCCTGCCACCTGCCGAGAAGCTTCCCGGGAAAGTGGCACCTCCACCCTCCACATAGGCACAGGGGTGCTGGGTGGGCAGCTCTGCCTGAGGTTGGTGGGGCCTCAGCAGCTGGCGCTACGCAGGCAGGGGGCACAGCCTGGCCCCATGACTCACTGGCGAGAGGCTGCGCCCGCCTGCACCTCGGGTGACTTGGGGCTGCCACGGGGGCGGCGGGGTGCTGCCTCACTTGCTGCTCTGCTGGCCTGTCCGGTGCAGGAAGGCGTTCAGAGTGGCCCTGAGATCCTCGCTGATCTTCTCCTACACAGAGAGCCCAGCATCAGGCAGCAGGCCTGGGCGGCCTGGGGCAGGGGCAGAGCTGAGGGCCCTCTGCCGGCCCAGACAGGGAGAGCAAGCCGACTGACAAAATGCCACCAAGGCTGCAAGGAGAACAGTGAGGGGCAGGGCCAGGCTACGCTGAGTCAGGAGCAGACGCACCGAGACCCAGTGGCTAGCCGCATGGCCCTGACCGCTCCCTAGGGCTGCCCGCAGGCCTCCAGCTGCCACAGTGCTCACCGTGGCTCGTTTCCGGAGGAAGGCATCTGCTTCATCCACGAAGAGCAGGAGGCTGTGAAGGGGACGCACATCAGCAGGGCCAGAGACTCAATGGTTTAAGCGGAATGCACAGGCCCGGGGGCCGTACCACACGGCCCGGAGTCTCTGGCTGAACCCCAGCTCTCCTGGGATGGGGAAAAGCTGCTGTGCGCCGGTGAGGCCGGAACATGGCCCAGAGGCACGACTGTAAGAAACACATTAGCAATGCGGTCCCCGTCCACCGAGGCAGAGCCCGCGCAGCCTGGCACACAGCCCGACAGCCTTCTGACTCCGGCACCTCAAAGAGCCCAACCCGGGGTGTGTACGTGTGTGAGGAGGGCACTTGCTCGTACCAGGCTGACCCGGGTTCCACCCCCAGCACCCCATATTGTCCCTGGCCCACCAGAACTGATTTCTGCACACAGAGCCGGAAGTCAGCCCTGGGAACTAGCAAGCATAGCTCTAAACAAAAGAAAACAGAAGAAGTGTGAGAAACTTGTCTGGATCTGTGTGTAAACATGCTAAGCGTGTGTGAATGTGTGCACGTGTGCAAGAATGTGAGTGTGTGCATAGAGCGTGAGCACAGGAATGCGGTAGTGTGTGGAGAGAATTCAAGTATGACCATGCAGAATACATTTCAGACCGTGCATGTATGAGTGTGAATGTATCTGTGGGCGTGTGCATGTGTGCACAGGAGAATAAGTGTGACTGACACCGCAGGAGCATGAGTACATGTGCATGGAAGTGAATGTGCAAGTGTGCTCATGTGTGTGTGACTGTGCAGTGGGACGGAAACTCACCCTCGCCGGCTGGTGTTGGCCCAGTCGAAGACCTTGTGCATGGCAGTCACACCATCACGGCCCATAGGTGCCACATCCCCGCCTGTCATGATGGCGTAGTCCATGCCGGAGTGCAGCGCCAGTTTCTGGGCAGGAAGGGTGGCAGCACACACATCTCTTCAGTGCCCGCCAGACCGCACTGCCGCCCTCTGGCCCAGTTCACCCAGCACAGGGCTCACCTTGGCGAACAGCGTCTTGCCAGTCCCGGGGGGCCCGTACATCAGGATGTTCCTGTAGAGACTACGATTCTTCTTCGTGTTCCTCGTGGCAATGGCGATGTCCCGCACACGTGCCTCCAAGCTGGGCTGCAGGGAACAGCACGGTCTGGGGATGGCACTGGCCCTGGCTCCCAGGGCCCCTTGGGCAGCACGAGGGGCTTTGTCCTAGGCTGGAGCCCTCAGTCAACACTTACACTGAGGACAACGCCCTCCAACGCGTCCTGAGGCTTATTGAAGAGCCGCCTGGTGACCTGGAGGGGACAACAGGGTCATCGGCAGGGGCCCCAGAGAGCAGCGCCTAGAACTGCCAGGGCAGGCCACACGGGGCTCCCTGCGCCAGGGGATCCCCTGGGCTAGCTGTGTGTGCAGAAGGGACAGGGAAAGGGGAAGAAAGGGCAGGCAGGACGGATGGGCAGGGCCAGCCTTCACCTGCACTGGGTGCCGCAGAGCCTCCAGCACGGTGACCCTCGATGTCTCCCTCACCAGTGACGGCTTCCCTAGCCGGGCCTCAATGTACCGTCCAGCAACGGCCGTGGCATTCTTAGCCGAGTAGACCCCAACGGCCAGCAGGCTCAGCCCAGCCACCTGCGATGGGTGCAGGTCATGAGGCCCTCTTCCTGTGCCTCCTCTAGTGGCAGGAACCCACGCCAACAAGGGCTCTGCCCGGGGACGCTACATGCAGGCAACACCAGGAAGGAGGAGACCCCACCACGAGCCACCACAGCCAGGGGTCACCTGCGGCATACCGTGGCTGTCACCTTGTCCCAGTCCGTCACAAAGGCCCGGAATCCCTCACCAAACAGGGTGCCAGCCGTCCTGCGGGGAGGGCAGATGAGCGGGTGGAAGCGGGGCCAGCAAAGGCAGAGGTGCCACCCGCTCCTGGCCTTACCGGATGGACTCCAGGATGGTCTGGCGGTGCTCGGCGGCCCGAAGACGGATCTGCTCACGGATGATGTCCGCATTCTCCCGGTCGGCCTTGGCCCGGGCACGTGCCTCTGCCTCCACCCGCAGCATCTCGTTCTTGTGCCGGAGCTCCATTTCCCGCTCCACGGTAGCTGTGGGCAGGCGGACACAGCTGAGCCGCCCTGCACCCACCCGCGGGCAGGCCCCAGCAGCGGTGCCCTGCCCGCCCCGCACACCTCTCCGAATGGCCTCTTGCTTCTGCACCGACTCCTCCTGCTTCCGCAAGTTCTCCTCATTGGTGAGTTGCTGAGAAGCCAGAAAGGGGTGGTCAGTGGCATGGTGGCCTGGACTCAGTCCACAGCAGCCCCTGACCCAGCCTGTCCCGAGCACCCTGGGCCCCGGGGGACACACCTGCTGCCTCAGCTGGTCGTCATAGCGCTGCCGCGCCAGCTTGTCCTGGTACTGGGCCCTCTGGGGGAAAGACAAAGGGATGGCTTGCCAGTGACCTGCCCCATCTGCCGCCCCCAAGCCTCCCTCTGCTCAGCAAGGGCCTCACCGCCTGGTGCTGGCGCGTCTCCTCGCTCAGGGTCTTCCTCCGTTCCTCCGCCTGCACGCGGAGCTGCTCGTTCTTTAGCTGCTCCACAGCAGCCTCATACTCCTGCGGGACGTTAGCGCTTCAGGGCAGGTGCCCCAGGGCAGCCAGCACAGCCAGGCTCAGGCGGGCTTCCCTGGGCCCCACCCGGCGCCCATACATACCTTGAGCTTGGACTGTTGCTCCAGCTGCAGAGTCTGCTCCTGCATCTGCGCCAGGCTCAGCGCCTCCTTGGCATGTCCTGCAGGGAGACGTGTCAGGGCAGGGCAGCCACCACGGAGGACCCTGCCAGCGGCCACAGCCCCTGCTGCTCACCCAGGCAGGGGCCCACCTAGTCTTCCTGAGATCATCCCCACCGGCAAGGACAGGGCTTCATGGACATGGTCACGCCAAAGACAGAGTTCCACCGCCCCCCAGGAAGCCGGGTCCAATACAAGGGAGGAGGAGGAGGGAACACAGCAGGCGGAGGGGAGCAGGGAAGCCCGGGCCCAGCTCTACAGTCCCTTTGCACACACAGGTCCGTCCTGTCTACAGGTAACCCACTCTGTTTTCAGAGAAACCTTCATGGTTCAGGGGTGTGACTCAGTCTGAAGCACTAGCCCACCCGAGACCCTCAGCTCACTTCCACACCACCGCAAAAGAACAAGCAGAACTCCAAAATCCTTGGACAATCAGGGAAGGCAGGTGCCCTGTGACCCCAGCACTCCAGGCCAGGAACCCACAGTCTGTCCCTCCATAACACCATCTGTTTACTACTAAACTCCCCCCACCCCATATCGAACCCCTGAGGTCGCCCTGCGAGGGGAGCGTGCGGACCTGCAGAGTGGGCTAGGGGGGGCCTCGGGGGGAGTGCTCCCTGCACAGACAGACGCCAGCCCAGGGTGGACTCTATCAGCACCCAGGAGGAGCGAGCGCCCTCTAGTCTAGGGTGCAAAACGGCCTGCAGTACACCAGCTCCGAGCAACGAGCAGAAACCCGCGGGCAGCAGAGCAGGGGGCAGAGGGACAGCAGGCAGCCCCACGTCCAAATGTCTCTTTTTCTCGGGAAAAAGAGTGGCCGCCAGCAGGGCCAGCCCCTAGCTGATGCCACTCGTCTATTCCCGTGGCAGCAGGGCCTGCGGCGCCGGCGGGAGGCGAAGGTAAGGCGGGGACAGTCCACCGAGCGGATGCCGCACACCTGTGTGGGACAAGCTGCAAGGTGGAGAGACATGGGCTTGGTGTGGGAGGGGAGAGGACAAAGTCCCGGGACCCGGGAAGAGAACACTCCGGGGCCTGCGAGGAGGAAGCGGACGCGGCGAGCAGCGGACAAGCGTGCACGGGGCGGAGGGTCAGGGTTCAGGCTGCAGGAGCGGGAGGCACTGAGCCGGCCCAAGCTGCTCGGGGACCAATGTGCACCCACGTGGCGTGTCCCTCGTCCAAGCACAGCCCCCACCAGCACCCGGAAGGCCAGCCAGGCCCGGCCGGCCGCGACGCCCGGCACGTGCGCCCAAGTTCCCGCCCCGCTCGCGTGATCGGGCAGGGCGTCCGGCCTCCCGGACACGGGTCCCCCCTCCCGCCGCCCGGCGGCGGCCGCGTGCACTCACGCGAGTGCTCCAGCTCGCGCGCCGCCTTGGCCGCGCGCTCCAGGCCCGTCGGGTCGAAGTTGCTCCATTTGTCCTTGGGCGCCGACCGGTCCCCGCCGCCCTCGGCCCCGGGTGGCGCGGCCGGCAGGGGCAGTGGAGGCCCCGCGCTCTCGCCCTTGGAGCCCTTGATGCCGAACAGCCACGACATGGTATCGCTGCAGCCCCCGCGCGCCCCGCAGCGCCGCGCCCCGAGTAGAGCTGGACACGCACGGCGCCGGGCAGCCTCCACGCGCCCCGAGCCGGCGGCCGGAGCCACTGCGCAGGCGCGACACACGCCCCTTTCTCCCGCCCCGGAAGCGCCTGCAGATTGGCCACGAGGGCCGCGACTCCCTGGGCCGCGGCGCTGTCATTGGTCCCGGCGGGCCAATGGGCGGGGCGCAAACGGAGACGGAACCTAGCGCCTGATCTATGGGGACTAGCTAGGGACAAAATTAGTCGTTGCGCTCAGGTAAACGTCACGTCCGTTTAGCAACGATTCCGGGTCCCGTTGCTATGGGCGCCACCGGGTTCCTGACATCCGGCGCCAGGGAAGCACCGGACGGCAGGAGGCCGGCGCGGGGAGTCCGCGTGGGGACAGTGGCTGTGGACACCCGGCGCGGCTGACCTGCGGCCAGAGCTTTTCGCGACGGCCCGGAGGGCGGAACGTAGAGGCCCGGCCAGGGACCAGCCACCTCAGGCGCCCCGCCGCTGCTCCGAAGGTCACGTGAGGCTCTGCGGCCGCGGAGGGACAAAAGTAGACGGAGGTCACGTGGTGGCCTAGGATCCCGCTGTGCCCCAAATGCGGAAAGTTCGCTTTTCGTTTTTTTTTTTTTTTTTTTTTTTTTGGCCCGAGCACACATGTCGCTCTCATCTCCCCTCTTGAGATGTGTACTTTTCATGCATTTGTGTCTAATGCTGGGACGTGTCTAGGGATTCTTTCTGCCCTTGGAGAAGCCTGCATTCTCTCTTGAGTGCCTTACTCTCTCTCTCCTCCCCTCAAAAACCCTCCAAATAAAATCTATTTTTACTTCACTGCTTGTCTACTCCTGAAATTCCTTTCTGCGAGTAAAAACCCACAGAGGTGGATCGGGAGAAGGTGACCGTCTTCTCCCCACTTCACATGAACCACCTGTGGGGCCCTCCGACATCAGGGGGATCACATGGGATGCTGGGGATCAAACCCAGGATGGCCACGTTCACGTTAAATGCCCTCCCTGCTGCACTATTGCTCAGCCTCAAGAGCCTTCTTCATTGTTGATGGACCCTAGTCTTTTTTTTTTCTCTTTTGGTCACACCTGGCGACACACAGGGGTTACTCCTGGCTCTGCACTCAGGCATTACTCCTAGCAGTGCTCAGGGGACCATATGGGATGCTGGGAATTGAACCCAGGTTGCCCGCATGTAAGGCAACCGCCCTACCCGGTGTGCTATCACTGCAGCCCATATCCTAGTCTTAATGTTTTTTTTTTTCAAATCCTATTAAGAAAAAGTGTTTTCAGATTAAGCTTGAAAAAGCAAGTGAGCTTCCAGCCACACAGGAGGTGCCCTGTGGCAGTGAGGTGACCACATGCACTCTGGCCACCCAGGTGCCCTCTCTGCGCCCTGACTCTGAGAATCAAACATTGCACTGAATGTTTTCAGTCTAACCTGCAAAGACAGACAGTACGGGGGACAGCATTCCCCTTGGAAGCAGCCCACCTATGTTCCACCAGCACCCACTGTGGTCTCCTAAGCACCTCCAGGAATGAACTCTGAGCATCCCCAGGTGTGACCCCCCCAAAAGGAATCAAAAGGTAAAGGTAAAGGTAAAGGCCCTCCCGTTGTTCCTCAATTTGCTGGAGTGGGCCCAGTAACGTCTCCATTGGAGACTTTGTTGTTACTGTGTCTGGCATATCGAATACGTCAAGGGGAGCTTGCCAGGCTCTGCCGTGCGGGTGAGATACTCTCGGTAGCTTGCCGGGCTCTCCGAGAGGGGCGGAGGAATCGAACTCGGGTTCGCCATGTTGGCTGCGTGCAAGGCAAATGTCCTACCGCTGTGCTATCGCTCCAACCTCACTTAAATGGGAGCCGCTGGGGAGGTTGGCCACACCTTTTCTAAAGCTGCCAAGTGCAGCAGGGCTGTGGTGAAGGGCTCCCCAAAAAAACTAGACTAGGGCTGGAGCGATATTTCAGCGGGGAGGGCATTTGCCTTGAATGCAGCAGACATGGGTTCAATTCCCAGCATCCCACATAGTACACTGTGCTCTGCAAGGAGTGATTCCTGAGTGCAGAGCCAGGAATAATCCCTAAGCATCACTAGGTGTGACCCATAAAGCAAAAATTAAAAGAGTAGACAAAGAGGTGGTAACACCCTTCCCTAAGCATGGCAGGCTGGGGGTTCAGGAATGAGTTCAGAGAGAGGACCCAGCTGTCCTCGGGGACCCACACTGGCGGCTGGCACACAGTGCACACTTCTCTTGTTCCCCCAGAAACTGGCCAGAGGCGTGAGGCAGGGTCCCCAAGTTTGGCCTGATGTTCAGGGTCACCCATTGCAGGGCTCCCTGGAGACAGCAGCAGCTGCCACTGACCTCGATGCTTGCGGCGGGGGAGGGGGGCGCCCCAGTGCTGGGCCTGCAGGGGGCGCTCTGCTCCTCTGTTTGAGCTCAGCAGGATTCGGTCGCCCTGGTGTCTCCTGGGTCCCGGGCCCAACTGCTCAGACAGCACCTTGGGTCCGGCCTCTGGGCCTCACTGCCTGCCAACCACCAGTTTGGGGTCAGCGATGGTCCAGGTGCGACAGCAGGGGTTGCACACCCACACACCGGGGCGCGGGCTCCACCTACCGCCTTCGGGGGTCTTCCGGCCAGCGGCGGCCGCAGAGGGCGCGTTGGAGCTAGGCGCAGGCCCCGTGCTAGCCGCAGGCCCCGTGCTAGCCCCAGCCCCCACTAGCCCCAGCCCCCACCACGCCCGCACAAACAGCGCGTCCAGGGTCAGGACGGCGCGAAGGAGACCAGAGCACGCTCAGCTGGCATACGACTGTATTTGGGGTCTGGGGCGTTAGTGGGCAAGGGGGCAAAGTGAACATTGAGTCAAGCAGAGGGCAGCCGGGTGCCCGCCAAGTGCTGCCCATCCTTGGACCTCGTCTGGGTGGGGTCAGGTCAGGAGAGATGCAGAGAACCCCCGCGGCTGCCGCGCCCCCTCCCAGCACCAGCTCCCAGCAGTGCTGGCCTGTCTTCGGAGCCCACCTGCCGTGGTCCCAGGGTCGCTCTCAAAGTGCCCTCCGCAACCCCTGGAGTCCTGGGCAGGAGGGCAGTTCCCCCCGCCCACCCCTCCAACCCCCGTCATCTGAGCGTCCTGGTGAAGACAACAATGCCCACTCAGCCAGGCCCCCAGTCCGGCCAGCACGACCTTTTCCTTGGCAGCCTCTGTAATGGTCCTGTGCAGCCAGGTTGGGTCCCTCGCACTCACCACTACTACCCTGACCACACGATCAAGCGGGAGGTTGGGTCTCCCACCCAGTGCCGTGGGCCAGGTCCCAAGGTCGTCCCTGTGTCCAGCTCCGGGCCAGGAAGGGAAGAGCGGCCACGGCAGGCGGGGCCTGGGCTGGGGATCTCGTGCGAGTAGATCGGGTCGCGACTACGCCCCCGGGCAAAATCCTGCCTTCGAGGCGGGTGCCACCGCCTGGGCTGGGCAAAGGGGTCCTTGGCTAGGCCGGCTCAGGGCTTCGGGGCCACGGCTGCCGACGGCGGGGGGCGCGCGCGCCGCTGGCCCTCGGGCGTGCAGGTCTTGGCGGACAGTGCCCGCTCGCGACCCGAGCGGAAGGCCGCGGTCACTGTCACCAGGTAGGCGGTGCCGGGCGCCAGGCCCTGCAGCGTGGTACTGTTCTGGCCCGCCGGCACCTCCACGCGCTGGGCCGCGCCGCCGCGCACCGGCCCAAACTGCACGTGGTAGCCGAGCGCCGAGGCCGGGCCCAGCGCCGGGGTCCAGCTCACGCGCAGGCTCCGCGGTTTGGCGTGCGAGAAGACGATGCGCTCCGGCCCGGCCTCCTCTGCAGGGAAGAGCCAGTGAACCTCGGACCCACGCCCCGGGCCCCGCCGCGCGCACGCCTGCCCCACCCCGGCCCCGCCCTGCATCCGGGCCCCGCCCCCACCTCGGCCCCGCCCCGCACTCCCCCAAGCCGCGCCCACGCCCCCGTCCAGCTCCGGGTCCCCCGCCCCCCCCTCCCCCCGCACCGCATCCAGGCCTCGCCCCACACTGGCCCCGCCCCACACCGGGTTCCCCTGCGCCGCGCCCAGCCCTGCCCAGCCCCGGGCCATTTGCCCCCCACCCCCGCGCTACCCCGCGCCGCGCCCAGGCCCCGGGTCCCCCCCCACCACACTGGCCCCGCCCCACACTGGGACCCTCCTATGCCGCGCCCAGGCCCGCCCCGACACCGCCCCATTCGCCCCCCCGCACCCAGACTCCGCCCCGCTTCCGGCACCGCCCTATCCCGAGCCCCGCCCCACCTCGCGACCAAGCCCCTCCCGGGCCCCTGGCCACCGCGCCTCGCCCAGGCCCCGCCCCGCCCCGCCCCGCGTCCGGGCCCAGCCCTCGTCCCACTCCCGCCCCAGCCCCGCCCCGCTTCCTGGCCCCGCCCTACCCCAGCCACACCCCCGCCCCGCCCGGGGCACCGCTCCGCTCCCCAGGTCCCGCCGGGCACCCCAAGCCCCACCACTCCCGCCCCCTGCCCCAGATCCGGCTACGCGGTCCCAAGCCCCGCCCCCTCGCCCCCCCACTACCGCGTCCCTCACGCAGCCCGCGTCCCTCCCGCAGCCCCGACTCACCTGGGAGCGGCAGCGTGCGCACCCGCAGGTGCTGTGGCGCCACTGGCTGCTCGTTGGATTCGGGCAGCAGCGCCACATCATAGTCCGTGTCCGGGTCCAGGCCTGTCCAGACCCAGCCGGTGGCATTGCCAGGCAGCTGCTGGCGCAGTGGGATCCCTGACTGCCCGCTGGGCGCCATCTCCAGCACATAGTACCCGGAGTGGGCAGCTAATAGAGGCGGCCAGGCCAGGCGGAAGCTGCTGGACGTGACCTCGGAGGCCCGGAGTTGCTGTGGCTGCGTCGCGTCTGCAGGGAGCCGGGGCAGGGAATCAGGGAAGGGACTGACCCTAGGAATCCCGAGGTGAGAAAGGCTAGAGTGGGTGGCAGATCTGAACTGCCCTGGAGCGGAGCGGCGGGGCCATGCTCCACCACCCCATCAGGACCCAGTAAGCTTGCCTAGGTACCAAGCCCAGAGGTCAGGGGTTGCCCCTCTCACTTGGCCCCTCAAAGGTGCAAGAACCTCAGAACCAGCACAGGGTATAGGGGAGCTCAGCACCCTAGAAGTCAGAGAAGTTCAGGCAAACACCCCAACATGAGTCCCGCCCCGCATGAACCTTCCTGCCCTGATGTGCACCCAGCCCCAGCCCCACCACACTGTCCCACCACCACCCCCGACCCATTTCCAAGTGCCAGACATCCTTCCTGGTGCCCACCCTCCTTCCAGACTCTCAGGACTTAAGCCAAGCTGCAGAGACAGGGGTCCCTGAGGGCCTTCAGGGCGTGGGGCCCCTGTGACCCGAGCCAGACACTCTAAACTCAGGAACAGCGGCAGAACTGGGCAGGCAGGCACGAGTGGCCCTGGGAAGCAGCACTTTCCAGTGGCCACCACAGGCCAAGCCATGGACAGTTCCTCAGCCTGCATGGTGTGGCTGAGGGGTCAGCAGGTCCAGAAGGAAGTTGGAAGGCAGAGAGATAGAATAGGGATTCAGGCTCTTGCCTTGTATGCGGCTGACCCTTGTTCAACGCTGGTACCACATTTGGTCCCCGGAGCCTACCAGGAGTGACCCCTGAGTGCAGAGGCAGGATTCAGCCCTGATCACCACCGGGTATGACCCCAAACCCAAACCAAACAAAAACCAAAAGAATGAAGTGGAGGGATAGTAGAGCAGGCAGGGTGCTTGCCTTGCACACAGCTAACCAGGAGTCAATCCCTGGCATCCCATATTGTCCTCTGAGCCCACCAGGAACAATTCCTGAGTGCAGAGCCAGGAGCACTGCCAGGTGTGTGGTCCCAAAACAAACAAACAAAAAAATAAAAAAGAAGTGGAGTGTGAAGTGCTTCCCAGCCCTTGGCAGGCACCGTGGCCAAACCCCTCCTAGCCAGTTCTCACAGTTTTCCGGGAGCACGGCGGGGCTCAGAGTGGGCTACCTCATTCTGGGGGGGGCGGGGGCAAGGCCCAGTGAAAACCATTCTCCTCCTTGGTCCCTGTTTTCCCCCCAGCTCCCACTCCCAGGCCCTCGAGTCTTGGGTGCTCCATGGCAGAGTGCCCGGTGGGGTCCCATCTGCTGCCCTCTGACCTGCTAAAACACAGGGAAGGGGGTCGGGACCCATGGCTGCACCCCCCAGGAGGCTCGGGGAGCCCGGGTGGCAAGCCCCCCTACCGAGGATGGCAGCCCGGAGCCGCTGGGCGATGATGGGCAGGTCATCCACATCCACAAAGTGCAGGTGTGTATCTGCTGGGGTGGAGGCAGCGGCCAGGAGCTCGAGCCGGTTGCTGCGGCCGGTGCTGACTATGAAGACGGTGACGCCCAGGTCCTTCAGGTCCTGCATGGGTGGCCCCACGGGGTCGCTGGAGCCACCATCGGTCACCCACACCAGCACCTTGGGCACCCCTGGCCGGGCCCCCGCTGCCTCGGAGAACAGCTGCTCCTTGGCGTAGGCCAGTGCCAGACCAGTGTGGGTGTCGCCCATGCGCTGGGCCGCCCCCAGCACCGCATCTCGCACCGCTGCGCTGGAGCCATGCTGGTCGAAGGAGAACTCGGTGTGCGGGCGGCTGCCCACATGCACCAGGCTGGTGCGCAAGGCCCCTGGTCCCACGGGCAGGGGCGCAACCAGCTGCCCCACGAACTCCCGCACACGGGAGAACTCGTAGTGCGACACGCTGGCCGAGCTGTCCAGCAGGAATAGCAGGTCCCCCTGGGAGGCCGGTGTAGGGGCACCTAGGGGAGAGGAGGGGGTTCAGGCCCAGGTGTTGGCTCCCAGGAAGCCCCCACAGTGAGACCCCCCTGGAGAGGCGGCACTTGCTCCCCTCCACCTTGCAGGTCCTGAAAGGTGGGATGGCGCCATTCAAAGGCACCTGCATCCCCACTGAGTATGTCTGGGATCTGGGGCACAGACGCCTGCTCAAGCTCCCCAAAGGGTCCTGGCCAATGGCAGGAGAGCCTGGACGGGCCTCGGGATCTGCACCTGGAGAAGCAGTTTTGAGGCAGAAGTTTTTAGCCTTTGGCTCAGCCTCCCAGTGAAGCACCCAGAGGGGGGCAGGGGACAGCTGGGTACAGCACGGTTAAGGACCAGACGCCGGGATCCTTCCCCTGGCCCCATCTGCACCCAGAAAGCAGGGCGACCCCACGGAGGGACCTCCCCTCCGTGACGGTCCCTCACCAGTGGTACCTGTGTTGCCTCCGCCCTCTCCAGAGTCACTTTAAGGAGAGGGAAAGGGAGGCTGGGCTGGCCGCTCTGTCCAACCCAGCCATGCCTCAGAGATGCGGGCGGGGCACAAGGCACGTCCACCCTGCACAGGTCCAGCCGCCGCCTGGAGCACCTAGTCTGCGGCCGCAGGTGGGTGGGGTGCCCAGCAGACCGCCCCACGCGCTCCCTAGCCAGCGCAGGCAGCAGCGGCTGGACAGGCGCCCAGGCCAGACCCCACGTACTCACCACGCTCCGCGTCGCTGCGCGCCAGCGCCAGCCGCAGGCTCAGGGCCAGGCCAAGCGCCGTCCAGGGCAGCATTGCGCGACGGGACGGGCGCGCTCGGCCTCTGTTCGCCGTTCGCGCCCCAGCTCGTTCGGTCCGGGGCCGCAGGGCGCGCCGCCGCGCGGGCCAGGGCCGGCCCCGCCCACCGAGGCCCCGCCCATGAGTCCCCGCCCATGGGCGCCCGGGGACCAACCGCGTGGGCCCAAGCAGACCCCGCCCACCTAAGCCCCGCCCCTCGGGCGCGCTCGCCGAGGAATCAGCCGCTCGGGGGCTGGGCGCGCTCCCCGGGAGGCTCCCGAGCACGTGGACGCGCACACTCTGTCTCATCCGCCCTCAGCCACAGGACTCGTCACCTCCAGGGTCCCTGCCCGTGTCTCCACAGCCCTCCCCGAGTCTCTGAAGCCAAGCGCAAGTGAAGCTTAGGAGGTGTGTGGGGAGCAAAGTCCCTGGGGCCCAGATCCTGCCCCGACTTCACACACACACACTTGCACGCGCACACACACGCATACATGCATGCGCACACGCACACATGCACACAGGCGCACACAACATGCTCACACACACAGGGCCAATGGAGGAGCAGCTGGTCTTGAGTCCCCTAGACCCAACTTAAGAAATGGGGTCCTGGAAGGAGACCTGTTAGAAGGAGGAGGTCTGGAGGGGGCTGGTGCAGACCCGCTGAGCTAGCAGCCTCTGTGCCCTACCCAGCACTGAGAACGAGGCCGGATGCCCCAGGGTGCTCAGGTCCAGTGCTGTCCCTTAGGTGAGGCTGGCGACATTCCTCCACCAATGGCTCCTGCCACATAGGCCTGAGATCCTCTCTGTGGGGCTTCAGGATTCCCCCCTCCCCCCACCCAGCCCCCAGAGGGTGCTCAGTAGGGTGAGCGGATGGGGCTCAATGGTCTTCCTTCCTCTGGGTCCAGCAGGTAAGAGCCCAAGCACGCCTTTGCCTAAAAAAGGAAGCGGAGCAGACCAGTTTGAAGAACCAAGCACCGCCACCGGCCTCCGGCCACCCCACCCTCACGCAGCGGGAATTTTGGCAGTGACGGTGCTGGCTGTGCTCCACGGCCTCCACGAGGACCAGACTGCCGGGCCTTCCGCTGAGAGTGTGTCCGGCTAGGCTGACCGGGCCTGGACTGTGTGTAGGCGGCAGGCCAGGCCACGCTGCCCTCACTGGGCACCACCTGCTGGCTGGGTGTGGCGGGTGATGCCAGCAGTTAGGCAGCTGTGCCTACTTGCCCGGGGCGGGCTCCCTGCAGCTGGGCCATTGGGGAAGTTTCCGTCCCTTCTGGAAAAAGTGAGCGGATTGTCTTGGCCATGACTCAGCCCTCTAGGACACAGCCACCCTCCGTCTCACTATGAGCTCTGCCACCTGCTTAGGCAACTCTGGCCAGTCCTGGCAGGGCTGGCCATTCTGAGCTCTAGGACTCAGAGCCCCCTGGTCAGTTCTGCTTCTCTTGCCCTGCCCGGCACTCTGCTGGCCCCACCTTCAAGGAGAGACCTGGACAGAGATTCCCCAGGGAGTGTGGGATCAGGGCCAGGCTGAAGCAGACACAAAAGGAAGCAAAAATATAATGGCCCGGAAACCCCCTCTCTGACGGCAGAGAGCTGCTGGGGCGAGGGGGACATGGCCCAGACAGCCCTAGAGACCAGGATCTACACAGGAAGGTGCAGCTGGTGTGGAGGTCACAGCCCCACACTGGCCTCGCCGTCGGAGTCCCGTGCATCCTTCCCGGAGCTGGTTCCCCCACAATGGAGGGGTTCCCGAAACCCAGAAGGAACCCGGAAGTGCTCTGCCCCCGCCTGCCTGCCTCCTCCACACAGTACAGCTTGTACAGAGAAGAAGGGCCTTTTGTCCCCGCTGTGGTCATGCAGACCTCAGAGGAGGTCAGCCCAGGCCTCTGACCCAGCGTGGGGTCCCCACCACCGCACCAGGCCCCTGTTTTCTGTGTTGTGTGCCTCTGTGCACCCCAGTAGTTGGGGAGGTGGGTGCAGACGGAACAGGGGGGCAGGGGCTTAGCGAGCCACCCAGTGACAGGCCCAGGACCCCACTCTTCTAAATTTCCTTCTTCTTTGTGGGCAGGGTGGGCTCTTAGACTGTGCTGGGAGCTGGAGGGCCCAGCACACCCCCACAGCCCAGAGCTTGCCCCTCCCGGGTTCTGTAGCCAAGGCCAGGACAAACGACAGCCACAGAGGCCACCAGCCATGGTGTGGCGCCACCCAGGGTTTTGCCCCTTTCAGATAGAGAAGCCCAGAGCAGCCCTAAGATGACTGAGCAAACGAGTGCCCTCAGGGTGTTTGTCGCCCACTTGGGAAAACTTAGACCCCTCTGCCTGCTCCCCTCCTTGTGGTGCTGGCCCGCCGGCATGCCAACCCAGCCAGGCACAGGCAGTGCAGGGTGGGCAGGACGTCCAGGAGGGCTCCAGGGAGCCGAGCACACAGGAGGCCTGGGCTCACCAGTCTCCCAAGCCCTGCTGCATGTGTGTGACTCAACACCAGAACAGAAGACCCAGCAAATGGTGCAGGTGGGAAGGGCACTCCAGAGGGTCCCCAGCACCACATAGGACCCCCGAGCCCTGTCAGGAATAAGTCCTGAGCACAGTGTGGTCCAAAAACCACAATAAAACAGGCCGCGATGGGGCCCCGCCAGGGACAGGCACTTTGACATATCAGAGTGAAATGTGAGTCAGGGGGCAGCAGCTGCCCCTCTCTCAGCCACCAGGAGCCCATCTGTGAGGCCAGCGAGGCCCACCCTGGACTGTCTGTGGAACCTCAGCTTTTGGACATGGCAGAGAGCAGCAGAGCTGTGCCGGCTTTCAGAAGGGGCCCAGGGTGGGGCGAGGGGCCTCAGCCAGCAACAGAGCTCTTGACTGGATGCACACCTGGGGAACAGGTCGGGGGGCCGTGAGCCGAACAGACAGGACACAGGGTTGGCTGGATAGTGCAGGAGTCAGGGCAAGTCACACCTAGATCACACGTGCACAAGGCCCACAGTGTTCCCAGACCCCGCACACAACACACACAACTGCATACAACACATGTGCAGCTTCACAGCAGCCACGCATGTGCACCTGCACACAACACACATCACAGGCAGACAGCACACGTGCACCTGCATACAACATACATGCACCTCCATACAACACACATGTACCCGCATGCAATGCACCTGCACCTGCACACAATACACACATGTGCAGCTGCATAAACACACATGTGTGCACCTGCATACAAAACACTTACACACACACAACACTCACACATGCATCCGCATACAACACTCATGCACCAACACAATGACACATGCACCCACATACAAAACACATGTGTGCACAAACAAAACATATGCCCTGAACTCAACATACATGCACCCACGCACAACACACATGTGTGCACCCACACACAACACACACACACATGCACCTGCATACAACACTCATAAACCGGCACACAACACACATTTACCCACACACAATACACACATGCATCCACACAGTAGCCATACATGTATACTCACAACACACATGTGTGCACACACATAGAACACACACATTCACCTGCACACAGCACACACATACCCATGCACAACACACATGGACCCACACACAAAACACATGCACCAATACACAACACCTATATGCACCCGCACACAACACATACATATACACCTGCATATAACACACATCTGTGTACCCAAACACAAAACACATTTGCACCGTCAAACAACACACAAGTGCACCACACATGTATGGCCCTGCACAGCAGCATACATGTGTGCACTCACACACAGCACACATATCCATTGCATACAACACATGTGTACCTGCACACAACACACACGTGCACCTGCAGACACATGTTTACAGCACACGTACATGCACACATGTGTGCATCTGCACACAACATGCATGAACCTGCACAGCAGCATGCACATGTACAGCCTACACACAACACACCCGCATCTACACAGCAGCATACATGTGTGCACCCACATTCTGACACCCACAGGTGTAGCACACATCTACATGCATGTGTGCAATTACCATCACACGTGTGCACCCATGCAGTCAACATGCATACATATGCACGTGTCTACACTGGGGTGCTGGTGCCTGATCCTGAGGAAGGCGTCTGCTTCCCTCAGGGTGACCTCAGCTCAGCACCTCCATCCTGAGGAAGGGCCTGCCACCTGCAACCAGGGTCTCCTCAGGACCAGGACGGAAGCTGGGCCTGGGGGCCCTGGTCGGGGCTGTCCGTAGTGGCTCTTTGCTGGCCAAGATTAGGAGGCAGGAATGTGGGGCTTCAGGTGATGCCTCCAACCAGAGGACCAGCCCTACACCCTGAAGGAGAAACAAAGGCTTCCTCAGACCTGGGAGCAGAGCCAGCTGCCCTATTCCTGCCCTCTCCTTTGGCAGCCCCCCTGTCACCACCTCTGACTCGGGGTGCTGTCCCTTTGCGACTCCCTAAGGGGTGCCCTGTAAAGGCGAGTTGACTCCCTCCGCCCCCACCCAGCTGTTGTTTGCTGCACTCCGCCAGACCCAAGGGTGCTCAGGACAGACTCAACTCAAGCCAGCTGGGGGAGTGGCCAGCAGCCAGTGCAGCTGGGAAGGGGTCAGAGCAGGTGCAGACCAGATCAGGCTCAGAACAGGGGGCACAGATCACCCCGGACTTCCTGCTGGGCCTGTCAACCCCTGAGCCTGTTGTGGGAGGCCAGGCACTGCTGGCTGGGCCCCTTTAAAAGTACAAAGTACAAGGAGCTGCTGGGCTTCCTGGGAAGGGTGCCTCCCCAAGGTGTGCCAACCGAACCCCAGATTAGTCAGGATGAGAAGGGACAGTGCCCAGAGACCAGGTAGAAGGCCTTAAAGGAGACCCGCCTGCCCCAGGGGGCCAGGGGGTGTCCACATGGGCTGCTGGGCCGGAGGAGTCCAGGACTTGGACTTGGACGAGTGCACACGGAGACTCCCCAAAGGCTCCAAGCCATGTGTGTACACATGTGTGCACACGTGTCTGTGCGTTAGCATGTATGTGTGTGTGCATGCATGTGTGTGCATGTGCATGTAGATGAGTGTGGCTAGGTTCCAAACTAACACCCAAAATAAATAAATACAAATCAGCAAAGCTTCTGGGGCTGGAGCAATAGCACAGCGGGTAGGACGTTTGCCTTGCATGCGGCCAACCCGGGTTTGATTCCTAGCATCCCATATGGTCCCCTGAGTACCGCCAGGGGTGGTTCCTGAGCGCAGAGCCAGGAGTAACCCCTGAGCATCGCCGGGTGTGACCCCAAAAGGAAAAAAAAACAAAACAAAACAAATCAGCAAAACTTCCAAGATACTCTATGCTAGTGGGAGTCAGCAGGAATCACGAATAGCCAACCAATGAGGATGGAGGAATGGGACTTGTAGGTCTGGAGACATATGTGGAGACAGAAGCCGGGTTGCACCAGGGAACCACAGCACCCGGAGACCAGAGACACTAGACTGCTTCCGACTGGAAATGAACCAAGTATGATTTATTGTAACTGATTCTAGGGTGTAGGGACCACAGAGAGCACTGCACAGGGAGCACTGCTGATGGTGTTGGGAGGACCATTTGTCGAGCAGAAGATCGAACTCGGTCAGCTGCGGGGCAGGGACGTGCCCTACCCACTGTGCTCTCTCTCTCTCTCTGGTTCCATGACATTAAATATCACTGAGGACTAATGGGCTGGGTTAGGGGCACAGACAGGCGCAGAGTCTGTGCGTGTGCATGGCATAGGCTGACCCACGAAGACGGGCAGTTACTGATGCAGAGAGAAGACCACCAACCCTGTCTCAGGCTATGCTCAGCACTGCAGCCCAGAGCTGGAGAAGGCAAGAAAGGTCCAGAACTGCCCACACCATCCGCAGAGGTAGACCCTGCGTGAAGATGGACAGCCAAGCAGGACTGTCCACAGAGCACGAGAGGAGGAGATGGATCCCTGACCATGTGCCTGCCCTGCCCTGTCACAGGCTCACCCCTACCTGCCCAGTGTCACCCTTCAATGCATGTCTCAGGCTGAGCTCTCACAACCCCGCTCAGCACCCTGGCCAGCCGGGCAGCAGAGAGGCCCCTGCACTGGCCCTGAGCACAGCGCTGCGCAGCAGGTGGCAGGAGGCCAGTGGCCACTGCTGCAGGGGCAGGGTGCAAGTGCGCCCTCCCCAGCCTGCCTCCTCCTGGACGCCCCGAAGGCCGGCTGGTCCGAGGCAGGCTGGTGCCACCTCGCGGACACTCACAGCGCTGCTGAGGGACGAGCCGGCTGAAACCCAGGCGCGGTCAGTGGAGCTGGCTTGGGGCCACTCGACGGGGGGTACGGAACTGGAGCCCTCGGGTTTGTGGCGGGCCTCTGGCTCATGCCCAGGCGCAGAGCTGCTCCTCCTCTGCAGGGTCGCCGGAACCGAGGGAGCGGCAGTGTCCGAGGGTCCATGTGGGCGGCGGCAGCAGCGAGCGCAGGCGCCGAGACAGGCGGGAGCGGGCAGCAGCTGCGAGGACGAGCAGCGGGGGCAGCGCCAGGAAACCGGACACGATGAGCGCCGCGGCCGCGCGGTCTGACAGCAGCGCCCGGCAGGCAGGCCGGGGCGCAGGGTGGACCTGCGGACGAGGGCGGTCAGTCAGGGCAGAGGATGGGCGGTCAGTGGGGCAGGGAATGGGCGGTCAATGGGGCGGGGGATGGGCGGTCAGTGGGGCGGGGTGGAGGAATGGGCGGTCAGTGAGACGGGGCATGGGCAGTCAGTGGGGATGGAGGGATGGGCAGTCAGTGGGGGAGGGGGATGTGCAGTCAATGGGGATGGAGAGATGGCAGGTCAGTGGGGTGGAGGGATGGGCGGTCAGTGGGGATGAAGGGATGGGCGGTCAGTGGGGATGGAGGGATGGGCAGTCAGTGGGGTGGGGCGGAGGGATGGGCGGTCACTGGGGATGGAGGGATGGGCGGTCAGTGGGGCGGAGGGATGGCCGGTCAGTGGGGATGAAGGGATGGCCGGTCAATGGGGATGAAGGGATGGCCGGTCAGTGGGGAAGTGGATGGGCGGTCAGTGGGGGAGGAGGATGGGTGGTCAGTGGGAATGGAGGGATGGGCGGTCAGTGGGGAAGTGGATGGGCGGTCAGTGGGGGAGGAGGATGGGCGGTCAGTGGGAATGGAGGGATGGGCGGTCAGTGGGGAGGTGGATGGGCGATCAGTGGGGGGGGATGGGCGGTTCACAGGGCGGGGCTGAGTTGCTGAGGAAGCTGAAGCCCCACCAGCTGGGCAGTGGCCAGAGCAGATGCCCCCTGGAGGAGATTCAGGGGGCACTCCTGTTGCCTCCCCTTCTCCCTGGGACCTTCCCAGCTGCTTGTGTTGGCCTGTAGCCCCTCCGTGTGTCAATCAAGGCAGAGGGAAAGGAGGACAGAGGCCTCCCCCGCAGCGGTCCACCCCTACGTCCCAAGGCAGGAGGGGCCATGAGGGCTGTTAGTGATGAGATGGCGCAGGATCTCCTTGTCCTGAAACCTCCTCCTGGTCCCACCCCTCATAGCCACCCTGTACCCTGGTGGCTCCTGGTACAAGCCGGGAGGCTTGGCAGGGGCAGCTGTCCCCTCGGCCCTAACAAAAGCTCCTCTTCAGCAAACAGAAGCCCAGGGAAGGACTTGGGAGAAGGGCTCTGCGGGGAAGGGTTCATTCTGGGAGGGGGCGCGAGGGTCTCTGCTCACCCTGGAGTGGCACAGGAATCCCACATAGACGGTGGTGGCCGCGGGCAGCAACACCAGCAGAAAGACGGTGGCCGGCAGCAGCAGGTGGAGGAGCAGCCCAGCCAGGGCCTGGGCGGACAGCAGCAGGTGGCACAGTCCGGCCAGGGCCCGGGCAGCGCTGCTCTGGCGGCCGTGAAGCCTCTGCGGCAGCATGGGGGCCGTATCTGCCATGCTCCCACCCTCCTCCTCCTCCTCTGTCTCCCTCTCCTGCTCGCTCATGCTCCCAGTACCTCTGACCTGACCGTGCAGACCACCCGCTGGTCCGGGCAGGGGCCTGAGCGGCAGTTGCTGGAGCCTCACCTGTCTCCCCGCTACAAGCCTGCCTCTCCTTCTGGTGACAGCTGCCCCAGCTCTGTGCTGGCTCACACATCTGTCTGTCCCTCCAGCCTGCCCCGGGCCCTCCTCCGTCTGCTCCCGCCCTCTGTGTGGTACCCGGCGCCCAGCGCCCCACAGTGACTTCATCTCTCAGCCACCGTCTCGGCTGCAGCGCTGAGGCCTCATGCCCCAGCCCTGGCCCGTCTTGACCAACCCCCCCTGAACCTGGAAGCTCCACCTCCACCTTTCCTCACGCCGGGCAGAGTGTGGGGTCTCCAGGAAGGGCAGCAGCGCCCTCCCTGAGGGAACCGTCCACCCTGAGTCCCAGAGAGGCTGCCTTCTGTCACTGCCAAGCAGGGAGCTTCCCTAGCCCCTGCGGAAGGCCTGGGGCAGACCCCCGACCCCCACCGTGGGCACCGTGGGCACCCTTTGCACCTGCAGTATATATCATTCTGCTCCGCTCTCTCTGGGCCTGAAGCCAGCACAGAGCTGTGGGCTCTTTCCAGCCCCTGTTCCATCCCTCCAAATTTTCTTGCATTTTCCCCAGAGCTCTTGGCTCACCAAGTCCCACCAGAGAGCCTGGGAAAGGGCTCAGCCTCCAGCCGGACCCTGCAGGGATGAGGCTCAGCGGCAGGTCCCGTGAAGGAGGTGCGATGGGGCCTCTGGGCCAGCCAGACATGACAGGAGTGAAGGCATTGCAATCCTTGCATCCAGGTGGTCCCCCGAACTCTGACCGCAAAGAGCCAAAAACAAGCTCTGAGCATCGCTGAGTGAGGCCCCAAAGAAAACGGCCCCTTTCGGGGGGGCAGAGCCATAGCACAGCGGCTGGGGCATTTGCCTTCCACAGGGTTGACCCGGTTTGATCCCAGTCCCCCAGATGGACCCCGAGCACTACCAGGAGTAATTCCTGAGTGCAGAGGCCCCTCCCCCAGGAAATGGTCCCTTTCCTCACTGCATGAGGAGGGAGGGAGGCCCATAGCCAGTACGAAGTGGGGGGCACGTCCCAATAGGGTGTTTGTGTCCCAGGGCATATTCTTCTGGGTAAGTCTGGATAAGTGTGTCCCAAAGGGTGTGTCCTGCGTGTCTCCCCCAACCACCTCCCTCACCCTCAGGCCCCTGCTCCCCCGTGGCTCCCCCAAGGGTCTCCACCTGACCCAGGCGCTCTGTGCTAGCCTGTGGGAGGGAAGGCCTGAGTGAATGAGCTGGAACCCTCCAAGCCGACCATTCTGGGAGCCTTATAGACAAGAGGTTGACAGAGCCCATGGAAGGCCGAGTCCAGAGGACAAAGGAAAACCAAAGTTGGGGGCTGAGAGGGAGTCAAGAGGGTCAGGTCCAAGGACCCACGGGGAGGTAGCCCTGAGCACACCTTCGCTCTGGCACCTGAAAGGGACCTCTGAGATGTGGGGGTGCAGGACACCGGGTGGGAGTGACCCTCCAAAGCTGTGCTGCCCTGAGAGGGTTGACAAGCTGCAGGTATCCATGCCGCAGGACAGGGGACTTGGCAAGGAGGCAGAGGTGCTCCCAGGGCTCCAGTCCTGTGGGCCCTTCACCTCCTGCTTAGCCTCCACCCCTATCCCCTGCTCATTGGCCTGCCTTAGCCACCCCATCCAGGTGCTCCCCATTCCATCTGTGGTTTGGGGAGGGGAGGGGGGCCCAGCCCCTCAGGCATGTCCTTGGAGGCCAGCCTTGCAAGGCTTGTCCCAGCCCGCCTGGCCTTTGTCTGCGGGAGAAAGGCCCAGTCAGGGGGCCCGGAGGTTGGCAGGGGAACTGGGTGCTGGCAGGGGTCACGGGCCGGGCACGGTGCAGGAGGAACCTGAGCCTGAGTGAGGTCACAAGACAGCAGAGGGGCCCAGTGCTCTGGAGGGGGCCGGCATGCACCCCCTGCCCCCCGACAGGGCCAGCGGAGGCGGAGGCGAGTCGCAGCGGAACGAGAGCGCAGGAGTCCCGGAGGTAGCACCTCTGCTGGGAACCAGCCAAGCCCCCGGTCTGGGTGGTGGGGCAGGCGCCATTCGGACTGGGGTCAGGATTCCTGTCGGCAGCAGGAGAACCCGGTGGCGGCCGAGCCGGAGCCGGAGCCGGAACTGCAGTGGGTGGACCTGGCCTCCGAAGGAGCCCCGGCCCGCAAGGACGCGGGGGCCGCGGCGCCCTTGCTGCGGGCCGTGTGGCGGGGACCCGTGGGCCGAGTGACCCAGCTGCTGCGCCAGGGAGCCGACGTGGAGTGCAGGTGGGGCGTGGGGGGCGCGCCCGGGCGGGCGGGCGGGGGTCGGGGCGTCCCGGCCGCCTACCACTCGCCCCCCGCCCGCAGGGACGCCGCGGGCCGCACGCCGCTGCACCTGGCAGTGCTGCGCGGCCACGCGGGGCTCGTACGGCTGCTGCTGCGGCGCGGGGCTCTCGCAGGCGCCCGGGACGGCGCGGGCCGCGCGGCGCTGCATGCGGCCGCCTGGCCCTGCGCTGCGCGGCCAGCCGAGCTGCTGCTGGCGCGCGGGGCCCCGGTGGACGCGCGCGCGCGGGGCGGCCTCTCGCCGCTGCACTGGGCGGCCGCACTGGGCCGCACGCTGCTAGCCGGCCGCCTGCTGGCCGCGCCCGACGCCGACGCCCGCGCAGCAGACGCGCGCGGCTGGACGGCGGCGCACTGGGCAGCGGCGGGCGGGCGGCTGCCGGTGCTCGAGCTGCTGGTGGCGGCCGGCGTGGCCGACCTGGACGGGGCCCTGCTCGTGGCGGCCGCGGCAGGCCGCGGTGCCGCGCTGCGCCTGCTACTGGCCAGCGGGCGCGGCCGGACGCGCGGGACGCCGCGGGGGCGTCGGTGCTCGGCGTGGCGGCTAGCGCGGGCCACCTGCAGGTACGTCCGGGGGGCGCGGCCTGTCCTCGCGGCCTCTGGGCACCGGGTGGGCGGGGAGAGGGCGCAGGGTTTGCTCAGAGGACGTGAGCGGCGGGCAAGTAACTGGCAGGACAGGCCTGGTGCTGAGACCAGTGGAGGTGGTGGCCGCCTCACCCCAGCCGGGCTCAACTTTCCCAGTGCCTGGGATACAGCGGGCCTTCCTCCCTTTAGGACATGGAGGTGCTTCTTGACCATGGTGCTGACCCAAGTCTCCGGGACAAGCATGGCCGCTCTGCCCTGCACAGGGCAGCTGCTCGCGGACACCTGCTGGCCGCTCAGCTGCTGGCCACCTGGGGCGCCGAGGTGGATGCCCAGGACGCACTGGGCCTCACGCCCTTGCACCATGCAGCTCGTGGTGGCCACGTGGAAGTGGCCAGGCACCTTCTGGACAAGGGCGCCCAAGTGGACACCGAGGGGCGGCTTCACACCACGGCACTGCACCTGGCCATGGAGCAGGGGCATGGCCACGTTGTCGAGCTCCTACTGGGTCGAGGGGCCAGCCCAGCCCCGAGCCTTCCATGGGGCAACAGCGCAGGAGCGTGGGGTCCCCAGCACCCTCTACCCTGAGCCACTCGGTCTGCCAGGGTGCTACACCGGAGGAGGAGCACACATGACCAAGGCCTGCAGCTCTCTGGGCCTGCGTACCCCACTCCTGCGGCCCCTCGGTTGGGGCCCACCTGAGTCAGACACGCCCACCATCTTCCCTCAGCCCCTACTTCCTGAGACAGTGACTCAAATAAAATGGTTGGCCCAAGGCTCTCCTTTGGCACGGTCCTTGCTGCAGCCTGGTCACGGGCACTGATGATCCCGAACAACCTTCCCATCTCCCGGTCTCTGGCCTCAGGCTCACTCATGGGGGCCAGGGGCCTGACCCCGGGACCCAGCTCACCCTTGGCATTTGCTAAACTTGAGCACCTGGGCTGCTTTGACACATGCCTCAGGCCCCTTCCCTGGCACAGTTTTCCCTTCTCAGATCTCTGCCAGCCCTGATCAGAAACTTCCTTCTTTAGGAAATGGAGAAACCATCTTTCGCAGTAGATTCTCCTAACACTAGCACCCAAGGGGCTTGGGAGATGCTCAGAGAGGGAGCACAGGCCTTTTGTGGGGAGGGCCCATGTCTGACCCGGTCCCCCAGCCCCTGTCTCTGCCCTGTGCTCCCCTCAGCACTTCTGGGAGCTACTCTTGACTGTTGTACTAGAAAGGGTCCCTGGTGGGACCAAAACAATAGTCAACAAATTATAAAAGAACCAAAAAGGAACAAAAGGTGAGTGAAATTGCACCCTAGTTCCCGAAAGGAAGAGTCACTGAAGCAGCCCATGATCTGGGCTGAGCAATGGAGCGCAAGAAAATGCACAGTAATGCTCAGGAGAGGATGCAGGCCAGATGTGGAACAGGGCATTCATGTCTCCTTGGAGCCAACAGCCACACCTGACTGTGCCCCAGGAAACTGGTCCCTCTGTGTTCTGGGCGCCACGTGCAAAACCCAGGCATGTTTAGACTCCAGTGACACACATTCCTGTCCCAGAGCTCTTGCACTAGCAGAATGTCCCCCCCACCACCCCAACTAACCCCTCCCCACCACCTCGCTTGTCTTGCCTCCTGCTAACCACTGATACAAAAGAAGGCAGCCACTCTGAATGCAGCTAAGAACCAGATGGGGGCTGTGGAGGTCAGGGTCCAGGAGTCTGGCACTTCTGGAATGCCCATGTGCAAAGTACCACAGATGTACATTGTGGGTGATCTGGTTCGATCCCTGGCAGCACATGATCCCCTGAGCACCAAACTGGGAGTAAGCCCCCAAACAGAAACCAAACCAAAAAAGTCTAAAACCTAGACACAACAGGGTGGGAGAGAGAGAGTAGAGCAAGAAGGTGCTTGCCTTGCCGTGGCCCACCTGGGTTTGGTCCCCAGCGTCCCATATGATCCCCAAGGCCCACCAGGAGACAGATCCCTGAGTGCAGAGCCAGGAGTAGGACTTAAGCATAGCTGGGTGTGGCCCCAAACACAAAAACACATAAAAAAGGGGATCCTTAGCCCCAGAAAAACCCCGACTCCTCACCCAGCTTCCCAGGGCCCTGCTCTGCTTGCTGCTGACAAGCTTGCAGTTCTGCAAGGCGCCCTTCAGAGGAACCAGCTCAACCACCATAGCACCACCAAATTCTGTCTGGCCAAGTCTGCTGTGAAGTACACTCTCCCAGTCGCAGCAAATGGCACTGCCCTGACCCCGAGGCGGCCAGGTCCTCCAGGTTAGACTGCTGGACACAAGGCCAGAGTTGCTGGTTCTCACAACGGAGCTGTCCATGTCGCCAGCAAATCAGGGACCACTGAAACTCCAGTCTAACTCATTGACTCTAAATGTACCTTGTTCACCATAAAAACAAAAGCAGAAAACACATAAGAAAGGGAGGGCCCTGGGCAGGGAAGAGCAGCGCAGGGCTGGACTGAGTCCTTGCAGGTTTCTATTTCCAGATGGCAACTCTGTGGTTTGGAAGAGAATGTTCTTGCTCTTAGAAAACCCACAAAGAATTTAGAAAATCTCCAACTTCCTCTAAAGAGTTCAGAAAAACTCCACTGCTGTGTCTAAATATTTATAGAAAATGATTTTAAACATTTGGTAATTTGCACATTGGGAAGTTTCTGGAAACAGCGTTGTGCTTTTTCTATGGTTTAAAGTTCTATCCACAGGATAGAGAGATAACACAGTGGTGATGGCACAAGCCTTGCATGCCCAGAGCCCTGGATTGGAACCCTGGCTCTTCAGGGGTAGCGCTGGTGGGAAGCGATACCACGTTAGCTGGCAAACAATGAACCATTTGTCAGGGTGGCTGAGTATCACCAGCCTCATTAGGCCTCCTGAGAACTGTTTGGGAAGCCCCCAAATAAATAAAATTATATCCACATAAAAAATGTAGCCATGAACAGAAAGCTAGCTTTTATCTATTTATTGAATTTTGGATTTTGGCATCGCTCCAGCGGTACTCAGAAGCTACCACTAATTCTCTGTCACTCCCAGTATTGGTATTGGGTAGGTACTTGGTTTTTAAGGTTTAAAGTTTTAGGATTTTCCATCTTTGTGTTCAGTGTGACTACACCTAGCAGCACTCAGGACTTGCTTACCCCTGGCTCACGCTGAGGGATCACTCTGGGTGGTGCTTTGGGACTATACACTACTCTGGGGATCTAACTCAGGTTGGCAGTGTGTAATGTAGCATTCTAACCCCTATGCTGTCTCTCCAGCTCTATAGGACCACACGTGGTACTGCTCAGGGTTTAATCGTAGCTCTGAGCTCAGGGATCACATCTGGCAGGTTTTAAGGACCACATGGGATGCTAGGGATTAAACCTGGGTCAACCATGAGCAAGCAAGCCCTCTACCTGCTGTACCTGCTCAGGCCCCAATTTATTTTTTATTTTTATTTTTTTTCTTTTTGGGCTACACCAGATGATGCTCAGGGGTTACTCCTGGCTCTGCCCTCAGGAATTACTCCTGGTGGTGTGCTGGGGACCATATAGGATGTCAGAGATAAAATCAGTGACTGCCACGTGAAAGCAAGCTCCCTACCGGCTAACACACTATATTACTGCTCTGGTCCCAGGGTGCTTTATTTTTTAAATTTTTTTTTTTTGATTTTTGGGTCACACCCGGCCATGCACAGGCGTTACTCCTTGCTCTGCACTCAGGAATTACTCTTGGCAGTGCTCAGGGGACCATATGGGATGCTGGGAATCGAACCCATGTTGGCTGCATGCAAGGCAAGTGTGACCCAAAAAGAAAAAAATAATAACACGACAGTATTGTGCGACACTTTAACAAGGTAGGGGGCCGGAGGAAAAGTACAGCGGGTAGGGCGCCTGCCTTGCACGCGACCAACCTGGGTTAGATCCCAGGCATCTCACATGGTCCGCCCAGCACCGCCAGGCATAATTTCTGGCTGCAGAGCCAGGAGTAAGCTCTGAGTATCGCCAGGTGTGGGTCCCCGGCCAAAAAATAAAAAAAAGAAATATTTTAATAAGAAAAACAGCCCTAAAAGGAAACCGCTTCTCCATCACAGCCTCGCGCCCGGCCAAGTGCCACGGAGTGCCCACCTCGCTCGGCTCCCAGCACCACGTCTCCAGGCAATACCTGCCAGCCGGGGCGGGGACGCCCCGCCCACGCTGAGCAGGCTCGGGCAGTGCGTGGGGCCTGGACGCGAGCATGCGCGCCCAGCCGGGAGGTGGACAGTGCGGCGGGGGCGCGCAGGCAGGGGGCGGCGGTCCACGTAGCACGGCGTGCACTAGCCTGGGCGGGGCCTGCCATGAGCATGCGCTCTGCAGCCGGCTGGGCGGGCGCACGCGCAGACGGAGCCCTGTCTCGAGCGTGCGCCCTGCAGTCGGTGGTGCGGGCGCGTGCGCAGACTGAGTTCTGTCTCGAGCCTGCGCCCTGCAGCCGGCGGGGTGGGCGCGTGCGCGGCACCCCGGAAGTTCTCTGAGGTCGCGGGCCGCGCGCTGCTGCGCCGTCGCGTCCACTTTGCGCCCCGGTAGCCGCGCGTGTTTCCCGAGGAAGACGCGGTCATGGTCTTCCTCTCGTCGCAGCTCTGGCTGCGGAACCGCCTCACCGACCGCTACTGGCGGATCCAGGAGGTGCTGCAGCACGCGCGGGTGAGTGGGCGCGCGCCCCGGCCCGGTCCCCCCGGCGCCCCCGGGCCCCCGGCGTGCGGGCCGCACCGACCCTCTCTCCTGTCTCCCCGCAGCACTTCCGGGGCCGCAAGAACCGCTGCTACCGCCTGGCGGTCAGAGCTGTTACTCGCTCGTTCGTGAAGTGCACCAAAGCCCGGAGACTGAAGAAGAGGAACATGCGGACGGTGAGCGCCCGTGGGCTGCACCGCCGCGCTGCCCCGCGTGGCCCCAGGCGCCCACTCAGACGGCCTCGGGCGCGTGCTCCACGGTGCACGGCTGGGGTGGGCTGCGTCCTCCCCGGAGAACCTGGAGACCCCTGGGCCGGGCCTCCCCTCCGACAACCTGGCCGGCCCCAGCACTTGGATCCTTAGTGCGTCTCCTCAGGATAGGGCCGAGGTGGGCCCCGAGGGGCACGTGCCGCCTTTGAGGGAAGCAGGGTTTGTTTTTCTTTTTAAGTTTTTGGGTCACGCCTGGTGCTGCGCAGAGATCACTCCTGGTGGTGGTCAGTAGACCAAATGGGATGCCAGTGATGGAACCCAAGTTGGTCACATTCGAGGCTAACGGCTATCTGTTGCACTATTTCTCCGCCCCCAAAAAGTAGTTCCTGTGTTCTTTTGGTTTTGTTTTTCACTTTGGGGACCACACCCACTGATGGTCGTGGGTTACTACTGATTCTGCACTCTGACCTCTGCACTCACTGCAGTGCTTGATGTAACCATATGGGATGGTGGGGCTAGAATCGAAGCATGCAACATGTGCCTTTCCCACTGTACTTTTGCTCTTCTATCCCCCCTCCTCACCTCCCCCCCCCCAACTAGTTCTTAAACTTCTTGCTATTTCTTTCAGCTCTGGATCAATCGAATTACTGCTGCCTCTCAGGAGCATGGCCTGAAGTACTCAACATTCATTGCCAATTTAGTTAAGGTATGGTTGGGCTTTGGGGCCTGTTGAGATCTGGCCATGTGAAGCAAGGGTCCGTGTAGTGCCACTCCTTTTCAGGGGGTAAATCGTTCACCATACCTTTGAATCAAATCAGTGTCTATTAAGTCAGTAAACAGCAGTCACTACCACCCCGTCCTATTTGTGCCCAGGACCTTTACTGTCCTGTTAACCCCATCCCAGTGTTCCCTCACTTTGGGAAACACTTACCTGTAACAGCCTGGCTTGGCTGGCATGGCCCAATTTCAGGGCTATGGGTTTTTTTTTGTTTTTGTTTTTCAATTTGGACACACCTGGGGGCTGGAGCAATAGCACATCGGGTAGGGTGTTTGCCTTGCATCCGGCCAACCCGGGTTCGAGTCCCAGCATCCCATATGGTCCCCTGAGCATTGCCAGGGGTAATTCCTGAGTGCAGAGCCAAGAGTAATCCCTGTGCATCGCCCGGTGGGACCCAAAAAGCAAAAAAAAAAAAAAAAGGACACACCCAATGATGCTCAGGACTTACTCCTGCCTCTGTTCTCAGGGCAGGACTTGGGGAACATATGTGGTGCCTTGGATTGAATCTGGGTCTTTTGCGGGGGAAGATGGGATGACACATCTGGAGGTGCTTGGGCCTTACTCCTGGCAGGGCTCAGGGCTCAGAAGACTGTATAGTTCTGCGGTCGTGCAAGGCAAGAGCTCTACCCACTGTGCTATGGTTCTGGCCTGAACCTGAGTCAGTCTTGTGTAAGGCTTGCTCTTTACTCTTACTCCTGGGCAGTGAAGTCTTGACACCATAACTGTTGTTTTTAGAGTGGATTTTTGGGTTTTTGGAGACTTTCATCATACTTACTTTGCTTTTACCCTGCCGGTAGCAGAATCAGAAACAGGTTATTTGCTGGATGGGAGCATCAGCGTTTCCCTATCCAGGGGCTGGCGAGATGGTGCAGGGATGAAGGCACTTGCCTTGCACCCAGCCAACCCGGGCTCTATCCCCGCCACCATATGTCCCCGAGTGCTGTGGTGAGTGATCCAGAAAGACAAGAGTGGGAAGAGTGTGCCGTCCCTCTCTGTGCTCAGCGAACATCCTGTCTGAATGCTGTGGTGCTGCCGTTTTGGGGAGATAGATGAGGTGAGGCTCAGAAAGGAGTGAATATTTCCTGGGTGTACAGCCTCATGCTAAGGCATGGCCTGCCCATCTGCCTGGTTATATTTTATGGGGGAAGCACCCTCTTTGCTCCACAGACATCGCTGATCATCAGTTGTGTGAAGGCACCCAGACTTGAACTTCGATGACGTAGCTTGGCTCTCCTAGGTTTTGGGAATGCCGTTTCTTCACAAACCCCTTTGTCTTGCTTATAAAGTGGTTCTGTGATTTCCACTCCCCCAATAACACCGGTGATATTGGCCAGCCACATCTGGACATGCTCTGAAAGTCGAACGAGGGACCAGCGTACAACTCGAGCTCTGCTGTCCAACTGACACGCCCCTGTCCCTCCTTGTACTAGAGGCGTTTCTGAGGCTGACGACAGGCTCTGGTTCTCTTCCCAGTGCCAGGTGGAGCTCAACAGGAAAGTACTTGCTGATCTAGCCATTTATGAACCAAAGACTTTTAAATCTTTGGCTGCTTTGGCGAAAAGGAGGCGAGAGGAAGGTTTTGCTGCTGCCTTGGATGACGGGAAGGAGCCAGAAGGCGTGTTTTCCAGAGTGGTGCAGTACCGCTGAGCAGAGCGTGCCTCGGCATCTATGGCCCACGTGAGCCTCACACTAAACGCAGGGACAGAAATCCAGTCCATGGCAGTGACGCCCAGTTGGTGGATGGCGTGTCAGTGTGATGTCATCTGTGGTTACTTCCTTCGTGGTAGGTGGAAGTCCACTTTCTGTATCGGGTCTCCCGAGTCTCTGATTCAGAAATAGCACTTGATTGCAAATAAAGCATGTGTGAGCTGAATTCTCTGGACTGTGGTCTGGGCATGTGCAGAGCCCAGGTTCTCTCCTGCATCTGGAATTGGGGTCTGCAGCAGACTGCTCTCAGGCAGCAGTGCCCCGTCCAAGCCAGGCCCTCACCTTCCTGAACCGTACCCTGAGACCCTGCAGTGGCCCGGCTCTTCCCATGCACATGGGACCCTGGGTAGGGCTGTCTGATGTTGAAGCTGTGTGCATGTGCAAGGAGTAGGTAGGAGGCGCTGCTGGGGGTCGCGCTGCTGGGGGTCGCACTACCTGGGACAAGACCCGAGAAGCCTCTGGAGCTGCTGACAACCTCTCCACCCCGATCCCTCCCATTCTTGGGGCTGTTGGTTCACCCCTCGGTGCTGTCAATTGAGCTTCCCTGCAAAGCCAGGCTGCCTGTGGTGCCTGGTGTTTATCCATTATCCCAGGATCTGGGCTTTCCTCCCCGGTGTCCACACCACACCACCTCAGGCTTGGGGAGCAGTTGTGTTGCTTCTTGCCCACAGTCCTGCCATCAGTCCTCCTGCAGGATCCCCTTCCATAGCTGCCCAAGGGCAACCAATTGAGAGGTGGGGATGGGTCAGGAAGGTTATTTTGGTAACACGCAGTTTGGCAAGCAGACAGCCACTTGGGACTTCACTTACCATTTTGTCTGCAGTGACAGCAGTTTGTATTTTGGGGGTTGGATTTGGACCATACACAAGGCAGAGTTGTGGGTAACTCCTGGTGGTGATTGGCGTTGTGTTGTGCTGGAGGTCTAACCAGAGCTGGATCTCTAGTCCCATGCTGGCATACCTGGAGTGCTGGGTGATGCTCGGGACAGTTCCACGCCTAGGATTAGCCTTGGCTTTGGCATGTGAATCCTGTGCTGTTGCCCGCTGAGCCAGGCTTGTTTTAGGGTTAGTATGGTCATTCAAAATCAAGAGGGACTACCTACTGAGATTGGCACAGCTGTTTGCTTTCCAAGACTTTCCCACTCAGCGAGCTTAATGGCACAACTCGAACTTAGGAGGAAACAAATAAGACCCCGAAACTCTGGGTTCCCAGATAAATGCCAGAATTGCAGCATTTAACACAGCACGAACAAAGCGTGGATCATGAATGAGGTACCAGGGGACCTAGACACAAAGGGCCGTGGTGTGGGGAGGACTCAGACTAGCTCTGTGGCTCCCAGGTTCTGGGGCACATCCTGATTCCCTTGGTTGTGTCTCAGCAACTGTCACCGTGGCCTGTGAACTACCAGATTTGGACACAATGCCGCCAGCTCTCACCAGCTAGGGAGCCTTTTCCAGCACAACGCTCCTTTCTTGGTGTGCGCATGTTTCAGGGAAGTGCGACATGAATTGATTCATAGGTTCTAGACAGAAGTCCTCAAGTATTACCAATCCAAGCCAGCCCTCACATGATTGCCTCAAGTCTACCAGGAACGGGGGCCAGATTGGAAACATTGTCCTTAGGCCCGTGCGCTCCGTGTTCTACACAGCTGATCCCAACTGACACTGGGGGACTGCAGGGTGTGGCACAAGAGGCACCTGCTTATGGGTGCAGAGTGGGAACAGTCCACAGCCCTGTTGACAGGGGGCTTCCCCAACGCTCCCAAACCCAGTGGGGCCTGCAGCAGCTACAGAAGCTTAGGCTTTGTAGGGCAGGGTAATCAGGCTTTATATTTGGGGATCAGGTAAGAACATTTTTCTGCGTTTTATTGTTTTTGGGCCACAGCTGGCAACGCTGGGGGGGGGGGGGGCGGGGCGGGGCGGTACTCTTGGCTCTGCACTCCTGGTGGTGTTTGGGGGACAGAATGGGATTCCAGCTTGGCCTTGGCCTTGTGCAAGTGTCCCACCTGCTGTATTACCACTTTGGCCCCTATTTTTCTGGTTTTTGAACCACATCCAGCATTGCTCTGGGCTTAGTCATAGCTCCTGTGCTCAGGGATCACTCCTGGTGGTGCTTGGGGGGGCGTTAGCCGTACTGGGTTCCAAGATGGAACCTGAGTGGGCTGTGTGCAACCCTGCCTGCTACATTACCTCTCTGGTCTGAGGGCACTTCTAGTTGGATTTCTGGTTCTAGTATCATCTCTCCTAATGCTCCCACAGTGGGTGTGATGGGTACACGTAAGGCACTGAGTATGCAGGGGCTGAAGTGAAGTCCTAATAGTACAGAGACAGACCACCACAGGGAAGATCCAGGCAGTGGGACCCACATCCCTCTCCTTCAACTCCAGGAGTCAGCCAGTTCTTGTCTGTTTTATGATGTGCTAAAACATCCTTCACTGTGCTGATTTATGAGTGTCAGAGCAACATTCCTCCCCTAGAAAGAAACACAGGCCTCTCTTCTGGGCAATCAGGAGTTCGAGACCCCTCTTGTGCAATAGGGTCACTTCTGCCAGGGAGTCCAGTCTGTCCTGGAGGGCTCCCATGAAGTCCCCTGCATGCTCTTGGTCACTGGCTCTTTCCTCCATTTGGGGGGGGGGGGATGTAGTTAGCTGTCCTACTCCCAGTGGCTACTCGCTACCCTGGGAGCCGTGGTAGGAGATGAATAGCTGTAGTCTACATCTGTAAGCCTGCAGTGGAACCCTGGGATTTGGTTGTTAGGGGCAGTGTTCATCCAAGGAAAGCTGTGAGCATGAGTGCACAGCCCCTTGCAGTATCCCAGCAAGCACTGGCACATGCTCGTCTCACCGGATCTGTCCAAGCTGAGGTCAGCTGTGGGTAGGGCCTTCAGCGTAGTGTACAGCTCCGAGGTGAGGCCTCCTGATGGTTCCATTTCCTTTCTTCCAGATGGGTACTGCTGGGCCCACCCTTTCTAACATGGTCTGTGGTCCCACTGGCTTCCTGGGTTGTGGTCAGGGTCAGGTTGTCTGGGATGTAGTATGATGTGGAGGGGAAGAGCACTGGGCAGAGCCACCTGTCCCCAGAAAGACGGGATAGTGGCACTTAAGAGGTAATGGGAAGTCTGAAGCAAACTCCTGGATTTGGGGCACAGTTTGACAGGTTCAACCTTGACCTGGTAGATCTAACCGCTGGCAGGAAGGCTGCCTTTCTGAGCTTCTTTGGGACTTTGTTCCTCTAGCACCTGATGCAGGATGTCTACTAAGGAGAAGCCCATGACATACCCATGTCATATCCGTGTCATATTCAGTGATGCTGTATCTTCTGGTGGTGCCTGTCCAGCAGGGTTGCCCTTTCTGCACACAAGCAGATGCCTGATCAGAATGTTAGAAAACAATCCAGGGTTGTTCACTTCATAGTCTGGCGAAGGCTCATACCCCCCACAACCAGACACACTGGACTATCCAATAAACCTTCGCCCAGCAATCATCTGGGTAGTCTGTGAAGTGACTGCCAGTGCAATCAAGGTTAGGGCACAGAGTCCTCCAGGGCATCTCTTTGCAAGCACACTTGAGTCCAGAGCAAGCAGGGAAGGAGTTAATAGAGCCACCAGCAAGAGAATGCTTATAGACACTATTCCTGGTCTGCCCGGCCCCAGGAGGAGGGTTCACTTCCGGGGAATGCAGAGAATAGAGGAAGACAGTCCTGCTCTGAGATGCTGGCAGGAGCACAGGGATAGCTGGTCTGGACACTGGTGGTCCTGTTTTCCTTATTGTTGGGGGGAACCATACAGAGATACCCTGGCAGTGCTCTATATGGGATGCTGATGCCAGGGTTGAACTCAGGTAGCATGCAAGGCAAGTGCTTTACTTTTTTGTTGTTGTTTGTTTGTTTGTTTTTGGGTCACACCAGGCAATGCACGGGGTTCTCCTGGTTCATGCACTCAGGAATTACTCCTGGCGGTGCTCGGGGGACCATATGGGACACTAGAAATCAATCCTGGGTTGGCCATGTGCAAGGCAAACACCCTACCTGCTGTGCTATCACTCCAGCCCCTCTACCTGTTGTATTATCTCTTGGGGCCCTGGTGCTGTGTTCTTAAGCATGGTGAGTGTCTGGTTCCATGGTGCCACATGCCTGGAGAAGACCTCTCCAGAGCTGGTTCTTGGTGGTGTACTTTGGCAGGGTCATGGCTATCCACTCATCCAGTCTTAGCTTCCTGGAACACCTTCTGGCTGTGGTGTACTCACAGCTCAATACCTGCTGTGGGAGTCATGTGAATGACCTGGTTGCAAGGGCCTGGGAAATCAGAACCTTGACCAGTGCCTGATCTCCTGGGCTGCTCAGGTGAACATACTGTCCCTTCCCCAGAGTCAAATTCCTCCCTCTCTGCTCAGAGCCTGGAGTGTCCTGCCCAACTGGATGTACTGGAAACTCACCTCTCTCCTGGAGCCACCCATTTACCCCTTGTGTGATTAGGGGTGGCTTCCCACATAGGAGCTCAAATAGGGACAGTTCTGTTCTTCTGGGGGTGCCTCATACATAAAGCAAGGCTAAAGCAAGTACGTTTGGCCATCTCTGGTTCCTTTCTTAGAAGTTTGGCAAGGCAGTTGTCTACAGTATGATTCCTCTCCACCAGTCCAGAGCTCTGGGGTGGTACTCTGTGTGAAGGTGCAAAGTGATGTGGAAGCTAGCGGCCAAATATTGGACGACCTTGGCCACAAATGCTGGTCCACTGTCTGACCTTATACCGAAACACAGGATCAGTTTGACCCACCCAGTTTAGGTACAGATACCTCATCATCTGTCAAGTCAATGTCTGAATCATCAAGTCAATCTACGAATCATCAAGTCAATCTGAATCATCCTGTTCTCTGGGCCTCCATGGGCTACCTGGGTTTGTTTTCTTTCCTTTGTTTTGTTTTTGGGCCACATGCAGCAGAGCTCAGGAATCACTCCTGGCGGGGACTGGAGACCTTACAGGATACTGTGGATCCAACCCAGGTTGGCCATGTGCAAGGCAAGCATCCTAATATACCATCTCTAAGGTTCCTGTTCATTTTTGGTTTTGGTGCACCTCTGGCTTCCTGCTTGTGTAATCATGGGGAACCTGGGTATCCCCAGTCAAGAGTCCCATGGCTGGTCAGGGTCAGTCTTTATTGGGGGAGTTGGT